TTTTTTTTTTGTATTTAGAGTTTTTTTCTATGAATTTGCTGCATTTGTATTTTATGCGTCTCTAATATCTAGGGTAAAACAAGGTATTGTGAACACAATGTTTTTTGTAAGGTATTGTGAACACACGTAATTTCGAATGCGATTTTCTTCGCTATTTTGCATTCAAATGGATCAAAACTTTGTATAGAAGTAGTTTGAACTATCTACTCTACTTCTATACAAAGTTTTGATCCATTTGAATGCAAAATAGCGAAGAAAATCGCATTCGAAATTACGTGTGTTCACAATACCTTACAAAAAACATTGTGTTCACAATACCTTGTTTACCCTATATATTGTTATTATAAAAAAACACGATGAACGCGTTGAAGACTGCAAAACTGCTTTTTTTTTCTCATTTACTTTCAACGAGCGTGATTTTAATATAAAGTCGCATGCTCTCTACGGAGCTATACTTTCATCGAACTTGTACTTTCAACGAACGTAAATTGCTCGAAAATGTGAGTGTGTCGAAATTTATCGAGCTTTTACGCTCAAGGGAATTTCGCTAATCGAGCTTCCACTGTTTTAATAATTATAAGCTTTCAATATTCAGGCAATGCTTTAAACTTTCCATATACAGTGGAACTTCTATAAGCCGATACTTCCATAAACCGATCAACCTCTATAAACCGATATTTTTTGTACCCCTTGAATCGAATTTATATTGACAACTGACCTCCATAAACCGATTCCTCGATAATCCGATACACCTTGAGCCATCGGCTTATGGAAGTTCCACTGTATCTTCCATATTTCCGTTCATTCCCGATATTCAAAGCAATTTAAAACGCCACACATGACGAGCCTTTGTTAAATATTTTGATCAACATAAATGATATGAAGCTTTTATCTTAATTTTTTTCTACTTCTTCAGTCGAAAATCTCACATGAAAATCCTTTTGCCTCAAAATGATGATGAAGATAAAACGCTGAGATTTTTCTCATCCAACAGTTTTCCCTCTTCAAAAGCATTTTGACACATGTTTGTACGGTTGAAAAGACTCTTAGGCGTAGAACTGTTGATGATAAAGATGAAAGCGTACGCATATACACATCCTTATAAATATTCCTGCAAATTTTCTGATGCTTTTTCAAGTTTTCATCATATCCAGTTATATCTAACATCTTGGCTTTCTCAATATATCCATGAGCTTTTCATAACCTCTTTTAAACCTTTTGTGTATCAGAGATTAAACGGAACAACATGAGACAACATTCTCTATGGTGTTTGTGAATGGAAAATATGACGACGTTGTTGCTTTAATTTTCCCCAATTGATTTCCCTGTGAAAATGTCAGCTTGAAAATGTGTGAAGAAATTTTAATTCCATTTGATATTTCATGTCTAAAAGATTCTTTAAAGCTAAACATTCTCGCACGTTTAATAAAAGCTGAAATATACAAAACAATGGATTTTCGTTTAATAAACTAAAGGATGAAGTTGTTATGAGAAAATTACCTTATAAAGTGTTAGAAACCATTAGAAAACTTTGGCCAAAGCATAAGCTTTTCATTTTAAATTCCTGGTAGAATTAAACGGAGATTTGAGAGAATATTTTAATACCATGAAAAGCTTTAAATCTAAAATTCCATGAAGCTTTTATAGTTCAAACATATGACATGACTTAAATTATTAATCATCGGTTTACACTCATTTTTTGATAATTAGAAAACCAAAAAATAAATAAGATAAATTTTGCACGGTTTTGGAAAAGCTTATTTTGTTGATTGCAATAAATTTTCATTGAAATTGATTGCAAAACAAGTTGAAAGTTTAAATAGCGACGACATTAAACTTTCGTTGTTAAAGCATTAAAAATTCCCCTCAATAAATTTAACAAGTTAATGTTAAAAGAATATTAATGAAAGCTTTGCGGTAGCAGGAAAAGTTTCTCTATACACTGTGGCAACAACGATGATGTTAAATATAATTAAGTTGACATATCACCCTTTCTTCCTCAAGTCACACCGAAATATTTCACGAAGGAAAATCACCTGAGGTGTCACTACATCGTCTTGTCTTCATCTGCTTCCATCAAACATTCATAAATCTAATCAAGAGTTTGACGACGATGTAAAAGTTCTTCTTTTTCTTGAGAGCAATTAAAATAATCAACAGCTTCAATAAAAATAATGAAATTTAGTGAACTGTATCACTTTGAAAGAGTTGTTTTTGTGGAATCTTCACGTTCAACATCTTGGAACATTTTCTATGAATGGTCATTAGACTTCCAAGTTTTTCTCATATATCTTTTGAAAGGAAAATAACACACAAAAAAAGAAAAACAAATATACACAATCACATAAATCCGATAAACGAATCGTACAATAAAAGCCTAACCATGCAGCAGACTTTTTGCCTCGTTTCGTTTTCAGCAATTCATTGTACTTTTATGAACGTGATAACGGTTTTGTGTCTATTGTTTCACACATTTTAAGAAAATATCGTAAGTTATTCTGTAAACGAAATAAAAAGCAAATTGCGCTTATTTAATGTTGATGATATTTTCTTTCAAGCATTTCCTTCAATAATTTTTGTTTCTTTTCGAGAGCCGCGATGAAAAAGAAAATTTTCCGAACAATAAAACTTTTCTTTTTTCCCTTCCGAGACCCAAAATAAATTTGTGGTGACGATTTTTGCCTGACTAATATTTTTATAATTTTTTGTTTTCTTGTTTTTAATATTTTGTGAGCTTCTCGCGATGCTTGTGGTAAGATAAACAACGTGATAATCGTTGTTATTAACTTAAATCCATCACAAACTTTGATGAAATTATGATACCTGATTAAAAATTTATTTCGAGTGTCGCTAAGGGAGAAATAAAGATGTCCCAATATGCTGATAAATTATTTAAAAACCACAAGTGATGCGTACTTATGCCTTGTTATGTAAGTGTAAATTGTCAATGATTTAACATGCCTACCACAAGACATTCTTAGGTTAACGTCTCTCCCATAGGTGATGAACAACATCGCGCATGACTGTGGATAACATTTCTAGTCAAAGAGAGAGTGCAGAATGTCTACGTAGAGAATTTCGAAAAGTCAGATGAGGACGGAATAACACTTTCCCTTAACATTTTCAATGAAAATCTCACTCGCTTCAGAGAAGCTTCAGAGTATCACAAACATTCTCAACATTATGTTCTTTTATAGCTTCAGCAAATGAGAAATTGACTTTGATAGTCCATAACTTTAGACACTAAAATGTGATAACTTAGAAACCTTGAACACATCAAAATCACAAGTTCATCAGAATAAAAAAAAAGCTTTTTATCATGAGCGAAACAAAGTTATTAATATGATTTATCGAGAATCTATAAATTCTTATTAAATACGTGACTACATGACTTGAAGAAAGCAATAACTTCCATTCGCAAATAATAATTCTTTATTCGCAATCAACTGTAATAACTAATGCTAATCTATCGACACGATTTTCGTTAAAGCAAGCAATATTGACACATTTGCTGAGATGTAGACTATGAAAATATTGTCTTAATAAGTACAATTAATTACTTCGACACGTGATCCAATAAACGCAATCAATTGGAGTTCAACATCTTATTAAATAAACCCATTAATCATCATGTTTTCAACGCTTAATTTTTTTTTATTAAATGAGTTAAGTTTGAAAAACACAAATTTATGTCAAATGCCACTAAAACTCGCTACAAAAAATTTTTATAGATGAAATTCGATAAAAAGTCGTTTCAGAAGCAGAAGCAAAAAAAAAAAGTTCGGAACAAGTGTTAACAGTAAAAAACTTTCAGATAACAAGTGAGAGATTGTGGAATAAAAAAAAACACTTTATGTTGCAGATTTCTTTTTCTCTTTATTGCATTCGTGAGATTTAAGTTGGCTTACAGCAAGTTTTTAATATTTCTGAATTATCATGTTGTTGTGGGAGTATAAAGTTTAAACCACTGATACATATTCCACATTAGGGATGTAACTTCAGCTATATAGGATGATGCAGATTTCCATTATATTAATTTCATGTGAGACAATAAGAACGAACTTTAACGTTGCTTGAAGCAATAAGTTTATTTATTCGCTTAAAACTTTTTTTAAGCTTTGTAATCATAAAATGTGGATCATAAATACAGACGACATTGGTTTCTTTTATTCTCTATCTTAATGTTGTATTCTTTTAATGTTGATGATATTTTATTAAAATAGGAAAAGGAGAAATTTATTGTGCCTCTTAATGCAACATTCATACACAAGCTTCGAGTTTTCTTCCTTGCATTCTTTCTGTCTCTTTCATCTTTTCCATAAAAATTTATTCAATAAAACTGAAAAGTAAAATTGGATTTCCTCTCTTGAGCTTACCATTGCAACTCGTGATTGTGCATAAGCTCATATAAAATCTTCTGATGTATCTTTTCATGTAAAATTGAAAACATTCACAAGTAGGTAGAAGGATAAATAAAACAATTTTCCTCATAAGTATCTATTTATCGTCTTTCAACAAACAACACACAATAGAAAGCAACTCTTTTTGAAAAATAAACTTTAAATAAAGTGGTAAAATTCTCTTGAAATTGCAGGTAAAGTTAAATGTTGAAATTATTAATGTTTCAAGACTGGAAGAAACCGGCTGTGAATTAAACTTATTCAATTTGAAATCCTCCAAAAATAATTCTCGTTTTAAATGTTACAAAAATTGCACACAAATTCCCTGCGCAAATATAAATTTTCGCTTGCGAAAATCAACCACAAATGAAATATGCAGCAGAAACTTTGAGAATAATAACTAAAAGAGAAAAATTTATTTCCCAACTGGATTGTATGTTTAAATGAAAAACCGAAAACTTCTTGTGAGATTGGTCAGATTAAGCAATTTATTGTTAGTGATTTTCTCGGATGGAAATACATTCGTGAATGTTTTCATTGTAAGAAGAAATTAATTAATTATTTTCATGCTCGGTGAATGCAACCCACTGGGATGATTCGAATATAAAAACAAATGTTCAAAGGCAAGAGGATTAGCATTGTAAAGCCGGTCTTGACGTTTTAGCCTCCAGTTGATTAACTGCTGAGTAGCCTGTTCCACCTCTTTGAAGGTAAATTATGTCACTTTCCTTCAATTTTTCATTCGTTAAAGGATGGATCCAATCTTTTTTTATGAGCCTTTCAACACAATCTCCAGTAACAACATCTCCTGTTGTTTTCAACACAGCTAATTGTTGAGCGTTTGTTAAGACGTCTTTTGTAACTGCACACACATATCGACTTTCTTTTGCTATCAAAGATTTGTTTTTATCGTCGGGGTCATTTGCTGGAGTGAATTTAACATCAATAAGATCTTTGATTTTCAGTGGTTCCCCTGAGATAGGACAATAAATTTTACTGTCTGGTTTATTGAGCTTTGCTTTGGCTGCATCAGGAGTTTGAGATGGAATCCAGAAACTTGGAAGCAAATCTTTCTTTCCTCCTGCCATGTTTGATAGAGAACTGCTGCCACTAGTACCAGGAAGATCTGTTTGTGATGTAAGGAAAATCAATAAAAAGAAATAAATAATAATATTCTATATCATACTTGAAGCAACTTTTATATTCTTCTCGGTCTTGACGAATTGTTCCAATTTCTTCTTGTTTTCAGCAGCAGCGATTTCTTCCAATTCTTTGACATCAGATTGCTTCTGTTTTTCGAATTCTTTCAATTTCCGATTGTACTCATTCTTTTTAGTAATAATATATTCAAGAATGGCTTCTTTATCAAACAAATATCCATTTTTTGTCATGACTGGAATTCTAGCTGGTTGTAGCGTTAAATTACAGCAATCAAAGTTTTTAACTGAATGTTTGGCTAATCTCTGTCTTTCAGTACCAAAACCTGATGTTGCAGCATCCTTCTTCTTTTCATGATAAGTGTAAACTGAACCAGCTGTGGAATTACGTGCGTGTCTCGTCATAATTCTTTATTTATTAATTTCTTAATTTTTTTAAAACTCTTGTTATTAAATAGGAAATTAAAACCTCACAAATTATTAATCTATATAAACTGTTGAACGGCTTTGATTTTCTAAACGCACTCATCATAAATATTTCTAAGTAAACAAAAATTGAATTCACATGCTTTTTTAATTATTATAAAGGATTTAAACTTTTTGAATACCCCAAAAAAGAATAAAAGTGAAATCAGTGAAATATGGCGATAGTGGAGAAATTGGGAGAATATAATGGTTTGTTTTTAATGTTTGAAAAACATCATAAAACGAAGTTTCAAATATTTTTCTTTTAGTTCTTCCTTTATTGTATGACGAATCTGCTGATGAATCAACTTCACATAGCTTGTTTCTCAAGAAATATCGATCTGATAAGAAGTCGATGGATAAACCTGTTGGAAAAACTTTAACTGTTCTTAATATTCCGCCATACGTGACTGAGGTTAATCTTGAGCGGATTTTCAGCACAGTCGGTCCAGTTGAGAAAGTAACACTTATCGACAGTTATAGTAATGAACACCATTTGAAATATCAAGTCCCATCAGAATTTTTCAATCAACGTCAACCATTTAAATTCAAAATTGGTTTTATTGTGTTTAAAAAATCTGATTCTGTCGAAATTGCGCTTCGTTTGGAAAGTCTTCCACCTTTAAATAACGATAAAGATGTCTTACTGACTGGTGTTGAAAAATGGACCGAAGAATATAACAAACAAATTGTTGACACAAGTGAAATGCAAACAGAAATAGATTTCTACATGAAACATTACGATAAAGTCAAGAATTCTGAGACGATTGAAGATGAAGGTGACGATGAATGGATAACAGTTGGAAAGAAAGGACAAAATGCAGGTTTTAAACAAAAAGAATCTGTCATCAGTAAACTTGAGCAGAAGATTCAAAATCAAAAGAAGCGAGCAAAGAGTTTAAGCAATTTCTACACATTCGAATTACGTGATTCGAAAAAGCAGCAACTTTTAGAACTTCGTAAGAAACTCGAAGATGACAAACTTAAAATCATGTCAATAAAACAAAAAAGGAAATTTAAACCTTATTAAATAGAAATCAAATTAAATCTTTTATTTGTTTTTTTCTCACATTGCATGGATGACAATTTCTAACAGAGGATTTTTCGGAAGAATTTTCAGGCGTTCGACAAGAAGTGGAACATTTCCATACAAATAACTTTTAGAAACTTGAATAAATTGTGCAAGTTTTTCCAAACTCTTCTGAACTTTTTCAGGTTCTTTGACTTTAGCTGCTTTCAAGATTTGATCAATGATGTTTTCAATGTATTTTGTGTACACAACAGGCTTTTTAGGAGTGGTAGGATCAAAGCCACTGATGCATTCCAGAATTGATAAGTGAAGCTTGCTGTAAGAAGATTTTTCCTCAAGCAGTTCACTGAGAACACTCCATCGAAAGAAAGATCCAACAATCAAAGCACCAACTTCAACATGAGCAGGTATTGTGAAAGTATAGATGAAAGGTGGGGAACATGATGATGATTGAACAAATTCAGTAATTAAACTGCCGATAATTGTTGTCGGCATTTGATCATCTTTAAATGTCTCTGCAAATATCAAACACAATGCGTTGACGAAGAACGCTGACACAATTGGTAACGTTTTCAATTTCTCAATTGAGTTGTTAGCGTAAAATGTGATTTCGTTGATTAAAAGTCGACCAAAGTCTGCTGAAATACGAAAATCCTTTGTTGATGCATCAAGAAGATATGCGCCAGCAGCATTTAAAGCCTATAATGAAATGATGTAATATTTATACGTCTGATGTTTTTTTAATGATTTAATGAAACAAATTACGGTTTTCAGACTAGTGATACTAGTCTGAAAACCGTAATTTGTTTCATTAAAACCTATAATGAAAATTTCTTCAATAAGTTATACAAAAATGTAATTTTCAATACTTACTGCTGATGATTGTATTGCTACTCCTGTGAGAATAAATTTTAGCAGCAGAAATTTTCGACTATTCTTTCCAGGCTCAAATAACGTAAAGAAAAATGAAAACTTGCTTGGATCGTCGATAGCGAAAAATTCTGAGAGAAGAATAACAACTAGTTGTGTCTCTTGTGTTGTGTTGATTCGTCCACTTTTCGTCTTTTCGCAGAAAACGAATTCACTTAAAATTTGTTTTGCCGTCTTTGAAAGAGAAGAAGGAAAATTATTAGGATATTAAATTATTATCAATGTAAACAGCTTACCGGCAAATCTTTTTTTCTAATTGCATCTTCTGCATAAACAAGAGCTTCTCGAGCACGAATTTGATAGTCGAGATCTTGTCTACGAAGATTTGATATTCGATTATTCATTATTTATAACTTTCTTTTTTATTTATGTGAGAATTTTATTAACTTTTTATTTTTATTCCATAAACAAAAAAATTAACAGAAGTAGATCTTAAGTAGATCTCATGGATTTGAAAATTTTTTGACGGTTAAAATTCTTGTAAGTGATTCAGTCATCCCAGATATCAAAATCTTTCATATCTTCAAGAAATCTTCGCTCTTTTTCAAGCTCATAATTTTCTTTCTCTCTTGAAGGATCAGTATCAGATGTAATTGAATCAACTGCTGTTTCTTGTGATTCTTGCAATTTGATTTCTTCTGATTCTTTTTCATTATTTTCATCACATTTTGCATCATAGTTAAATCGCTGAAGTTTACTTTTAACTCCACCCTCATTTGTTTTATTTTCTTGATCTAAATTATTTTTCTTTTCTGAAGAATCTTCACCAACGCCTTTCCCAAAAAGTGATGCAAGCGAATTTAAGTTTGCTAAAAGTGAATCTGTTTCCACTGACGACGAGTCTTCAACATTTAATTTCTTCTTTTTATTATCTTCAGAATTATTTTCGAAATCTGTTTTTCTTTTTGTGAAGTTCTGAGAGTTTTGTTCAGTTTCAATCATGCTTGTTGTTGAAACTAAGCTTCCAGTAAAATTATTTGTAGTTTTAGGAAAAAATTCAGGTTGTCTAAGTTTATTAATCGCTTGTGTTGAGAACATGTCTTTTTCATCCTCTGATTCAGCAGCAAAAATTTCATCAAGTTCACTAATATCAAAAGCTTCTTGAGGTTTCTCTGCATGTTTTGTTTTTGGTTGCGTTAAACTTTCCACTTGTTCGTCGAGTAAATGTTCTAAATGAAGTTTTTCCAGCACTTCCGCAATGCAGCTATTCGTTGGGCCGATAGGAGTTTTTGAAAGCATCACATTTGGAAGTCTCAGAAAGCGTCCAAAACTCCATGAAGATTCCATAATTATTATGACAGTAACAGCATCAATAATTTGAGTTTTTGATCTCAGCATTAATTTCGCGTGACAAATTGTTAACTGTTCAAGACTATTCAACATTCGCGGTGTTGTTCTACTCACCTCAATATCTTCATCATTCTTACAGAAAAGATAATATCGTTTCAGAATCTCATAAACAGATGAAGTGAATTCAACTGAAATATTTTTAGCGACGAGAATGTGTTTTTGCAATCGATCGTCATTCCATAAATCTTCTCGTGTTTCCGCTGAACCAGAGAGAATAAGATCAGCAATTCGCTCATGAAGTTCAAGATCATCCAGATATTGAAGTTCGAATATTAAATCGAAACGAGATAAAAGTGATTGCTCGAGAGAAATGTTCTTTGCATCCAGATCTTTGTTCACATTTTTCTGATTCATAGCTGCAATTATGCTGCATTTGGCTTGCAATTCTTGTCTCAATCCAGCTGTCAGAAATATGATTTTAATTAAAACATTTTCAATTTAAGATTTGAATATTTTTACCTTTGTTAATTGTAATTTTTTGAGATTCCATCACTTCGTGAATACTTCCACGATGGTCTTTTGACATTAAATTGATTTCATCGATGCAGCAGATTCCATTATTAGCTCTAACTAAAGCTCCTGGTTCGATGAATGAACAACCACCTTCTCGATGAACAGTAGCAGTGAGACCAGCTGTTGTGGTAGCGTAACCAACAGCTCTTACAGAATTTATTGAGATTTTCGATGCTGCTTTTAATATTTGACTTTTTCCTGTTCATTTCAAATAAATTCTCATGATTTTTTTTTAAATATTTAATTCAGTTTCTCAACTTACCGCAACTTGGATCGCCAATCATTAGAAAGTGTGCAATTTCTCGTCTCGTATTTTTCACAGAATTATTTCCATTCGTTTTTCCTCCTGAGCAAAGAACGAGAAGGAGACCAAGTTTAATTATTGCAAGGCCTTCAAGTTCCGGTGCGACTGAGTCGACCATCAAATCACGCAATTTAATCTCGTCATCATCAAAATTGTCCAAATCTTGTTTCCATTCGCTTTTCACTAAAAATGTCATTTCTGTTGGATTTAATAACATTTTTTGCTGATCTTCATGAACGACAACACCAGCAGCTCTAATTACTAATCGATGACTGTTAATGTTGTGTTTCGATCTGGTTTCGAAAGTTCCAGTAATTGTCACTCGATCACCAACGGCACATGACTCAACAAGCTCATCTTCAAGTTCAACAAGAAGGGATTCTGTGGGATGCTGAGGCTCACTTGGTAATTGAATCGAAACTTCTTGATACTTTACGATGAAATCAAGATTTGGTTCGTCGCTGTTTCGTTCCTCAGTATTGAAAATGGTTCCTTTGCAGTTTTTATGAATGCAACGTTCAGGAATATCAAAATAATAATTTTGAATACGATCAGCCTCAAATTTCATTGTTTGCTTGCATGAACGACACTTAAATTCACGTATGAATTCTTTCATCAACACTTCCCCACTTCGAACGACACTTCCTTTGATCTGAAGAAGATTCCACAAATTATGTATCTTTGGATTATTTTTCAATGGATTTGGAAGATTGATAAATTCAACAGGAAAATTCTCCTTTACACTGAAATATCGAACCATTGAATTGCCTGCATTTTCTTTCATCACTTTTGTTTGAACAATGTTCAGTGAATCGATCCATTTCGGTTTTTCATTCCAAATGTCGAAACGGAATTTGATCTTCTTGAATAATTCGCTATCATTTGATTCCAACACTGACAGATCAATTTGTAACGATCTGGGAAGTTCGTTCTTATCTGCAGCTTTGAGAATGTTGATTATCTCATCATGATGAAAATTATACAGAAATTCTTCCATTTTAATGTTGTTAACAAACTGTCATCCACTTTTTAACATTAACTAGCGATTGACACGTCTCAAATACTTAGGAAAGCCACTTAATTGATGAACATTCAGTGATCCTTAGTTTTCTTTAATTTAAATCTTTTCTTTAATTGTTGTTTACAAAATTTTTTGAGCGGGAAGTTTTGAATTTGTAAGGTTCACTGACAAAGTGACAGTCAGATACAAATGATATTCCTTTAAAGTTTTTAAGTCTATGCTGAATTCTACTGAGTAGTAAACTTACATTTTTATTGTAATATTTTAGGTTGTTTCAGAGGCAAGAACTATATTTTGATTGCTAATTCAACGTATTAAGTGACATAAATAAAATCTTCAATAAAAGAAGGTAAGTAAGCAAATTAAAAGATAATCTGAAACGGAATATTTTATCGATTTTTAATGTTTCCACTTTTTAAAATTTTTCAGATGACAAATAATGTTCGATGCTATTTTGATATATCGTTAAGCTCAGTTTCACTTGGAAGAATCGTCTTTGAACTCTTCAACGATGTCTGTCCAAAAACATGTGAAAACTTTCGAGCGCTTTGTAGCGGCGAAAAAGGAATCGGAAAAACTTCCGAAAAGCATTTGTATTATAAAGTAAAATCTTGAATGCTTAGATTATTGAAACGATTAAATACTTATTAACATGTTTTGGTTACCAGGGTATCATTTTCCATCGGGTTGTCAAGAACTTTATGATCCAGTCAGGTGACTTTGTGAACGGAAATGGAACTGGCGGCGAGTCAATTTATGGTGGAACATTCGATGATGAGAATCTGACATTGAAGCATGATCAACCGTATTTGTTGTCGATGGCGAATCGTGGCAAGAACACAAATGGAAGCCAATTTTTCATGTAAGCTTGATAAGTGACGTGCATGGGTGGTGTTTGTGATAATTACAACGCGTTATCGTCAGAGCAGCGGTCGGAGCACCACCTCCATATAAATACCTCATGTTAACTCTCACCATCATGATGCTCATGAATATTTGAATGATTCTATTGTTTTGTCTCTTAATTCTCTCATTCTTGTAGAACAACTGCACCTGCTCCTCATTTGGATAAGTAAGTTCACTAAATTAATGAATTATTGATTGAAATCGAATTAATTTCCATTTTTTTCCTCCTCAGTATTCATGTTGTGTTTGGGCGTGTTGTGACGGGACAAGATGTTGTAAGACAAATCGAAAATTTACCTGTTGATCGCAACTCGAGACCGCTAGAAGAGCCGATGGTGAAAACTTGTGGAGAACTCATAAAGCAAGTCAAAGGTTAATTAAACAAAAGAAAAAGTTTTTTATTTCATTCAAATAAATTATAATAAAAATTTCACAGCTAAAAAAGAGAAGAAAAAAAAGAAGATTGCAGCAAGCAGTGGAACTGACTCAAGCGATTCTTCATCAGCACCGGATAAGAAAAAGAAGAAGAAAAAATCATCTAAGAAATCAAAGAAAGCTTCAAAAGAGAAGAAGTAATGAAATTTGTTTAATAATTAACTTATTTTAATTAAATATTTCGATTTATTTAATTAGAAATGAATCAGTGGAGGAAGGGGAACTGGAATCTGACAATGAAATGTTAAATCCGATGGTGTCAGTCACAAAAATCGATCCAAGTGAAATTCCAGAAGTTTCTCATAAATTTTTGATGCGTGGCGATCGTTCGCATGATGTGAAAACAGTTGCAAATAAGAATGGTGAAGGAATGAAAGAACGTAACTTTGGATGGTCCAAGAAATCCGTTCCCGTGTCAAGATCAGGTCGAATAATTCGAGGGCGTGGAAATTTTCGTTATCGAACACCGTCAAGATCGCGTTCACGTTCACGTTCAAACACTCCTGAACATTGGAAAGCAGCACAACGAAATGTCATTAAAATGACAGATTTCGAACGACTCGAAGAACAGAAGAAATCGCGAGAAGCTGAACTGGCACGTCGTGCTGAAGAACGTCGAAAACGACACGAAGCTTTGTCAAAAAGTGACGGCAAAAAATCTTTCTTTGAACTCACTCAAGATGTTCCACCATCACCGCAAATCATCACAGTTGCAAGCAGTTTAACTCGTCCCGAGAAGTCGCCATCAGTTGACTTGAATGCTTTGGATTATGAAGAAAGCGACAGCGATAAAGAAGCACAAAATTTCCGAAAAGCTGAGGAGAAAAATGATAAAAACGGGAAATCTGAAAGCGTCACAAAATCACATCGACGAGATCGAAGTCGATCAAAGTCCCGTGGCTCACCAGTTAATCGTCGCAGCAGATCCAATGATCGTCCATACAGAGACAGAAGAGATTTTCGTCCATTAAATCGAAATCGTTTTAATGACAATCGTAGATGGGACAATAATCGACGATATCGTTTCGATGACAACCGCTGGGGACATTCGAATAAACGTCGAACACGTTCACGATCACGCTCAAGAAGCCGGTAAGTTTTGAAGTTTAATCGATAAATAAATCTTTAATTTTTTTAATTCTCACATAGAAATCGTTCGAATCGTCGACGTTCTTCAACACCTCGTCATAAACGAGAAGCAAAACGAACTCAATCACCACCGAAAGCGTCAAAAAGTATTGAACGTAAACCAACTCAAGTTGATACTCAAGTCAAGACGAAAGACGAGGCTGACGACATTGCTGAACTTGAACGACGAGTTTTAGCTGCAAAGAAAGTGTTAGAAGTTATGGTGAAAGGGAAATTAAAGGAAAAGTCGAAGTCACGTTCATCATCTTCGTCGTCATCAGCATCAGCAGCAGTATCAGAATCATCAGAAGGCAAGCGACAAGCAAGAAAACGTTCAAGTCGTTTCACAAGTTAATTATGCTTTCTTTTTTCACTTTTATTGCATTCTTTTCAAAAAAAAAAACATTAAAAACATTTTTTGTGTGGAAAATCTTCTTGAGAATTATTAGAAAAGAAAAATAAATAAAAGATTTTGTGCACGCTCAACTTGTCGTTTGTTTGAATGTTTTATGGCCTGATGATTTGTGTTCTTTCATTCTCCATGTCAACGAGATCGACTTTGGAAGGGAAAATTGTTTTTAATCCTCCATCGATGTTGACAACGCGAACTTGTTCAATTTCTAAAATTTTCTTCCCATCATCGCCATCGACTTGTGAGTGGCAAAGTTCGAATGTCTTAATTAACATTGCAGACATAACTTGATGACAAATTGCAGCATTGACACTGCTTGTGACTTCGATAAGCATTCGTTTAGTGTTGGCACTCATCTTAGAGACGTCGGAATTTGTCAAAGGTGGAAGACTCAAAACAACTCCGTTGTCAGTTTCAAGAATTGCAAAATTTTCTTCATCGTCAAGGAGATGAAGAAATTTATAAATTCCTGTATATTGTGAACGTTTCTTCTCTTTTCGAATGACATCAGCTTCGGACTTTAAATTGTTGTAATACTCACTGGCTGTGACAACTTTGGAACGTCCTAAAGGATGAATCATGATGTCATCTTTAAGTTTAGTTGAGTAACGCAATGACTGTGATTGAATTAAATCTAAATCGTGTGTAGCAATTGTAGCTGATTCGCGTTTCTTGCAAATTCCATCGTGAAGTTTCGTTTGAAATTGAAGAAATTCTTTTAAAATTGATGACGTGAGTTGAAGATTGTTAACAATGCAGCATAAGATGAATCCACGTGTTTCTTTAACTGATGGATCGAAAACAATCTTGAAATTCTCGTTGGCTTTTTTCACAATGATTTGATGAAGTTTTGCGATGTTTTTTTGAGTTATTTCTTGAGTGCTGTTCTCCTTCTTTCCATTACTTTTCTTTTCCTTATCTTCCAATGGCGCTGTTAATCCCATCTTTGAAATGTGATCCATAATAGCTTTTAAAGCTTGGTTTTGATCAATATATTTATACAATTTCTTGTCTTTCAATGGATTGTTTTTGAAGCCGAAGGCTGGAAGAAGATAAAATTATAAAAAACAAACAAATTTAATTTGATTAAACTTACTTTTCAATTTAATTGAACCGAGACTTTTAGGAACTGCTGTGATTTCATTCTCTGATAAATCAAGATTCTTCAAATTTGGTAATTTCATGTCATGAGGAATTTCTTTGAGATGATTTTTACTCATTTTCAGATCTGTAACTGACGAAGGAATTTCCGGAAACTGTGAAATTTTGTTCATTGAAAGATCCAAAACATGAATTGAAGATTTCAATTTGAAGACGCTTATTTCATTGTTGGATAGATTAATTGTTGACAAATGCTCCATTTTTGAGAAATCAAAATCGAATTCTGTCAATTTATTACTTGAAAGATCCAAAATTTTTAATTTGTGAAGTTTCTCAATCGAAGCTGTTAATCAAAAAGAAAATTAATTTAAAGCTAAAACTTTAATGTAAAGTACTAACCTGGAAGTGATGACAAATGATTTCCAAACAACAGCAATGATTGTAAATTATCCAATTTTTCGATTTCATTAGGAATTGCGCGAAGCTCAATCGAATTTGATAATTGCAATAAATTGATTTGTTTCAACCCAAATAACGCAGAATCCAACACACCATTGCTTTTCAGCAGTAGTTCTGTGAATTTATCACTATTTAACTTTAGTTCACGCTTCTTTTCTTGCTTAACAGAAAAAATTTCCGGCCACATTTTTCAACTTTGTTTCCTTCTAAACTAACACTTTTAAACAATCTTCAAATGCACGCAAAAACTGAATTCGGTCTGCTCGGCACATCAGCTGTAAGAGTGCGTTCAGTATACGATGACAGTGAAAATTCATCTTTTCCTTTAGCAGAACTTCCACTGTACAAGAAAACATGAGAAAGGAAAATAATTTAAAAATTCAAGAATGTGACAAATTAAATGTTCTATGCTTGCATGGATATCGACAAAGTGCTGAATCATTCAAATCGAAGACTGGTTCATTTAGAAAGTTTTGTAAAAATTACGCAAACTTCACTTACATCAATGCACCGCATTTAGCGAAGCCTTTTAATGAAGATGACGAGCCTGTTGAAGAGCAGAGAAGTTGGTGGTTCAATAAAGATGATGGAAGTTTCAAAGGAACGAATCAAAGTGGACCAGCAATAGGTTTTGAAGCCAGCTTAAAAGTCGTTGAAGATGCATGGGCATCTGGAGATTATCAAGGTCTTATGGGATTCTCACAAGGTGCTAGTTTCATATCTGTCATCTGTAGTCTCAGTGAGAGAAGTTGTAAGTGTAAAATTGTTTAAAAGAAATGTTAGATATAAGAAAGCTTCTTATTTTTTTCTAGTAACAAACATAAAACCAAAGTTTGTGTTAATGGCAGCTGGATTTCTCTCTGGATCTTTAGTTCACAAGAACTGCTATGAAAATCGAATCTCAATTCCATCACTTCACATTTATGGTTCAACCGATGAAATTATTCCTCATGAAATGAGTTTGCTTCTTGAGGGAGGTTTCGAATATCCCAAACGAATCCAACATTCTGGTGGTCACTACTTTCCTGCTACCGTCAATGAGAAGCAACCTTACATTAATTTCTTCCAAGATCAACTTCAGAAATATTTAGAAGATAGAGAATTGAAAACTGGTGTCACCATTGAAGAACAAGTGGAGGAAAATGCTGACGAAAGCTGAATAATAACCGAAACGTTTTCATAATCATTTATTACAATCTATTTTATTAGGAAAGTTTTCTCACAAATAAAAAAGAAAGAAATTTATAAAAGAAAAACTTTTTTGTTGGAGTTGAAACGTTCTTGGAAAAAAAATAACTTAAGAATCTTTCACAATAAGCTCAACATCATCGAGCTTTTTTATCAGGAAATAAATTAAGGCAAACATCAATTTGACTTTAGTCCCAGCTCGCAACAGAGAGTAGTAATTAATAATAAATTATAACACGTCTTTTCCACCCACTCGTTTTTTTTCTTTAATTTTCATTTCTTTTATTTTTCAGCCGGTGCAAGAGTGAAAAAGATGAAAGCGCGATCTTTACGATGACAGGATGTGTGTTTGTGTTTATGATTGATAAAAAACTCAACTTGAAATTATCTTAGGCTTGCTCCCCATTAGCTCCGTCCTGATTTTTCATAACTTCGGGAAGATCGGGTGGTTGGGAGTAAGGACACATCTCAAGCGGCTCAAATTCGTGATCAATGCGAAGGGCGAGTCCTAAAACTGCTGGTTGTTGGGCTTTTGCTGTCAACATTGTAATTCCATACTCCGATAATTGCTTATCATCATCCATAAGTGTATTATCCTTGTTGTAAACGCGCTGATCTTTTGGAGCAACTTTAAGGATGCCTTCGATCATTTTTTTAAGTTCCAGTACAGTCGTTGTATCTTTTGCATCTGTAAAGATTGTCGTTTTCTTTCTTCTTATCATCATAAACACATCCTGAAAGTAATTTAAAAAATAGACAAATTGTTAGGATGCACGAAAAAGTATCGTGATGATAAACAAAAATTCGAAATTCCGCTTTTTGTCGGGGGGAAAATTCGGGTCAAAGTTTGTAATGGAAATAATTCTTGCTGAATCATCGTGGCGGCACAGCACTTACCATCTTTGTATTCTAATTATTTTCTTAATTTGATTGCAGGTTAAAGAGATTATAAAACTGTCTTTTTATACGAATTTCTTATCGATTTTCAGACTTTTGTGCTCCCAAGTTCTGATGGTGGAGCTTTCTTATAATGATGTAACATACAATGTAGGTTTAAAGGGTGTGAAGGTAGGCATTGTTTTGGTAGAACTTCAAGTAGAACTGTTCTCGATTCTTGTTTTCATTTTCATAAAAAATTAAAACTTATATAAAAAACTAATGTATTGAGCTATAAGAACAATAAGAAGAGTTAAATAAAACATAAAAGATGGAAGCTGACTTTGAAACTAAAAAGAAAATGCTTTTTGCATCACTTGAAAATGCTGAGAAAAATCTTCAAGGTACAATTTTGGAGCAAAAGGATAATTCAGGAGATCTCTCATATGCAAATCAGACAAGAAAGAGAAACAGAGATGAATACACTGATAAATACAAGAACCGTGGTAGTTTATTTAAGAGACCTAATCTTCCTATAAGTAAATGTTTAAAGAGTCGTAAACAACCTGACTATGTGGTAAGCTTCATTAATTATTTTAATAACAGAGAAAATAATGAAAATGTTACGTTAATAGAAAAATCCAAACAAGTGGCAGCATTACTCATTAGACGATGTTTCGGATACATCGGAGCGCATGAATACATCAGCAGCATTTAGTTTTCTCAAAGAAATTGAAGCTCGCAAAGATTCGGAATCAGTAATGAACATTGATGACGAAAATAATACTTCAAAGATTGTGTTTAAGAAATCTGTAAGATTGAAACCAAAGCAACAGGAGATTGATCCTCATTTAGACACAAAAAAGATTCAGAGTACAAAAATTGTGATGCCAGAATATGTTGTTGGTCAGAAGAAAGAGAAGCCTAAAAGAGATCGAAAGCCAAAAGATCGTGAACAAGCAGGAACTTCAAAGCTTAAATTGTCTCATCTTGATGAGGAACTTGACGATGCAGATGAAAATTAAAATGAAAACAATAAAATGACATCATTTATTATTAATCCCATTCAATATGTAGTTGTTTACCCCAAAAAATTCTAATAAAAAGTCGCGATATTAAGAAAATTCTAATATACCTAAATAAATATTTAAAGTGTAGTTAATAGAAATTTAAGCAACAATTTCAAAGAACGTTGAGAGTAGAGAACTCTCATCAACTTAAAATACAAATTGTAAGCTATTCTTGTAAAATGTTTAGTTAAATTAAAAAGTTTCAATATTAACCAACAAATATTTCAATTGCGAACTTAATGCATTTTGTGTATTCTTGAGCGAGTGGTTCTGAGTTACTTATTTCATCAGTGATGATGTTTTGCTTAACTTCACAATTTAACCGCATTCAAATAAAAATATTTTTTCATTCCTTATATGATATCATTTATAAAGCATCCCATATTTATATTTTATTTTCAATCACCTTACAACTCAGAACCCGTCATTTATTTTTTTTTAATTAATTTTTTAGTTTAGTTAGTCGCTCAAAAGCATGAAATGAATTTAATCGAAGGGTTCAAAGCTGCATTCTCTTTCCTATCTTCCGTTTTTATTGTGATTTCGGTGTGCTTTCTTGGTAGTTTACAATTGGAAAACAAAGGAATGAAAATATTTTACAAAATCCTATTTTTATTCATATTTTAGGCTGGTTTCTGATATACAAACTATTTCTACTCCGATTTAAAGTAGTACGAGAATTACTTGGTCAACTGAACGAACCAGTTGATAGCAGTACTGAGGCGAAGTCTAAAACAAAGAAACTTCGTCGTGATTAAAAACTTTTTCTAACGTTAAACATCCCGAGATTATCATGAATATCCGATGTGCAAAACCTGAAGACCTGATGAACATGCAGCACTGCAATTTGCTTTGCTTGCCTGAGAACTATCAAATGAAATATTATTTTTATCATGGATTAACATGGTTAGTTGAATTGCTATTAAATTATTTAGAATTGCTCATAAAATGTGAATGTTGCGTAGGCCTCAACTATCATATGTAGCAGAAGATGATAAAGGAAACATCGTTGGCTATGTGCTTGCTAAAATGGAAGAGCCTGAACCTGGTGAAGTAAGCAAACATGGACACATAACATCATTAGCTGTCAAACGACCTTTTCGTCGTTTGGGACTCGCTCAGAAACTTATGAATCAAGCATCTTATGCGATGGTTGAATGTTTTGATGCTCATTATGTTAGTCTGCATGTTCGTAAAAGCAACAGAGCTGCACTTAATCTTTACACGAATTCGTTGGGCTTTAAAATTCTTGAAATTGAACCAAAATATTATGCTGACGGTGAAGATGCTTACTCAATGCGCCGCGACTTGACTGAAATAGCTAAAACATTGGATCGTATTGATGGAAGTCTTCCAGCTCTCACAGGTAGATCAAAGAAAGAGCATGGTCATCATAAGTCAGATGGTCATTGCTGCTAAATTTGTTTTCAAGGGATGGAAATTAAATAATCAAACTTCAATAATGCTAAATTTTATTAACTGTCTTTAAATTCGCTAATAAATGGAAATCATTTTTTTGAATCAGTAAAAAACCAATTTTACAATTTTAACATTTATTTATCAGTAAGAATTCCTTATTAAATTTACTTTGGGAAATTATCTGTGAATGTTAGATGAGAATGAAGAAAGTCGATTGGTTATTTATATGCATATCCGTCTTGAAACGGAAGCAAAGGGAAGATAAAACAGTAAATATTTAGAATTATAGCATTTCCTATAATTTCCTATAATTTCCTATAAGAAGTCATGTCCATGAAAAATTACCTCACTCGTTCTCCCTTTCTCTCTCTTACTTCAATGCAGTGACACGAACCAATCATCTTAAGAAGTGTTTGTAAAATGTTTCAGTTGTGTTGTACTGTTGATTTCTTTAATTCTTTCTCTTCCACATTTCTTCATATTTTTCATCAGTTTATTGAGAAACGCGCTTACGTCGAGACATGCTTTCGGTGTTGATAGTTTTTAATTTTTAATATTTCTTTATACTAAAGTGAAGTTATCAAGCATTTTCGTTGCATATTTTTCGCGGCAGTTTAAATTAAATTTACTTTTGATATTTCATAGAAATCCTTGTTACTTGCTAAAAAATCTGATTCATCAGTTTTATGATTTGTTTACAAATTCTTCTGGTGTGATCAGTGAAAAATATAGACAAGAAGTTAAAAGTGTCTATTCACAGTGGATGAATAATAATTTTTAAAAAGTTTACAAGATTTTCTGGAGAAAAAGAAAAAAATCAGAATTTATATCAAACATGATTCACGTCGGCGACAATACATGGAATTTAAGGATCATCATCACGGATCTGCAAGTCGAGAAGACTTTGCGCGTCAAAGGCGATCTACATATCGGTGGTGTTATGCTGAAACTGTCAAAAGCTGAAGGTATTTACAAAATTTTTTATCAGATTGTTAAATTTTCGGCTCGATCTACAAAACTAAAATATTTCCATGAACCAAATTTCGATCTTTTTTTCACGAAAGGAGGAAAGTCGAGTGATTCGAGAACGAGAAAGAAAAAAAGTTTTAAAATTCATAATCTTTTAAAAATAACTCTCAAAGTCACATGTGTGTTGGTTGGTGGTTTCTCTCAATATGTGAGTCTTTCATCATCGCTAGTAAGGCAAAAGAAACACAAGAAGATCGTGGGCGAAATTGAGAATTGCGTCACGTCCAAGGGCATTAAAGAAAATATTTCCCAATAAACTTCTCGACATTTTTTCCTATTGAGAGAATTTTAAATGTTGATCATTATCTGAAATGACGTCACTTGCTAAACCATTTGGCAGTCATCGCGATTATTTCTCTCTCCTACACAACTCCAACTCCTTAACTTCAACTCACATTAGTGTATGAAAATTAAATTCGAATGTGAAATGAAGCAAGACAAGCAAAAAAATGAATTACAGAAGAAAAAGAGCTCAGCAAGCGACTTCTTTTTTTTTCTTTGCTTTTCTGATAGCAGTCGATTGGTTGTGAAAATGAAATATTCTTGAGAAGCAAAAGTAGGCACTTATGTTAGTTAAAGCAGAGACGTCCGAATTAGGATGGCAATAAAATCAGGTATTTCCAGGTATTGCATTGTGAAGGTTTATTGCCATCAATGATTGCTTTAAAGATTGTAAAATCAAGTGTAGAAAATCTTAAAATTGTACAATTCTTAATAAAATCGATAAATTTCATCGCCTTAAAAATGCCCCAAATCACGTCTCAAAATCTCAGCATGATACTTTCTAATCTGATGAACTTCTTTTCGGTCGTGTTTGTAAAGCAGTGGACAAATGTCATTAGCTTGCCAAAACGACATTGCTTTACAACACGCCAATAGATCCATGACGAGTAAATTAATAGTCCATTGCCGAAAAAGAAGAGAATTAAATCTGATTAACTTGTGGTCGCGCGTGTGAAAGATTCAATGGATTGAAATCACGGAAGTTGCTATTTATAAATCGTTCGCATATACAAAAGAAACAATAGCGAATAGTGAAATGCCCACCGGTACCGCTAAGGCTTTTAAAAAAAACTGTTTTCATGTTCATCCATCAACGATGGCACAGTTTTGAAAGGAAGAATAGAAAAGGAGCGAAACTTACCCTGTTGGTGAATAAATTTTATGTTGTGGCATAACTAGGCGAAAGAAGAAACAACGGAAGAGAGAGAAAGAAGGCAGAAACAATGGGCACAAGCTAGCGTCTGGAATGAAGGCGCTTCGATACTTAATTTCATGGTCGAAATCGTAAAATAAAATTCCAATTAATTTAACGATCAGCCGTTTAACTTTGCTCGTCTATTTTGATAGATTTGTCCACAAATTCTAAGACCGCAATATTTCCAACTGAGCGCTCGCCCGGAGCACTGACCAATCCAGATGGTCGCGTGGTTGACAATATTATTGTTGTTTTTGACGCTACAATGCTACTATTATTAAATTTAATAACTTTGTTTCGCATTTCGGACATTCAACATAGCGTGATGACTTTGTAACGTTATTAAGAGCAGAATTGAAATGTCACTGCGATGGAACTCAAATGAACTCGTTAAAAATTTGTTTTTACGATCAAAACAAATTTTTTATATTCGTGCAATATAGAAGGCGAACATTTACTGTAAATGGATGTGATGATGTGAGATACGACAAATGACGAGAAGCACACAAAAAAAATTGTTCCAGTCACTTCAGTAGAATGCTTAACACATGATAAACAAACTCGAACTTCACCTTCTCGTCTTTAACTTACTGGTTTCGTTGATCAGCAAAAAAATATGAATATTCATTGCGAATGAAAATTGTCTATAGAGTCGGTGAGTTATTTTTAGAAAGTGATGTCATCAACAACATCCAACTTCGCATGTTTTCATTAACAAAAAAGTTCTTCTTCAGTCAGTCGTAAGCATGAAATTTTACGATTTCTTGTCGCCTTGAAAAGCAGCAAAAAAAAAACTATTTTGCTCGTCCCGTGTGTGTTTTCAACTCATCCTTCAAAGGTTAACTCATCATCATCACGACACAAAACAAAATCTTACTAATTTTTTTGCGACGATTTTGTTTTTTGTTTTTTTTTGTTGGCATCATTGAGATCGCTAGAGTCACGAGCGCAAAAGTAATTTAAAATTTACGATGCTTTTTACTTTGTTTAACCGTGATATGGGAGACTAATTGATGAATTAAATGCATGAAATTCATCCAAGAATCACAAGAGAAACTTTCTAGTTGAGTTTAATCTCGACGACGATGTTGGTTGTTGCGGGCGAACAAATTAAACTCACGACCGAATAAAGAGCTCCGCTAAATTCAGTAGGTGTAAAAGTCACAACAAAAACAAGCAAAATTTTAAATGAGACAAGACTCATGTTGATTCAGAGTCGCTCTGGTGCGCTATTTATAGTCACATGTACGACTAACATTTATATTTTCATCGATTTCGCTTGGGATTTCATTGAACATCTTTCTTCTTAAATCTGTTTTAATTATAAACAGTTTTTCTCTTTTAATTAAAAACAGGAATATTATGAAATGATGTAACAAAGCTTTATAGCCTCCAAGTTGAAGAAAAGAATAATTCGAGACTTGACATCACTTAACTTGTTGTTGAAGTTTCATTCTAAAAAGAAAACAAAAATTGGTTTTTGAACAAAACAAGAAAGAAGAAGATAAATTTATGATAAAAGTAAATCACAGACGATCCATGTTCTCGTAGCACGATGACTCCCAAAGAGATGAAAAATAGTGTGCTGTCTATTAATAGACAATGAAAACGAATAAAAGTGAAAGAAAATAAACGTAAAACATCTAAATGTGAAGAGGTGAACAGGTACATCGTTGAGTACGCGCCATCCTTACAATAAACACAAACGAGACTCGGCCTTGAGTCATCGTCGGCTGTCAATCTTCTTCGTCCCAAGGATTCTGATTCATAATTTATGTGACGCTTCTGAAACTTTTCCCTTCTTTTTTCTTCTTAAATCAATCTTGAAGATTTATTGGAAGGAAAACCGTAAAAAAAAGGTTTGAACAACTGTAAGTCATAACACTCAAAGACAAATAGTTTATCAATAGAAAAGAACTATTAAAATCCCTCAAACTCCCTTGTTCAATAACAATCAACTGAAGATTGTTAAAAACTTTAAAACCCTCTTTAATATTGAAAAGAAGAATAAAACTCTCAAGGGATCCACCGTCGATAAAACGATTTCAGTTGAGAGGGTTTTTACGATCTTCCCAGAGTCTTCATTAGAAAGTCATTTCGAATGTTTGAGAATGAATCTTGGAAATTATTTTTTACGACACTTTATGTGTGTTGTATCAATTTCATAAATTAGCCGCTTCACCCTCCCAAGTTGAGGAATGAGAATTATCGTCGTTAAAATGAACAGTCAAATCCGATGCGGGTAATTTTTAAAGTTGAATGCCTTGAAAGGATCTTTTCGTTCCGATCTGATTAAATATGAACATGGATGGATAAGGGTGCCTGCCTTGTAGTTGAGTTAAAACCCTGGTTGGTGATTGAACATTCTTTTACTGCTAGTGTTGAGTAAATGATCGTCTGTTACTTATGAATTTATGGGAAAGTGAAAAAGTGTTAATTCTTAAGTTCTTAGTTCTTAAGATGTCTCTTACCAATCAACAACACCCACAAGAATACAAGAAAGACGTCCAATAAATATTCAATTATACATCTCTTGTCACTATCATCTTAACCACTTCAATTGGTCGCGCTGACATTCCTGTGAACGAAATTAAGGTTTGGCCTTCGAAATTTGAGCTTCTTCGATGTTTGATATGCAATCGAACAGAAAGGAAATTCCATGACCGAAATGATTCGGTGATTTATTCATGTTTGAGCAGAAGAGAAAGAGAAGAAATGAAAAATCTATTTTGTGGTTCTCATGATGTCGCATTAAAGAGTTTTAAACGATTCTAGAGAAATTACTTTCACGTTTGTCGGCCCTGTCGTGACGGGTTCATTCTTCACCATAAGAAATATTTCAAAGGCTTAAGAATAAATAATAAGTCGAGACATTTCGGATTAGCTGTGCATCATTTTTTTCCTTTTCTTCATTTTATTTTTCTCAAACTTATGTTTAACATTAAATATTTTGTGATTTTACATTGAAAACCCTGACAATGACATTAAATTTAATACCCGAAAAAGAGCACGAACTTCCAACCAGAACGGGATATTATTAAAAATACACAAGAAGACAAAAAAAAAAGAGAGAAAGGAACAAACAATAAACAAGCATAAGAAAGACCAAAGCAGAAGAATTTCTAAGAATATTTGCTTTTTGTTCTTTCTGCTGTGGTCAAAGATGGTCAGAGATTTAAACAGAAATATTTAGAGAATGGAAGGTAAGCGAGTTTCCATGTTGCTGCTTCATTAATCAGCAAAACTTATATCCATCTAATTACTCTCTGCAATCTTGGGATATTCAAATATTCTTTATTTATAACACCACAGGGTTTGAAATTCTCAATAATTCGAGTCTTAAGTTACTGTTGCGACGACGCTTCTAAAGCCTTAGAACATTTCTCATTTGAAGTTGTAGCGAATCGTATTGAATGTCAAGAAAGAATAAAAAAATCTTTCAAAATGACGATGAGAACTTCTCATGCTTCAAACTATTCATTTTGATTTTATCCAGATAGCGGATCCGATTTGATTTGTTTTGACAGTTTTCAGTTTCTGATTTTCTCTTCCGATGTTAACAAGAATCTCCTTATTCGGGATTTCCTTTCAATTCAATTGAAAGATATTTTTTACATACAATAGAAGCATTTATTGAGATGCGAATCCATCATTCGAAGATATTCATGAAACCCTTTTTAAAACCAATTTGACTAACGCAAAAACCATAAGCCCAACTTAGAATTCATATCGCACTCTAGTCTGTTGAAGAAGAATGTTTATTTTGAGGTAAAGAAGAATAAGACACGATGAGACTTTGTGAGAAACATTAAAACAAGAAACCGTTTGGTTTATGTGTTTCCTGATTATGTAATCTCACATGTTGTTCTTTTTTTCAATCTTTCTTATGTACAAAAGTTGCTTTCATGATGTTTACATTTTTCTCTACTATTGTAAGTAACTGGAAGAGAAAGAAAAATACAAACAGTATGAAAAAGAATTATGGAAATGAGATTTGAGATTCGTTTCTATGAACTTATGGCTTCTCTTCACTCTCATGCATCGTTGATCCTTAGATGTACATTCTTATTCAGTCACGGTCAGTTGTATTTAACATATTTACGACAAGTCATAATAATAATTTAAGAATTAGTTTCAATTGAATTTCATTCTGTAATTTTTCATTACAAAGATTTCATTTTACTTCAATTACATTTCTGACAAAATGGGAGAAACAAAAACGAGGTCAGAAGCATTAATTTTACATTGTATCATACATGAAAGGAAATCCATTGAAATTCAATTGATTTTAGCACATTATGCAGAGATTTAAATGTCTCATGACCCATATGTAGCTATTGATAGATTTTAAAACGGAAGTAGATTGTTATGATTTGAAGTTTCAATCGTTATTGCCAGTATAATAAAAGTTAAACATAACAAGTAAAGAAATGACTGAGCGAGTGTTGATTTCATCATTTTTGATGAAAAGTTTTCCGATCAAAACGTTTTGGCACATTCATGATGAGTGATGACCCACAAATCACTCAAATCAATTCAATTTCACGCCAAAGATGGTGAGACAACATTCATTTGAAATATATCTTCAACATAAGAATTAGTCTCACGTTCGATATACAGCAAAGCAATTTGACGAATAGTTCGATCTCAATAATTGATCATAAAAAAGTCAAGAATGAAAAATTTGGATTGCCAAAATGTTGTTGTTAGAAAGAAGATTTCCATTCATAGATTCATAATATTTATTGATATTCAAGAAGCATCACAGCGTGTAGATAAATCTTAATCGAATGTACGTAAAGGCGGAGAGATCTTAAAAATTATTGTGTTGCGATACGTTCAATTATAATAAAGTAAGATGAGTGAAAGGAAAAAAAACGAGTAGCTAAGGAATCATGCCTCAATCATGATCTGAAATGAGCTTCACTCGTGAGCAAAAAAATGAATTAAAATTGCATCACATTTCATGACAATGACGTTCGTTTTTACTTTGTCGTGTGGAACAGTTATAAATAGTTACATTAATATTTATGCTAAAAGATTGGCGCCTGATATCAAGAAAATAATTAACTAAATGTAGATCAAGTAATTGAAACATCAGAAACTTAATTTAATGGCCGATCTTTTTATAATGAAAAGTGACGGTTGAACTTATTCAAGTGCAGTGTCAGCTAATTGCCCTGCATAGTTTCGACTAATGGAAAAAATTAATATGATGCGGTTATTCAATGATTCTGAGAAACTTTTGCATAGTTTGAGGCGATTTTGCGGAAATTTATCGTCTTTCATTTCTTTGAAAATAATAAATGAAGTTCTCTCAAGTAAGTGTTTAAGTAAACCATCTCATACCGATCAACATTTATCATTCACGTTGTTGCCTTGACGGACGAGAAAACTTAAAACAGTTTCTTTTTCATCGTCATTGGAAGAACAGAGGAATTTATTAAAGTACAACTATCTACTTAATATTTACTCAACTTTTCAATGAACGTAAAACAATCTCATAGCACTACATTGGAAAGAAAAAGTAAAATATTTATGCCACAATAATCTTAGGAATGAAAAATGTTTGATAAGATAAAAAGAAAGAATTTTTCAATATAAATATCATAAAACTACATGAAACAAGAAATCTTATCGCTTTTATTGTAATCCATCTCTTCCTCACTCTCTTCATCAAGTGCCAAAGTTTGAGTAAAAAAATGTTTATTTAAGAGAAGTTTTATGTCGCCACATAAAAGAGAAAAAGAATTCTGGGAAGGTTATTGTACTATTCAGTTGGTCTTAAATGTTTGCTATTTAAAAGCCAGTTGCATAAATTTATGAACAAAAAACGTAAACAAAAAAATTCTGTGGCACCAGCAAATTTAAGACTGCCATTAATGGCTTCACATACCTTAAGGAAATTTGTTTAAAATTCTGCTAAAGCCGATTAAATTTCAAGTAAAGAAGAAACTCAATAATCAACAGGCGAAAATATCCCAAAAAACAAAAATTAATGTTAGTTGAAATATAAAATCAACAAAATGTTAACGTGATAACGAAACAAGAAAATCAAGTTTTGGTGGCTATAAAAATTTGTGCAAAAATACAAAACAAGCGGGAGATGTCTGTTGGCGGTCGCGACAAAATATCAACCTGATATATCTATACACATATGTGAAGTAAAGCGATGTTTGCGTGTGGATGGAAGAAGATTTTTACATGATCGAATGAGAAAATGAAGCCATCAACTTTAACGTAGGCATGTCTTTGATTCTTGATTAAAATTTCCAACGAAGCTTAAAGGAAGAACCCGTGGAAAGCTTATCGATTAAAATTAACTAAATTAAAGTAAATATTATGAAAGCCTTTCTAAATTGTGTATGTGTGCGGTTCAAATAAAATGCACAAATAAGTAAAAAAAAAAATATTATCGGTCGAACGAAGTCATCGCGTAAACGAAAATTAAATAAATTCGTGAAACGACCTTGAAGGCGCTGCTTCGGAATGAAAAAAAAAGACTCAGAAGTAAAAACATAGATGAAAAGAAATGCTTTTAATGAAAAATATTGAATTGAAAGCCGATCGAGAATGTGTTGGTTGCGATTCAATACATTTAACGTCGCTTAACAGCCTTGGCGGTTACATAAACTTATGAAAAATCTTTTCGCATTTTTTTCTTCATATCACTGACTATTTATGGAAATAGCAAGATTTTGAGAATGACTTTGGACTCCGAATACGCGAGAGATCTCTCGCTGTCTGTGGTCGTTTGTGAAGAATGAGACGAGAAATGAAATAAAAGTAAGCACTTTGATGACTGCAAACTTTTCTTTTTATTTTTCATTCCTTCATGAAACTTGTGTGCAGGTTGAAAAATTGCTAGAGAAAAGAATGAAAAGTTTGCTTATTTATGTTGAATTAAGTCCAAGTAGACTAACTGACTAAGCATAAATGGTCTGTTGGCTTTTCCGGAATGTCATTGTACTCAATTTCAGAGACTTCGTTTCTGTGCGAGGGCTTTCAAAGTCCGTTATTTGCAGTTTCTGAGCAATTATTGATATCTTCTGCTATTGTCGATCCATAAAGCATGTTGCCAAATTTAATGCATTTTCTAAATAAATATTCATGCCAGAAACTTTTGCCAACTTTTATATTTTATTTTCGCAAACTCAAATCATTCACATGCAAACATTTATTCATTAAAGAACTCATATCGCGACGACCCAAATCACAAAAATGTCATGAACGCAACGCTGTTGTTGCTAAGCTTTTGTGCACCAACTTCTCAAGATTTCCATATTCGAACTTGACATTGAATTCTAACAATCAACTGACCTTAACTCATTTTGTTGTATTTGACAGATGAATGCAAAAACATAAAAATTATTAGTTTGTGTAAATTCTGAACGATTACCTAGTTGATGTTGAGATTTACTCGGAATTGATTCCATTTGTACTTTGAATTATTAAACTCACACCTTACGGTGGCCGCAAACAAAATACTTAAGGTCATTAAAATCTCGTTTTCTGTCCAAGCATTTCATTAAAAATCTAAGCAACAATAATAATTGTTTGATTGATGGTAGGAAAATTGCCATTTTCGGTTCAAATGAGCTTGCAAATATCATTCAATTTTCGCTCGTTTGTATGATTTAATAAATGAGATGATGTATGAACAGCCATGCCTCTTCATTACTGTTGAATTAATTAGGTGAAAATTTATTAGAATGACATGAACCTAAAGGGATTGCAAATTATTTGTCAGCAATTAAATTGCATGTAAAGAAAAACATTAATTTATGTCAACCTTGGGCAAATAAACATATTTAAGTATCTATCAACATTCATAAACTAGAAACATAATACTGAAGAATAAATAAGAGTTAAAAACTTCTATTATGACCTTATTACAAACTAATATCACTCATAAACCGCCTGCTTTAGAAGAAATCTGGAAAAAATTTAAAAATGATATGAAAATGCAAGCAAGTTGATTAGTTAGAAAATTAATACGCCTTATCATTCATTGTACACTTCATTATTAAAAATAATAAATATTTAATTTCATTTTTATTCTTGTCTTTGCTTTTCACCGCCAATCGATCACGAATAGAAAAAGAAAACCGAATGAATTTTATGATAGCAATCGCTCTGATTATTTGAACCCGACGAGCTTTCCAACATTAAATTTAATCGATTGATCAATGAGTTGGAATTTTGTGGCGATTTTTACAAACGATTGAATTGAGTCGAATTAATCGAACAATGAACTGATGACCGCAACGAACAAAGTGTCGAAGAGAACAGCAAAGCTGTCGTCAAGTGACTCATCATGATTCATGCATGATAGCAAATAAACATGACGTTTTCGGAAGGAATTTCTTTTTACTTTTAAGCAATGTGCAAGCTCAGCTTTGCGTTTCCATGAAGCATCAAATTGTTGAATGATTCACAATTGGACGTCGAGTCGATTAAGTGCTGAGCGATGGAAAGAAACTTTCATTTTTTATATTTTATTAAACATCCGCAATCTTTTTTTCTTCCCTTCACTCAACCATCACCCATCAACGAAACGACTTGTAGTTCTCGTTGTTGTTGCATTTGGCTCTAACAAGTCTGTTGACGATAACGGAGCATCGAGAAATTCGCACATTTCATATTCTGAGTCATCTGATGTCGTCATCATCATGACGGCTTTCCATTTAATAATCTTCATTGTCATTTGGTTTTATGTCTTCATTTTATGTAGAATTTATGCAGAAGGCAATTGAAACTTTTGTGGCATTCTAAAAATAAATGAAATGCTGGCAATTCCTATTATAGTTAGTTTTGCAAACATTCAACCACTAAAGTTGGAATGTAAAAATCAAGTTGAATGTTTACAATCCGATGTGCCTTGTTTATAAGCAGAAAATGTTTAAATAAACAAATTGTGCTCATGGGAAAATGAAAATTATCAGCGTTGAGATCTTCAAACGAAAGTTCATTGCATTTGAAAAGGTGGAAAGAGAAAAACTTCACAATGAACCAATCAATCAGATAATCTTTTTCTCCACTTATCTAAACGTTTGATGCAAATTGATATGCATAGAAAATTTTCTAATCTTTTTTTCCATAAACAGAAAATAAAATTTATAAATTGAAGTCTTGAAGGCTCAACTCAGTATTGGTTGACAATCGTGACATTCTGTCATTCATCAATCTTTGTATTCGTTTTCACCTCATGCCTCTCGATGCTTTTTCTTTGATATTTAACATCTCGTCAGCTTGCAATTCGTTCACAATAGAAACCTTTGTTTGCATAATTTGTGATTTCCTTTGATTGAACTTCTCATTTCATTTATGTCACAAAATGTTAACCATCTATGTCGAGGAGGGTTCATTGCTGAAATTATTCAGAGGGAGTCAACCAAATCACACCACAAAATTTTCACTTTTTCTCTCCCTGTTCTGAATCCTCTAAAAATAGATCATCCAAATGCAATAAATAAACGCAAGAAATAAACCAGAGAGTCCCGGAAACACATGTTTATGTAAGCAGACACCCGAGCACCCGAAAAACGTTCTTTTTTCATTCCAATCCGTTAGAAATTCACATGAAATTGAAGATGGAAATTGAATTTGAAGCGGTTGAACTAATTCTTCAACTGATTATTTTCCTTCCTGTCGTGCTTCAAGAATGTTATGTTAATGAAGGGAAGAGACAATTAATATCTAAAATTTCTTAGAAAGCCGTTTCCCGAAATCGTTTTTTACTTTATTTTATGTTGAGCCGGAATTGTCGTTTGAACATGATGACACGTCGTCAAATTCTACAAACGGATCTTTTTTTAATACTTACAACTTAAAAGTGTTAAATGTTTCTTGTTTCTTTTTTACTCCATTATGATTACGAAGGTGTCGCATTCAGCAGATGGAAATGTCTCTTCATACCCTCATGTGAATCATTGTTAATGTCAGTGTCGACAACAATTTTCCATATGCTTAAAAAAGTAATAAAAAATGTACTCAAATGTTCATCGTTCGATTATGAAAACAAACAAAAACTGAGAAACCAAACCAAATAAAAGCTAACAATTTTAATTTTACTGCGTGTGCACATCATCGCATACCTTTCATGAAGGATTTCCGGTTTACAAAGGCGAAATGTATCACAAATGATCTCATCAAATGAAAACAGCATGGAAGAATATTTGCTTTGCCTTTCCTTCCTTTAAAGGAAAAAAAGATTATGAGGCTCAATTCTTATTCCGGAAAGCAGATGTGCTTTAATTAAATAAAAAATGAACTTATGTAATGCAATTTAAAGTTTAATTTTTAATTGTTATGTTGCAAACTGTTTCAGAAATAATAATAATAAAAATTTCACGAGTCACTGACTTTCCTTTCGTCCTGTCAGACGTTATGTTAATTAAACATTTTACTCACATGAGTTCACTCACGTGAATTGTCTGTAACTGCATTTCATGTTGTAATAATTCTTTGTAGACATGACAGTTGCTGATAACGCGATGCAACCAAAGTAATGAATCTCAACCGATAAGAAATGTTTAGGAATGCGATAGAAATATTTTCCCTCTTCGTCATTAATTGAATTAAACATTTCTTTTTAATAGTTTTGTTGACCAAATGACCCACGACATGAAGACATGAAGTGCACTTACAAGCTGATAATCAATGCTCGTCATTTCTTTCAATTGAACGAAGAAAATGACAAAAATGCTATAAGAAAGCAATTTATGCGTTGATAACGAAATTAGATTGATCATTGAAACTAATTGGAATTAATCGTTATAAAATAATTTAATTAAACTCTTTTTTTCTCTCTCTTTCTAGGTAAGTTTTGAAATTTCTTCAAACACAACTTGCGTCTTTCACAAGTTCAGGAAATCCAAAGATGGGACTAGAAAAACGAAAGCGAAATTTCATTTAAAAATTGCATGTGCACGATGTGAAACCTACAAATCGACAAGTCGTGTTGTGAGTAAATGGCATTAGAAAATATGTGTTCATAAAATCTGATGATATGAAAATTTCTTCCATGAATTTGACGTTTTTATCATCGTTTTAAATTGACATTTTCTCAAAGCAGTTAAGAGTCGGTTGTTTACGATGAGAAAGAAATGAAAACAAAGTTGATATGTTGCTTTGCTTCTTAAGTTTATAAACAGTTTCAAGTTGAAACCGTTGGCTTTCATGATAAGACATTAAGCTCTTTTTAAGAACCATGTTCGATTGATTAAAGTTGACATAATTTCCATAGTTGTGGAATTGTAATTGACGCTTTGTCATCATTCATTCTTCAATCCATTAAGCTGTTGACACCCACACCTTAATGGAGGTGACGCCGCTGTTATCATCACTCTTACAATTTTCTGAAAAGTCTGATACGTAACTTTAACTAAAATTTATTGTCCACGAAACTAAATAAACGAAATCGCTACATTAACTAAAGCATAAAAATATTTACTTCAAACGAAGATCACTTTTAAATGGATTCATGAGAAAAAGAGACAAATTTGTCTATGAGTGCCCACATTGCCGCCCATGCTCAACACTGTTGGAATGTTTCAAGACACATCAAAAATCAAGCATTCCATTCGATCCATTTTCGGGCAAGCTGCGGAGACAATAGGTGTGGCATTTAAATGGGAAATTGTTTTCATTGAAATGAAAATTTATTGAAGCGTGAAATCTTTTCCACAAAATTAGACTTCTTTTATTAGAATTAGAATTACTTCGATGAAACGCAGCTCAAGAAAGATTTTCTAAAGATTTGCCCTCATAGGTCAAGGTGATGTGCAGAGAGATAATAAAAGAAAACAACAAGAATTTTGCACACAATATGAGAATCGTTTCTTCAATTCATTTTTTTTCTGCGAAATCATCATGGGAAGAAATAAATTTTGAGAAGTTGAAAAATCTCTTCCCATTAGGATTTCTTTAGTCAGCTAATGATTCTTTAGAATATTATTCTTTGAACATCTAATTAAAGAACTAAAAAAAGTGAAATGAACTCTTATTCTTATGTTTATTTCTTGTTTGTTTGAAAATCACGCTCTGAATTTTTTTAAAGATAATTTCAGTGAGACACGACCAAACTTTACATAAATTAAAGAATATTACAAAGTTTTCATCATTTATCTTATCAAAAACCTGCATAATTATCAAAGTAAATTTATTCAGATTGGTCAATTCTTAAATCAATCAACTAAAAACTTTTTTGAAGAAACGTCGATCTCCAAACTGCTACCGGCGATTAATTTTATTACAATTTTTATGCTTTCTTTCTGTATCTTCATCTTCCACAGCATAGCGTGACTTCATTGCAACAATGAATATTAAAATTACCAGCTCGTAATAAATTATTATCTACTGTGGTCTGTGTTTACTTTAATTCAACTCTTTGTCTATGCTTTCCGCTTACTATCTTAAATCGAATTATGAATGCAACGCATTCTGTTTGTTTTTCATCTCACTTCTTCTGCATAATTTACGCTTTTTCATAGTGTGGAATAAATTGAATCAACACATGAATTAAGCGTTTAATTGTATACAATTTCCCATGCTGAAAGCATCGTATGGTTGCAGGTGAAATTATTCCATTAATTGACATGTTTCAAATCAATTATTTCTTCTTCGTCAATATCTTCCTGGAATGACACTTCAATGATATTTCAATGTAAAGCTTTTTCACATTTTTTTTTGTCATCTACTGCTGCCCATCAATGGTCTTTCATTCTCTTGTTAGATAAATTGGCGAAACGTCAAAATGTCAACAATTCCTGATTGGAAATGAATGCTAAAAGCGACGATGGCCAAACATTTTTTTTGTTCGTATTGTCATTTTCATTATTTAATGGGCTTAACCGTTAATTGTATTTAAATATGAATTGATTGGTACACAGTTGAATGTTCAAATATTTGTTGACGAATAACCATAACTTGACAATGAACCTTAGAAATGGAACACTAATTAGACAATGTTTAATGTCCGATCACGACTTGTATTTATTTTATATTTTTCCTCGATGAGAACTCAATTGGTGTTACAATTTTGAAGTTTCTATCAACACATTTGATTGAACGAACACAATCGATTGAGTCGCGAGCTATTCATTAACCACACTTTAAGAAGTGAAGAAAATTTAGTCAAAAAGCGAGGCTGTATAAAAAATAATTGATTCTTGATGAACGAATGAGAGTTGTGGAAGTTTTCGAGTAATTGTGGATGGTTTGACACTCTAAATGCTTGAAAATTTCCCACTTTATTAAATGATTGATGTGTACCATCATCATTTTGTCTTAAGCTTGGAAAGAATCTAAATTTCTCATGGTTATCAGATTAAACGTGCTTGAATCGGGAACGCGTGTCTCATATCGCCCTTAATCGATAAAATATTCAATTTTAAGCAGAAATAATTGTCATTTAATGTAAATATCGAGTCAAGCCAAAACTCTCATCAGCATAAATGCGTTTCAAATGAAAATTGATGATTAAATGCTTAATAGTCGAGCATCAAAGCGATAAATTAAATAGCATGAATTATTATACAACCAACGGAATATTAATTGATCTTACGCTTTAAGATGCCTTAAGCGATGCAAGTTACATAAAGATTTTAACATCGCAAGTCTCAATTTAAATTCATTTACGCTTAACCAAGAGCTATCTCTGAAGATCTGTTGTATTAACTAATGAATATCAGCATGGAACTGTTATTAAATGTACTAAGTGCTCATTTTGTAAATGGAAAAGTGCTTTTAAGCCTCCACATGATTCTACGACTTCAAGTCCTAAGAGAACTTGATATTTTTAAGTCGCAGCTTATGCTAGTGACAGGAAGGTTGACTCTAATTAAATTACGATGAAGCAAGAGTAACAAATTTAAACAGCTTTTCGATGACGATAATTTTTGTTGCCCACTCATGTCATGTCGTTTCTTTATGTTGCGAAGCATTTTGCTGTGCCTTATCTCCTTTAAAATGCATTCGATTCACTGGCTTTCAGTCGCATTCGATGTTTTTGATGCCATAAGCAATTTATCATCGATCCAAAATGTATAAATGACATACGTGCCATTTATTACCGTCACAAATCGGTAAACTAATCCACCTACCCAATCGACGAAAGTAGCAATTTCTCCCATAGCCATAACAAGCACATTAAATTTGAAATTAACCTTTCATTGTTATAAAACGTTTGTGAAAGAGAAGAGAGCTGTGATTAAAATCAACAATGTGGAGGTTTTCATCAGGGATTAAACATTTAAACAAGGAAATGATTCAATTCAATGTTAATAGTAAAATTTCAGTTGTTGGAATTGAGCGATTTATAAAAGTAGAAGCCACTAATTTTGGCTTAAATTCGTATCTGAAGCATACAACACATCAGAATGAATTGAGCCCTTAAATAAACATCTGTCAATCTATTCATTCAAGAATGGAAAGTGCATTAGATGCAGCGTGCATTTGTGTAAACTTGAAAATTATTTTTCTGCAATTTGTTTTGAAAAAAGAATTTAGAGACAGAAAAGGAAACATTTTGTTCATTCAAGCACAAGCCAAATATGAGAAATCATCTGGACAACAGGCGGCTGTTATGTACATTTACTTGTATTTATGTACAGACTGCAAGAAGATCCTTTTCTTGACTTTTTAACACCATGTGTTCCTTTTAAACTCTATTGAACCAATTGTGATATTTATCCGCTTTTCAAAAACATAATCTGGCCATTAACGTCAGACTCGTGTCGTAAGAAATATTGACGAATTGAAAAGTAAACACAGACAATGAATGAATGAATGAAATGCGAGGAAAATAATCCGGCAATTGCTCAATGACCACTTTTATGAAACAAGAAATGGTGAACTGCATAAATAAGAAAAATATCGAGCAATAAACTTTCAAATTATATGACGTAAAACCGAAGAAAATGTTATTAAATAGCATTTTATTAGCTTTAAACTCGACGGTTGTGCTTTGTAAGTAGATCTGCATGTGTTGCATATGGTTTTTCATTTAATTCGGCTACGGTATGAATCCCAATGAGAATGACAAGTTTTGCGCATAAAAATCTTTTATGTAAATCTTTCATGTTATCGCATCGTCGTCGTATAAGAACAGCATGGGAATTAATAGCTTTATGATGCAACAAAATTCAATCGTAAATCATGAACAAAAACATTTTCTTCCCAAAAGTTTCTCAACTTTAACATGATCGTAATTTCGAGTGTTTTACGGATGATTCCCGGTCATCAATTATGCTTTATGCTTGCAGCTTTTTTCCAGCTAAGAACTTTAAAGAAAACTCCAAAAAAAAAGTGAAGAATCATAAAAAATGAGTATAATAATAGTGACATGAAGAGAAAGAAAAAAAGTTCTCACATTTTAATAAATTATGCTTTAATGTCCCGCAATCTCTTATTCATGTTCGGGATAATAAATTAAAGAGAGATGTAAATGAAGTCTCTCATAATTTGTATGAAAACATAACATCTAACAGATTTGTAACTTGAATATGAAACGAATTAGATAAACTCATCATCATTCGTTCTATTTTTTGGAGAGAACAAGAAACACTTTTAAGAAAGTCAAAGTCGAAGTAAAAATGTTATGCTTCTTAAGCCGATGCGGTTCACAACAATAAAATAAAGAAAGAATGAAGAAAAAGTAATTTATGTATCACTCGCGGTGAAAAGCATTCGTCTGGAACAGTTACAAATATCTATTTACTGACTGCAATGTCACTTATGGGTTTAAAACCGCATCAAGAGATCAAAAGGAAGTCATTCACTCCACTGCAGTCATTTCATTCTTTTTTATTTCTTTTGTTCATGCTTCGTTATGGAAGAAGGTTTTGTAATTTGTCAATTCTCTCATATTCAACTTCAAGGTATGAAAATCAATGGAAAGCTTGTAATCGGCAGTAAATATTTTGAACGAATCTTCTCTTGGAAAACTCATAAAAGTGTTCAAAAAGAACACAAAGAAATTTGCAATAAGAGCAGCTCGTTTTTGAATTCGATATTTTGTTCATTCTTTATGCTTACTTGCTTTTACGAATTTATTTCTCTTTTGACAGCATTTCACTGACAATTGTTCTTATTTCGTTGGATAACACATAAATCCCCCTTCGCATAAAGAGAAAGAAGCACAACGAGTACATTCATGATGATACAGCATCGGCTTTCAACTTCAGAACAGAGGCTGGATGAACTCAAAAAGCGAACAATTCAAAAAGATAATTATCTGAAAAGAAAGAAACGAAAAAACGTTTGCATTGAATGCATCATCGTTTGGCTTCTCGTATTTACTCAACCACGGTTTCGATTGCACGAAAAATTGAAACATTTACAACATTTTCAGCTAGGGATTGGCTGGGTTGAGAGAAATCTTCTGTTTGTTTGTAATAAAATTGTTAAATGACACGTGCATTCTAAATTGTTAATAATGTTTTACATATTCCTCCATATTTCAACTCATGTGCAGCTATTGAATGAGCATTGAGTTTACAACTCGTTGAAAACATACACAAATTTATCAGGAAACACATAATCAATGTTGTTATATGCTCAACTTCTGAGAATCATCGGTTGTTATGCATAAACACTTTTTTCACTTTTTCACTCTTCACTCTTCAGTTCCATCTGCAGCTATGCAATGCATTAATGTCGATTTGTATTAATGATCACACGCTGAAAAGCGCAAGCTCGCACTCCCATCTAAGTATAATAATAAACAGCGCGAGGCATTTTCTCATTTAAAATGTTTCTACAAACCGAACAAATTTTTGATGGCGTATTAAGATGAAAGCCACAGCTTGATACAACTTGAAGTGTCGGATAGACGAGAGAAATTCAAAATTCGAAGTGCGATTGATATCTGAGTTCGACATGACAGTTATGTATGGGCAATTTGATGGAAAACACTTCTGGTTAGCAATAAGAGCTTAAATTATTTCTATTTATTTGTTCAACATCTCAAAGGGCTCTACCACCTTAACCAGCTCGATCACCATGGAATTCTTCGACTTTATTTGTATTACAAATGATGAAGCAATTGGATGAAGTTGTATTTACTCACGAATTTTTGACTCAACTCTAAAATAATAAATGACGTGTTAATGTTCGATTTTTAACTCGAAACACATCAGCTCGATTCTAAAGGAATAACTTTACAGTTCCAAACATTTATATTGAGCAGATGTTCATTCAAAGCCATCGATGATAAAGTTCTTCCTCCAATATAAACATTTTTATGTTCCTCCAACATAAATTATTTAATTGATCTCAAACAAATGAGATTTTTAGAAGAAGCGAATCGATCAAGGTAATTTGAAACTGTATCGAAGGGTCGATTTATTCGAGTGATAGTCGTAAGACAGATGGCGAATTAATGCGAAATTAACTTGTGCTGTGCATTCGCCAAAGACCCAATTATCGTCATGAATTGTATTTTTATGGCTGACGATCGGTAGCAGAAGAAAATTAGCTGTCATAAATCTGTCGTTAAAATTGATGATGTTATTAGCATTCCTAAAAATGTTGTTAATAAACATGAGGAAACTAGAAGAGATAAATATGAATTGAGTAACAAGTCAACAGCATTCCAAATATATATCAAAGTTAAATTATTCATGTCATGTGTCGCCTCTCCGCAACAATTTCTTCACTTCATGATTTTGATTCCTTCATCTAGCTTAAGACATTAGCTTCGTTTTTAAATTAGCATAATTTATGTTGAATAACTATCAGATATGTTTTCATGTAGGTATCGAACTTTACACCAATTTCAGTCAAAACATTATTTTTTATTCGAATTTTCTTTCAAATCACAGAAGAACTTTCACTTGTCTTAAAGATTGAACAGAAAGAAACTTCCTCACGTTTGTTTTTTCTTTTATTTTCCATCGAAACGATAAATAAAAGACGACGACATTTTAAAAACAAACTCAAGCAAGAGAGAGAAAGATAGAAAATTGGATCATGACTTTTATGTTTTAAATTAGATAGAAAAGTTGCTGTTTTCAACCGAATATGTTGATGATGTTTAATGCATAGAATTAGGAAAGTGATCGTGCATCAGTTGCTTTTGGAAACAATAATGGTAAAAAGAGCCACAGTCGATACATATATTAAAGCATGAAAATAAATCGTAAATGATCGTTGATGGCGCACGTTCCATTCTTTAGATACCACAAGCTGTGCACATTCATTAAACTTGTTATTTTGCTATAATTTACCTCTCCATAATTTCAATTTCGAAGAAAAGCACATTTGGAGGCATTTGGTCGCTTATCATGTAGTAAAATATCGTAATTTATTTTTTATCAGCTGCGAAAAAAGTGATAGCAAGTCTTGAACAACAATATTAACCTCAACGCAAACAATAAAAGGCAGATGTCGATAAAATTGAAGCTAAACGTGTGGGATGCTCGATCAATGAAAGAAATTTCATAAATTAGCTGAAAACACGTTGACAAAAGGAGAAACTTTTTTATTTTGTCACCTACGCGGAACGAAATTGAAACGAAGACTTTCGCATTGCGTCACTGCACGCCACCAAATAATTTTTATGCGAGAAATAGAAACGAAGAAAATTTTTGTGTGAATGAGTTTGGTAAATAAAACTATTAGGAACATTCCACAAATGACGATTTTTGATTTGAATTGTTGGAACCTTCAAAGCAACGAAACTTCCGATACTTGTCGGCTCTTATCTTATCTAAACTTCAAGACAAACTATAAAAATTCTTATCAAGACGTACAATCTTCGTCGCAATGTTCACGAGGTCTCGTTAATCAGACTTTTTTATGGGCTTAGTTTAAGAAGAATGTTAGCGTCGCATCTCAGGAATCTTAAAAATAAATTAAAGCATAGAATGGCCACCAGAAAGTCGAGAATAAATGTAAATTTATTCATTAAAGAATGATACAGTGAGTTCATTAGGAAATCAATTCGAGACGAAAAATTAATTTTAGCAACCAGTTTAATGGACGTAAACCTGATATTTTAAACCTTTTTTGGAGATTATAAAATATTTAAAGCGCTCAAGAATTCATTACAGAAATAAACCTCAAATTAACTTTAAGCCGCTGTTAGCGAATATTTTCTTAATTAGCCGAGACAAATTGATTTTGACCCCTAGAAGTTCTATCATTAGGCAAAAGCAAACCAAGCGTTGAACGGTCACGCTTCCCACGAAGCCTCAAAGCTCCCAAGAGTCTGATATTTTTGCTGAACTCTCGTTATTAATTAACTCTCTTATCGCATTTGAATCTCGTATTAAAATTACTCCGTTTTTGCTTTATGCTCTATAAGTCAATGCTTTGTATTTCTAAATATAAATATTAACATGAAAATCCACTCATTGGATGTTTATTTTTACAACAACTGTTATTGTTTAGTTTGAGATTTAAATCTTTATTGAATCACTTGCAAATTATTATTAAAATTGATGCCTTTTAGCGTTGAAAGATTTCATCAACATAAGGGAGCCTTGTAAGTAAATCAAAAATTAGAAATATGAAAAATCATTTGACTTCTACGACAAAACAAATGAATGAACCCAAGACAGGAAAAAGAAAGCTTTTTATTGGAATTTAATTTCGAACAAAAATGATTCAATTTAAAACAATTGAAAGCGAGGGAATTATAAAAATTGTTTTAAATTGCATTCAACCGATTCGCCATTAAATTTTTTTCGCTTCCAGCTAAACAAACTGAAACTGAAAGGCGAACAAACGAATCAATAAAACACGAAATAAAACTGATTAATTTCTATTTCGTATCAAATTTAAAATCCCCATTTTCTCTCTTTTTTGCTTTCTTCCATAACGATCTTGCTGTTTGGTTAACCCAATTGGATATAAAATCAAAGCACAATCAAAGTGAGAAAGCTTTTTGAGTTGAAAAACAATAAAATTACATTGAGAGATTCAATTTATTTGCATATCGAATTGAAGGAGAGAAGTAATAATCAACTTACATACAATGTATTAAGATTCTTAATTAAAATAATAAAAGTTATGAGACAGAAATCGAGTGATTTATTCTTTCCGCACTATAACTGCAAAGCTGATTCGTTGCTTATGCAGCATAATTTTCACTTGCAAGAAGCAAAATGAATAAGAAACTGCGGCTTTTTATTTAATTTCAATCCCGCAACATAACAATCAATCTCAGTGTGGCTGGAAACGAATAAAAAATAAGCTGAGAATGAGATTGTTGATACACCAACGGGCTAAAGCTATAACAACAACAACAACATTAACAAAGCCAGTGATAGCCTTCGAAACAGAGAAAACAGAATATAAACGCAGATTAATTGCATTCTGATATTCGAGAAATTATTGAACGGTGTCGATGAGGAAATTCAATTTCATTGATATTATAGTCTCATTAATAAGACTTAATAAAGATCGATTTAAGGTATTTTTGATGATGAACGATAGAAGGCGAATAAAATAAATTGAAATAAGTAAAAAGAATCGTCTTGATGACTTGTAATCACATGTGAGAATGATTGAAATCACTTGAAACTTTCATCTCGAGTTGCATATTTAAAGAGGCGGATTTTGACGTGGAAATTGAGTGTAAATGAAACTTATTGCTTCCAGTTTTCGTCGAACGATTCTTTCATCTTGAAATCCCCTCCGTTAACCCGCATTTATGTGATGAAAAACAGGTTTGTCATGTAAATAAAGTAACTTAAATACTCATTTTCAATTTTCATAAATTTCGTATGGAAACTTCAAGTAAATGAAATGACTGCGAGTTTTGCAACTTCCTTTTGCTGCTAAAAGAAAGACTCACACTTAATTACGTTTTAGGTGATCGTAAAGCTGTGCTAGCTGATTTTTCTTTAACACTTCTCATTTAAAAAGTGCAAAAGGAATTCAACTAAAACTTTAAATAGAGAAGGGGAAATTTACGATCTCATTTGCAGATATTAAAACACATTCTAATAGCTGTATAACAATACAGCAGTTGATGTTGGTACATAGAAGTGACGAAGTGCAATTTAAAGCTTATATGACAACTTTTCACACTACCACAAATGACTGACTCCAGATTTATTGAATTTCATCCAGATGAACTTCAATTTATCATTTCTCTCATCGCAAATGAATTTCCATTTTCAAGTGACGACACCTACACAAAATCAGTTGTAAAAAATATTTGCAAAACCGACAACAAAAAGAATTAAATTGAATTAAGTTGACTTTGTTGTAACCGTGACCTCAACCGTTTATGGTGCTTAGTATCGCTCCACCAAATGATACTCCAACACATGGTGATGTCTTTCTAACGACCCGACCCAATCAGCCTTTCAAATGGCCAATTTGCTAACAATTTAATGCCTATTGAAGCAGAAATATTGCTCAGGCACGGTTTGTTGACTTTTAAGTTACTTCAAGCAATTAACCGTTCAATGAGTTCAAGTTCCCAATGATCTAATTAATATTGAAAGTCACACTCTCACTCTGCTATGGAATGACTGTTTGTATGTTGCCACATACGTCGCTAAATGATTTGCAATGGTAATTTACATTTAGTTCCTTGGAGCACGGACAATATTTTATACACTCACCCACGCAATTATCATGATGGAATTATATTTAACGTGACAGATATTTCTTTCTCTTTCCCTCTTGTTTTAACAGTTCTTTATTATGTCGAACAAGCCACAAGCTACACCTTCACGATGATTGTCAAACCTGCTGTATTTATATTTATGAATATTTATTAATGAATGAAACAAGATTTAGGTTTGCGTTAGTAAGTCAGGAGAATGTTGAAAAGTCGCTACATTGATGATGCTTTTTATTTAAGTAGGCGATTAATTTGGATTTGCATCGTGTCGTGTTGCTTGTTAATGATTCGAATAGTTTATTGGATTCAAACGTGCTTCGTTTTTGCATTCAACTATTTTTAAAATGCATTTGTAAAGCCAACAGCTCACAAGCTTAAATATTTCGTAATCAAGTTGTCGCTTGATAGTTAAATAATTTTAGTCTGACACATTGTCGTCATCGTGTAAAGAAAAGAAAGGAAAATTAACGAAATAGCAAAGCAATTAAATTTATAATACAAAAAGCAAGAAGGAAAACTCTTATCCCTTATAAAGCTTTTAATGATCTTAAATGTTTCCACATCTCATCTTCTTCAATTTAAAGTTACGAGACAAGAGAAGTAGTTGTGGAATTTTGCTAATAACTGACATGAATGAGCTGCGATTGTGCTAAGCAATTTTACTTAATATGTTCATAATCTTAGGTAATTGCCGCCGTTCTTATACAAAATCATCTACCGTTCTCAAAAATTGGAGTTACATGAAAAGATTTTCATATTTTAATTCAATCTCGGCTCATTGAACATTACAGGGAGTGAAAGCGAAGTGCTACCTTTTATGGCGTCACTTTATTTCGAAATACGAGCGTTTTGTTTTGGTAAGATGTGACATGAAAGGTCGTCGAGGTATTTTAAAGCAAGGTATCAATGGATGGCAATTTTCAACAACTAACGACATGGCATTGTTATGAAATAATCTTTTGTGTTTGTATAAATAAAACGACATACGATAGACTCCTTCAACTGTAATCTCATGCTTCTTTATTATGCGCTCAAGCCATGAAAACCGTAAATAAATATGAAGCAGTGACATAATGCAGTAAGGAAATAAAATGAAGATGATTGGGTTGGGATGTTTCGTTAACAATAGTTTTGTATATATAAGAATCAATTTATTAATGTTTATCTTGTGTTGAAGATGCACCAAAGCAATCGTACATGGCGTGTAATGTGTTTTTGTTTGCCCTCAAATCACAAACTAGTTTGATTGATTCTATTCTCATTCTTTTGCTTATAAGTGATTTCATAGGGGGAGAAAACAAATGACTAAGCGTCGTTAAAATCGAATATTAATAAAATTAGCAGGGGGTTGATTAAACTCTCACAACCGATTGTTTCTATTGTTACCAACTCTCAATCTTTTTTGATGAATTGATATCGGAAACTTCGTCAATTTAATGAAAATAACTCTGCATGATGAAAGCGGTGAAGGGATGCATAGACAATTTGTATGTCAATATTTAGCTTATAAGAATGTTTGGTCAAGTCGAGCATTAAGTGATTAAGAGATCAAAATAATTAACGCTTTCAAAATGGTTGAATTTCTCGAAATTTTTCAACTACAATCGGTCATTGTCCAAGAGCTTTCAATCAATCGCTTTCACAAGATATTTGTGCATAAGAAAACAATGAACAAGCATATCGAAAGTCACTTCTCGCTTCATGAAAGACCATTGAGGATGAGAGTGACCATTTAATGAATAAATCAAATTAATTATGCTTGAAAATAAACATTTTGATCTTTCGTCTCGTATATTTCTTTTTCTTTCTACATTTCTTTCAAAAGGTGTACAAGTGCGATCATGAAGATAGACACATGATGCCTTTTCAGAAAGAGATTTTAAAAATAAATATTCAAACTAGCTCGACTCGATGAAATTATATTTCATCTAATGCGTGTATTGTCTACTCTGTTTGACTTTTGAAACTAGCTCGAGATAGAAATTTCGTTTATGATGAAGTTCGAGTAAATAAAAATTTATTGTTATTACATTAACAATTCTTCGCCTTCTCTTGAAAAATGTTCGTGGATTTCTTCTTCATTTAAAATTATGAAGCAAATGCTCCACATGTGTGTTTGTTTTGGCGCCATTTCCACAATTTTTCAACATATTTAAAGCCTTTGTTTTTCTAACGATTTAGTAATGTTGTTGAATCTTCAATTCTCTACATTTTCACTTGATAAATGAGTCAACTTGGCAGGCGACTCATAGGGAGAACTTTCACCAGAGAGACTTGAATGGAAAATTAATTAATTAAAAACAATTTCGAGAAGCAAATGTCAGTTCATTCAGTTTAGTCTGAAGGTCAGCGAGTGCTTCATTTGTGGAATTAAAACATCGAGCCCTTGTTGAATAGAACATCATCAGCAAGCATAAATCTAACTTTGCTCCCACTTGAGATGAACATTGAAATAATTTTTTGAAAGATAGTTCAATTAAATATAGATAAAAGGCGAATATCACTGAAAAATAAGATGGAATTGAGAAAAATCTTTAATTTTGCTAAAAATAAAATTGCTTTGATATTAATTCATCGCGTTTTGTCTGTATGGAAATAAAAAGTTAATATTTGCTTATAGAATCGACCATATGGCTGTGATGGAGACGTTTTGAGTTTTTGTTTTCAGGGACACATAAATTTATCAAGATTTTGTTAATTTTCTGACACAATCGCTGTGTTGGTGTTTGTCACGTTGATGAACATTAAAACATGAGATTAAACTTCTAACGGGATCGTCGCCCTGGACACTTTCCACCAACAGAACTTCCTTTTTTGATGGTCGAATATGGTAATTTAATAGCAAAGCTGTTTTAGGAATTTTATTGATGTTTTGAATTACATGGGATTGAGACGTAAATGGTGATCGAAATCTCAGTCAAATTTTGAATCTGTCCGAATGTGGTTCGTAGTCGTTAAAGAGTTGTTAATGACTTGTTATAAAATATTTCCAAAATCTATCGGTTTTATTGTTATCCAATCTTGCTAAAATATTTTTTAAACAAAACACTTACTGGAATTGTTGAGTGGTTTGAAAACATCTTATCCCAAACCTTCTCGTTTATTTTTATGCAAATTTATAATTTGTTTATTCTCGTCAGTAAATCGCATGAGAATGAAATTCAAACCATAAACTTTTGCTATCCACTCTCATGTTTTAATTAAATAAATTAAAAGAAGTTTTTTCTTCTTCTAACTCACGAGAAGATTTTCATTATTCAACGGCGCATACTTATGATGTTTGTATGGATCTGTTCATAAATAACGTCAGATAGTCAGCCTAAACTCATTTCATTTTATTAATCAAAAAATGCTAATTTTATTAGATTTTCTTCAAAAATAAAACAGATAAATTGAGATTAGATATTTCAAACAACCGCTAAATGATTTGATGTGACAAAATAACATAATTTTTCAGTTTTTTATTTTGCGGGATTTTATTTTGTAATGCGAATCCATTTGCATATTAAATCTCCAAGTAAATATTTTAATTTGCATAACGCTAAAAACTGTCAAGAGATAGAAATTAAAACTCCTTTTTGTTGTCTTATTTCACTTAAATATTTAAGCTGAAAACAGATACGTGAGAGAAAGGAAAAATTGCTTCTGCCAATATTTTAATGTCTTTAATATTCGCGAAAGATCAGAATTTAAATGGATTTTCAATTAATGAAGATTTACGAGTCTGGTCGATTGGAATGCCTGAAGAGTGTTCACTCAAACGATATAAATTCATAAAGAAATTGGCTTCTGAATGGTTTATGATTAAATAAATTAAAATTTCGCTTTCATCAACCAGCCATAAACAAATTTTTGAGAATTGAAACTCAAAATCGTGTACAAACATATGTGAATATCGAAAATGGTTGAAATTCCCTGTGGGTAAATAATGAAAATAAAAAATTAGTTTCAGTGAACTTCAAACACATTATTAGTTGAGAATTGCGAAACTTATCGGAATGGACGGAAAAGAATGAAAAAGCAAGCAAGAGGAAAACTAAAATTACGATAAATTATTGTTGCAAAATGTTATTTGAGACAAGCTACAACATTCCTTCAACACTTGCCTTCAATCCATTGGAATGTTCATAACTTTTTCTTTCTTTTATGCAACTAATAAATGCAAAGTGCATTTCTTATTCAAGAATTGTAAAGTGAGGGCGCGAAAAACTATAAATAAACTTACAACCAACAGCTTACAACCGGCTTTACATAAACTTATTTGGAAGAGAAATGTTTGGGAATTATTTCAGTTTGGTCGATGCGGCGCTTATGATAATTAGCCTCATTTGTATTCTAAGGAAGCTTCATTTCCGCAAATGAGATTTTCCATGTGCATTTAAATCTAAGCAAGATTTTTTTTTGTTATATTTAATCTACTTATCGTTCTTCATTGATGTTTCTCAATAAATTCTTCTTTTATTCATGTTGAAGCATGACAACAAGTAAATGCTACAATCATTTCAATACATAAATCTTGAATTCTCTTCTTTTCCTATTTTTCATTTATCATTTTCCACAACTATTGTCACGAATGAATGAAATTTTATAACTCAAGTCGTAAGCAATGGTAAGAAGAGGTTTCTTCATGTTAAAGTTAGACAAACAACCGATTTGAAGACGTCAATTGAATGACAAATGAACGGAGAAAAAGGGAAATGGTTAACATTAAACCGTCAATTGCAATAACTTTTTATAGGAATCAAAGTTGTGTTTAACAATTTCTGCTTTCTATGGTGCATTGAATAAAAAAAATAATTTAATTGGTGCAACTTTTTGAGTACTTTGTGACTCGAATAAACTTCATCAGTGAAATTGAGAAGCGTTTTCATTGAACGGAAGCAACAATTTGTCGGTTTAATTTAACAACTTTCCTGTGCTCTGAAATTGTTTTGTTTGTCTCACTTTATAATTTCATTTAATTTATCATGACAAATCACACGATTTTGATCTGAGTGAAGTAAATTTATGAGCTTTTGTCGTCGTACGCAAATATTATGTCGCTCTGCTGAGATTCAAGATTGCATGTTAATAAAAATTAAAACCTTAGACAATCTTCTGCACAATTTTTATACTTGTTGTGAGACAATTTAAATGACTATATAAAATATTTTCCTTGAAATCTCAAGATCTTTCGATTATTCTTTAATCCGATTTCACGCAGTTTGACCAATTTAATAAATAAAACAAATAAAAGACATTTGACCTAGTGACAATTTTATTAAGAGATATCTTCGCGTTGTTTCTCAATTTCCTGTGTCCAACTTTCAAACGTCAAATCTGTTGACAGGATTTGTCGCAAAATCTTAAAACTTGTTTTCAACTTATTGCTGTAAACTCAAACGAGCGAGATTTTATTAAGCATCAATTTCCTCGTTTTATTAATTCTAGAATTAAGACGTTTTCTTAATCAAACAAGGCGACTACTAACACCGCCCACAACACTCTAAAACCAGAGCAGAGAAATTTGTAATTTCCATTTACAACAAAAACGAAGAAGGAAAACGCAATAACCGTTCTCATGATCGGCACAGTAACAATTGCACAATTGTATTAACAGCCATATAAATTCTTGAGCTTTTAAAACTTATTTCCATCGTGTATTCTTTTTTAAATCGCATAAGCAAAAGTGAATTCATTACAAGTGAAGAAGAAAAGCAAATAAAGTCGAGATTGATGCTTGATGCGGAAGAACTCCACTCGTAGATCTCTCAAGAGTTTGAGATTTATTGAGATTAAGCATGAAATAATGTTTCTCTTCCACTCGACATGGGATTTATGCAACATTTAAATCATAAAGTTTGTTTGAATAGTTTTTTATAACAAAAAGAAATTCAAGAGCTCTCTTGGAGATTTTCGAGGCGGTTTTTCCCAGAAGGTTTCCAACCGACAAAGGAACGTAATTTAATCTAGTCTGATGGTCATCAAGCAGAGTTTATTTCATTTAGTGGGTTTGATAGTGAAACATTCATTTGTTATTCTGAACGATTCCTATGTCCATCAAATAATAAATCACAATAAATCCCGTCAGTTGTCTCTGCTAATAAACCTGAAACATATCATCATAGCTCATTCTGACAGAAACACTTTTGAAACTAGGGAAGACAATATTGTCCCAGATAAACAAGCGAATAAATTTCAATTTGCTTTCAAATCAGATTATAACTCACGACTGATAACATTTATTTACTGACTGGGTTATGCTGCCTTTTTATGATTTTTATAGCTTTTTCTTTCTGTTGATTTCAATTTTTCGTTACTTCTTTTGGCACACCTCGTTTTCATTTGATTTTTTATTTCATTTTCCGCACAAACCCAAGCGTAGTTCGACTTGTGAGATAGGGAAAAAGGGCAAATGTAGAGATAAATACGCTCGTTCTTAATGAAAGTTTATGTAAATTTTTATCGACGAACAGAAAAACAAAAACCTCACCGCACCGTAAAGCTTTTTTTCGGGTCGTGCAACATTTTATGTAGACCATTAATGTGAATTTCAAAATAATTCTACGCCACAAAAAAGATTTAAAAATAAATGGAAATTGGAAAGCAATTTAAACATCGGCACATTGTCGCGAGTCGCGACATTATTTCGATTGCTGCTTCAAGCTCTACAGTTTAGTAATTATCGCGCATGCAAATGTTACATTTGTGCTGGTTTGTACACAAACAAGAACGGTTATCGAAAGTTTTATTTTTGACAGACTTTCAAGTGATTTAAGCGACACATGAAAAAGTTGGGAGACTTGCAAGATATTTATTGCTTGTTGTTTTTACGTAAGCCTCAACTAATTGTTTCGTTTTGTAAATTTTTGTAATGTGTTGGTTGGTAATAAAGATCAACTCGACTCTCCTTGATAACGCTGATTGATTTTTTTTTCTTGCATGTGCTTTATGATTATGACATTAAAAATGCAAGGATGAAGTTATGTAAAAATTCTCGTCGACATCGACGTTAAACGGAACTCGCCCCCTAAAATTTTTAGATCAAAGACTAGATAACACGGCGAGTTTCTCTATTTTGTTCATTTTGGTTTTCCTGTGTCTTCGTTATGTTCATTGAATGAGCTATAAAGGTGTAAAATCCTACGATGAATAGTGAAGATAACGAGTCGTGCGAGTTTTGTGTTAAAATTATGATTGCAAACGGTCGTTTAAACCGTCATTAATGACATGATGAGCAGACCCAGGAAATTTCCAATTTTAAAGTCACAAGATTTCATCATAAAAGCGTGTCATTCTCAATTCCATCAGTGCCTAGGACAGCGGTTCACTTTTAATGGCACGTGATTATTGCCAATCTGAAATTAACTTCTCATAAGCTAAACATATAATTTCATACATTAAGTTGATAGTTTGTGAATGTCTATTTTATTGAGACTTTTTTTTCCACTTTTAAATACAAGTCGATAATGAATGACAATAGAATTTAATCGGGAAACATAAACCACAGATTAATGCTCCGAAACATTCAACTCAGACAACTTATAAAGAGTTTTGTTTGTTTATGTCCCATGAATTGAATTTATTGTTTCACAAGCTTCATTTAAGCGTTAACAACAACCTCAACTCTACAATAAGTCAATAAAGTTATGTGCAGAAAAGGAAATCGGCTATGCTTACCGTTCATCAAGCCATGATATGTTTCGTAATTTTCACTTTTATACTCAACTGACTAAGGCATAGGATAGGTCGAGATGTAAAACAAAAGCTTGTAAACAAACAATACAAATGTGAGATTTACCAGAAATACTGACATCACCTAGGAACTAATTGAATTCATTGAACTGATTCTATTCAAACTACAATCACTTTCAATTTCAAAACTGACGCAAAAAATTGTGTCTCAAATAAATGAACGTCGTGATTACTCACTCGATCAACATAAAGAATTATTGAGAGGTTACACATCGAATAGAGTCACGATAAATTCATGATTCAATATTATTTTCCATTATTCCTAACACAAGACATAACATCAAAGAGACGATCACAAAAGACTCGCCCGATTGAATCTTTCGAGGCTTCTTTTCTTAAAAGGCGAACATCAAATGAATCAAAATCATTCGAAGAAACATTCTTTCGACTAATAAATAATTTGTTGTTATGTAATGCTATTAGTTCAAAAACATGTTTTAGATTCTCAAGCTTAGACAATAAACTTCAATTATTCGATTTTAGATCATTCGATAAAAAAACCGCGTAATGTCAGCATAAATCATTTAATTGTAGTTTCTAGACGTTTGTCATCGTTCATTCAATTTATTTGTAAGCCAATTAGAAGAAGTGACGCAGTTTCACAATGAATAATAAACTGCGATAGATAAAAGAAATCTGAGCTTGAAATGGAAAATTAATTGGCAAAGCTTAAGCGCACCTTAAAATTTTCCGCAATTCTTGGTCTAATAAATTCTTGGCTTGGGATGTTGCAAATTAGATTCATCGACTAAAACGCTTAAGTCCAATTGTCTGTTATTAATTAGGTTAAACAAAGCAAGAAAACTAGGCCCGCCAGTAAATAAAAAGATGAAAAATCGCTACAATTATTCAAGGTAATGTCTCAGAAGTCCTTGTTGCGGTCGACTTTAACAAGCTCTTGACTGCTTTCAGTTGACCCAAATTTCACGCGTGAATTTCGCATTTCTATTGCTTCGTTTGCTTTTCCTTTTTGCCAATTTTCCATTTGACGGAAACTTCCGACATGGTGTTGGGAGAAGTTTACCCGCATCAATTAACCAAGTCGTCGCTCGAGTTTTATTAATTCTGCTGACAACACAAATTACCGCTGAAGGAAGTTTCCGATGGAATTTTCTGTCTCAATGTTGTAATCGGAAGTAAATCAAAACTTTTTCTCCGTCGTTTTCTAATAATAAATATCTACGACTTGGATATTCTCATGAAATGAAAGAAAGTAATTTTTCCAATAAAAACATCTTCATTTCGTCTATTTTTATCGCGACGCCGTCTTCTCAAAGTCAGAACACATACACACACCCATTAAACGACTCGACACAATTCGCATGGAAAAGCTTCATTGTTGTCTTTAAAAGCTGAACACAAGCACACATCGCAACGAGAAAATCGTTCTTTTTTTTGTTCTCAAGGTCGATTCAATCTGATATTTCAAATATTTTTCTAATGTCGATGTGCTGGCGCTTTTATTGGGAGTTGAGAAAGGAAATGTGCGTTGTTCGGCATTTCCAACATTTTTTTGAACGTTGCCTCAATAATATGAAATTCCGCTGAACAAATTTTAATTGTTGTTGGCATTTCTTTTGGGCAAGTAAATACTTACTAACACAAGTAGTAAGAAGAGTGCGAGATGGGGGGACATAAATTGGGTCATAAAAACTCATCGTCATGAATCAAAACTATGAATGATTAATGTCTTTATTTCCCTTCTTTTTATTCTCGTTATAGCAAATCCAAAAGATTGGTCAGATCATGCTTTGTGGTGGCCAGCAAGGAACATCTGGTTGACACGAACACGTTCAACACTCGATCAAGTTGGATTACATGCTGATGCGGTGCTCCACTTTACACCAATGCACAAAATTTTACGAGTTCAGGTATGTAAATAAGTTTAACGACACAAAGTCGTGCCAAAGTTTAATTGAAGAATTTTTATAATATTGGATTTTAATTTAAATTCATTACAAATGGAAATGGCGTCAAGCTGGCATTATTGAAAGAAAAAACAGTTTTAAACTTCACTTAGCGGTAATCTTTGTGATCTTTTTTTATTCAAGTAGTAAAAATTATAATTTGCAATGAGGGTAAAGTTGTCAACAAGCTTGTTGGTCTTTAAGATCGTCACATGTTCAATTAAATGCACACCTTATATGGTATTTTAGTATTCAGTTACATCATCGCTAACTGCGAAACAAAGTGCAACTTCGTTAATGAAGTGCTTTTTACTTTTATGACTATCATGTGGAAAAATATTCAGATTTCTTCTCAAATTCAAGTCAAGCTCAATAAATCAACTTCTTATGAAGTTTTTTAATGTCATAATGACAATGATTTGCATAAATTTAATGTAATTTTCTTCATGATTGTCGTAAATTTGTAGATTAATTATGAATTCATTGCGAAGCTAGTAAAAACCTCACATTTCATGACGTTGACGGAAGATGACAATTTAATGAATTCAACTTCTAATCAATGATTCAATAGCCAAAAGTGACAATCTATGAATAACAAAATAAATTGAATTGTTTTTGGAATCATATCGCCATTTGATTATTTATAAATTAAGAATTGGCGCTTAACATTCAACAATTTTGTGGCGAATTCTTTCTTCTTTATTTTCGGCTTTCATTAGCATAATACAGACAACAATTATGAACAATAAAAAGCTGAGTGAATAAAAGCGAGTGATTAAGTTTATTATTGTTATTTACATTGTCATGGTTGGGGCGTCGCTATTCTGTTATGCTGAAGAGACTCAAAAATGTGCTTAGTTACTAAATTGCTTAAAAGTACGAAAAGTTTTTGCGTTTTAATGGCCAATAAAGATTCACTGGTCTGCAAGTTCCTTCCAAAAAGGTCTTAATTCAATTAAAAAGTTCTTAAAAGTTCAACAAACTACGGAAAGCTTTAGTCACAGAAAGTTATTTATAAAACGCCGTCATCGTAAAAGTTTCGCCCCAAACATCGATTTCCATAATCAAATTACGAATGAACAGAAGTAAAAGTTTTTTTATGATGCAAATAATTGTTTTCCCCAACCCACAAACCCATCGCAAAAAGAATAAAAAAAGTTCTTGAAACAAATTAAACATTAATTGAAAAATTAAATGCTCAACTCCAAATAGTCTTTTCATGTTAGGATAATTGAAAATGAAATTCTTCGAGTCATTTGCTGGAGATCGTTTAGAAAACAATGGCAGTGAGAGGTGTTTGTGGTCAGAAATTTTCTCATTTCTTCATTTCGTGGTCATTCGCGGAAATTACTCTCCCATGACTATTGTCGGCGTCATGTCTTAATTTCAAGTTGAAATTATTTGTTTAATCAAAGCGCGACTCTCATGTCATCCAAATGAGATTTCCTTTCAATTTAAACATCATTTAACAAATTGAAGGGACAAAACATTTAACATGCAACTTGCTGATAAGTAGAAAGGCAAACCGACAAAAACATAACTATCATGCATGCCTACTCAATAAACCATCCAATGTGCTGCTATTTATGCGGTAAGATAGACAGTGAATGGGCGTTCAATGGTAGTATCGAAAGCTATTTGCAAAAGCTAATATAACGCTGTAAGGCATTCATTGACTAAAGAATAAATAAAAAACGATTTGACCATGATGCGAGTCAGCAAATTACCAGTGTAACATGAAAAATTATTTACTCGATGGAAGTGTCAGGTGTAAGTCAGAGAGCGACAATAACCGCGAGATCTTCAATTTTTTTCTTCATTTTTTAAATAACCGAGAGATGAACAAAAGACGCATCAATTGAATTACGTGTTAATCGAAGAAGATTCCATCTGTTGATTATATTTTTGTTAACGACTGAAGCTTCTTCGAAAATTAATCATTTTTTTTCTTCTCTCCGTCCAATGTTGAGGCGGAGACGACCCGCAAGTCTTTAAAGATTTTACACGGTAGATTTGAATGACGAAAGATGCCAAAAATGTCTCACACACGAAGGCAAGCAACTAAAGGAACGTGTATGCAAATTAGCGTGTTGCTGTTTGAAAAGAAAACAATCGCCAGTTAAGAAGCTTGAAAAACAATAAAATTCCATTTGAACGAGAACATGGAGATGAAAACAATTTGAATGTTAAAGTTATTGTTGTTTGATCAGGTGGGCGATCAGCAGAGACAACGCCTGCACCAATATATTCTCGATTCTCTTTCTGTTTGCCATTCCATTACGAGAGTTTTATGAATGAAATGTGTGTCTTGTATCGATCGATACGTAAATAATAAAAACGTGCGGAGGTGGAGAAGAATGCGATTGAAGTTTGTTAATTTTGTTTTCTTTTTTTTTAACATTCACTTTCAGATCCCAGATCTTCGCTATTTGGATTGTCGTGTTGACTTCTCAGTGAAGACTTTCAAATCTGTTGTTTCATTGTGCAAAGATTTGGGCATTCGTTATCCTGAAGAGCTTTCATTATGTAAGCCGCTTTCACCGGAACATTTGAAGAAGAATTATGCTGATCAGCCGAAGAAGAAAATGTTGGTGGAACAGAATGGAAATTATCAACATCGCGACTATATTCATCCAGCACCAGATACCAACACATTCATCCCAACGCATGCCAATAGCTTCAATGGCAGTGACAGTAGTTTAGATGATCGTCCATTCTTATGTGCACCAGTTTCACAACGACCAACGCCACCACCACAGAACAATACGCAAGGTGGCAGTACACCAATCAGTTCACCAACAGGCACATTACGTCATCATACGAATGGCTTTCAGCACAGTTTTAATGATTCATCTTCTAGTCTTGGTGATTTCATCGACAGTCTCGCTTATAGTCCTCGTGCTCCAAGTCCCGAAGCAATTTCAAAGCTTGTAAGACCGAAGACTCTCGTTGAACGTGCGAGAATGAATGTTGGGTGAGTTAATGAATATTTGCGGTTCTTAATGAAGAAGAATAAACAATAAAATAATTAAAACATTTCAGTTGGTTGGACTCATCATTGTCCATTATGGAACAAGGAATTCGCGAGTTTGACACACTTTGCCTTCGTTTCAAGTACTATTCGTTCTTTGACTTGAATCCCAAATACGATCAAGTCAGAATTAATCAACTTTATGAGCAAGCAAAATGGCAGCTTTTGAATGAAGAAATGGATTGCACTGAAGAAGAAATGTTGATGTTTGGTGCATTACAATTGCAGATTAATTTGCAAAATGACCAACCACAACCGGATTCAGGCATTGACACATCGAGTTTGGATAATGGCGATGACGATATTGATGCTGCTTTAAGTGAATTGCAAATAACACTTGAGGGACCACAGAATGGTACACGAAACGGTGACATTACCTACATACCTGAATTGACAGATTACTTGAGATTCTTAAAGTGAGTTACAACAATTTATAAATAATTTAAATTTTACTCATCAATTCGTCATTTTCAGACCCAAAAAGTTCACATTGAAAGCTTACAAACGTTATTGGTTTACTTACAAGGACTTGCATTTGTATCTGTATAAGAGTCGTGAAGATAGTCGCAGCAGCAAAGCACCATCAGAGTCTATAACTCTCAGAGGATGCGAAGTGACACCGGAAGTCAATTTGGCACAAGGAAAGTTTCATATTAAGTTAGAAGTGCCCCCAGATTATGGAAATGGACCAAACAGCGAAGTATGGATTCGATGTGATAACGAAGAACAATATGCAAAATGGATGGCAGCTTGTAGATTGGCAGCCAAAGGGCGCTCCTTAGCTGACAGTTCATATGAAAGTGAAGTGTCGAGCATAAAATCTTTCTTGAGCATGCAAAAACCAGCACAAGCTCCAGCAGTTAACATCAATCCCAACAATATCGATCCATCAGAATATTTAGCTCCAAGATTTGTTAAGAAAATGAGCAAACGAGCGAGTCACAGAATGCTCGACGCACATGCAAACGTGAAGAACTTGCCATTGATTGAAGCAAAGCTTAATTACATTAAAGCATGGCAAAGTCTCCCCGAATATGGTGTTTCCCTATTCGTTATCAAATTTGATGGACATAAGAAAGCTTGTCTTTTGGGTGTTGCAAACAATCGTATCATGCAGATGGATATGGGAAGTGGCGATCATGTCAAAACATGGCGATACAACAACATGAAGGTGAGATAAGAACAAAATGTTTTTAAATTACTTTTAAACTTATCAATTAAATTGTATTTTAGGCGTGGAACGTCAACTGGGAAGTCAGACACATGATGATTCAACTTGATAATGAAAACATTATCTTCTCGTGTCTATCTAGCGATTGCAAAGTTGTACATGAATTCATTGGCGGTTATATCTTCATGTCAATGCGCTCAAAAGAGAACAACCAAACGCTGAATGAAGAAATGTTCCATAAACTCACCGGTGGATGGAACTGAAGCCTTAATTAATTAATAACAAATTTGTTTTTTATCTTAACTTTTTTTCCGTTTAGTGTTTTAGTCAAAAGAAAGAAAATATTTTCTTAAAAAAATAATCATTAAAGTAAAACTTTGCCTTGGAAGTTTGTAAATAACTTATTCCGATCGATGCAAGAAATCATTAAGATCAATAAAATAATTAAAGAAAATTTATGGAGAAGGTTAATCAAGTTGAATGCAATTTTCGGTCGTGGAAATTAGCGAAGTAGAAAGAACATGCCAAAATGTGTCTTAAATTCTTATTTTTAATCTACTTATCCACATAAACACAAACACACAATGTTCGAACATAAAAATATACTTTGATGTCAATCTTTACATAAATATCTAAATAGCTGAAAGCTGACTTGAATGTTATTATAACAAAAAATAAATCTTTAGAAAATTAAATATTTATCGCCGTAATTAACACTGAAAAGCCAACGAATTAACCCACAAAAAAAGAAAACATTGTTACGAAAAAATATTCTTTTTTCTTGGTATTTAAAGTGAAAATTTATTTTCGTTTTATTAATGATTTATTATATTAATCATGATGCAGCATAAAATGTGGAAATAATTTGTATTTTTTCTCTTTTTACTCGTATTTGATGTAAATATATTGAAAGTGACGATTGTAATTTTATGTTTCAATAAAAATGAAAAATTTAATGACTCTAATTATGCTTTTTATTTGAATTCTTAAAATGAAAATGAAAATTTTTTTAAGTTGATTCATTTCTTGCGATTGCTGAGTGTGCCTTGAGCAAAGATGTTGAGATATTTTCCACGAGTGATTTCTTTCCCTTCATCTAACCCAAGTTGATATCCTTCATCGTACAATCTTTTAATTTCTGTTATTATTCCTGATTTTGGAAGCTGTCCGAGCTGGTAAATAAGTCTGATGTCCTCTTGTGTTAAGCCTTTTTCGTTCTCTCGTGCCAATTTATGTGCAGACTTTGCAAAATTATCACTTCCAGGTATTTTTTCAGGCCAAAGTTCAGGTGATGCTCGCAGATTTTCACTGCTTAGGAGGAAATTATCCTCTGAAATAATAAACATTCGTTAAAAATATTAAAAAATTATTGTTTACTTCACAAATATTTCAAACTAAATTTTCTTATGATTTTTAGAATATTTATAAAAATAGAAAGCGTGAGTCTATTTTAAATTATATTTAATGTACTTGGAAAGGCTTTAAGTGTACTTTAAAACATGTCTTATGCTAGAAATAAATAAATAATACCTGTGTTTACTTCTTTTGACATTTTTCTGTTAAAACTGTTGTACTAGATTTAAATAAACGTACGCACTCACCCTCAAGCAAATCCAAACGCCAATTCGCTTCATCATAGAAAAGTTTACCACAGTTTGGTGAATTTCCTTTATTCTAATAGAATAACCTTGCTCGAAGTCAAGTGCAAAGGGAAATTCATACTCCACGTGTTACGAATGGGAAGAGCGTTCAAGGACAACTCATTATAAAATTCAAGGATTTTTAAGTTCTAGATTTATGTATACAATAAAAAAAATTTATCGATTACTCCGACCTTTTTTTCGACATTGATCCTGATTCTCATTGAATATATCGTTAGGAAGCAGTTAAATGGAACATGAACATTATCAATTGAATAAAGTCTTTTGAAAGCTCTAACGAGCCATCAATTATTTTCCATGTCAATGCATTAATTATCTGCTTTAGCCAAACAATTTTTTTTATTTAGTAATTGAGTGAAACTTACAAATTAATTTCTATTTGAATAAGAAGAATTTATATCTTCATTGTAGTTTGTAAGTTTTCCTAACAAAATGTTTTCTTTTTCTTACATGATGAAAACTTTGTTAGAACTTTTTTCATCCAATCTCATCCTTTTTGATAAAAGTTCTATTCAAGTAATTTTTGGATACTCCCTTCGCCTCGAAAGAGCGTTAAATTCAATTTTGTTCACACGATTACGGATTCTGGAAAAGTTTATTTTATCTTTCGATCAGTTTTGTAGACACAACAAGTATAACATGAAATCTTGTTACGATGAGTTCTTCAAACGTCTTCAATTGATGATAAAATTTAACTCCACCCGTTTATCATCGTGATAGCGAGAGAAAGTTTGCTCCATAAACTTTCGTCATTGATAAAGCTTCCAAATTGTTTGCGAAACAAGACGAATTACCTACATCACAACATAAATTTTTGTAAGCATGAAAAAGGAATGTTGAGAATGAAGTTATTATTGGAAGAACGATGTTAGAAACAAAAAGAGAAATGAAGCTTGACAGTTGATGACATTTCTTCTTCCTTTGGGCATTGAGATTGACTCGAATTTGTGACAGTGTTGTGAAAGCTTCCGAAAGTAAAAAAATTCTCATTTTATTATTTTCCGTCACAAACTCTCTCAGATATGAGGTTCTGACAGTTTTTCTTTTTATAATAAAATCTTTTCTTCAACTCTCGTTATTATTTCTTCAAAGGTTTAAATATAAACTTCTGGTGTATTTGTTGGAAATTTTTTTCTCTCCAATAGGTAAGCCAACCATCTGGTATTCCTCTTAGAAATTTAATTTCTGATTTCAAAACTTAAAACAATCAAAACCCTGAAAGGAGAAAATTAACTAAAGAAAGTTTTTAAAACCACTGAAGAGAACCTAAATAACCCTTACTGCCTTTCATCTGACCAGCATATCATTCTTTGCCATTCAAGTATTCAAACAAGATGAAAAATATTTCTCTGCTGTCTTTAGATGTCCTTTCACGACACTTTTATCCACCACACAAAAAAAAAAACGGTCATCATCCTCAGAATTTTCAGCTTCGGTCAAAATTGCTTAGCTTCGAAAAGGGTTGAATGAAGTTTCATTAAACAGACAACAAATGCTGAAGAGAAGAATGCCAAAGCAAGACATGCCTTAAAGAAGGGTTCAAACCGAAATACACAAAAAATTAAGGGGAAACATAAATGAAACTTAATAAAATAAAAAGAGAAGAAAAAGAAAATCGTGCCTTGAGATCAGGTTGAAGGAAGCAAACAAAAAGAAAACGAACTGAAAAGAAAAGGAACATAACTTTAAAAGCTTCCTCAATTTAACAAGGCAAGAAAGTTTTGAGAATTTCTTTATCATACTACATCAGTGAACTGTCGTCATAATTCTCATTCAACACCCTACGACTGCTTTGAATATTTTTTCCCAGGATATCAAATGATGATATTTAATTGCTGACCTTTTCTGTGTTGTTCAAAAAGCAAATACAATTCCTATTTTCTGCTAGCAAATCCCCTATAAAAAAAAATAATACGCCTTAGAGACACATTTAATTAAATCTCATTTTCCGGTTTTTGTTGATGATGAGGGGTAGCAGCGTAGAAAAAGCACAAAAGCTTTCATTTTCCTTCTATGAAATGAAATATTTATTCTCAGAAGAAGAAGAAAAGAATTCCCACGCAGTGGATATCGCTATCATGACACGAGTGAATGTACTTGGAGCGAGGTCAGTGTGTAAACGTAATCGGAAAAAGTGTCAGGTTCTAAGTAAGAGTCGAATAAAAGTTTTGTGGATATATAAGTAGAACGAGTTGTTTTCTTTCTATTTTCCAATTCTTGTAGATATAAAGAAACGAAATAGTATGAAATAAAATCTTCACACGAAAAAGCACAAAAAGGGCCATAACAATATCTAACTACAAAGAGGAAAGAAGCCCACAAAGAGATAAAAAAGAGGAAATGCCATTATCGTTAATAGCCGTGCTTTGAATGTGTTGTGTTGTTTAAGGGCGATATTCTTATGTAATGTCATGAAGTTGATCAATGAGCGACGTTTAACATAATGCAGAGGAATGTAATGAATAACAACAAAAATTAATTTCAGATAGTCACTTTTATGTGAGTTTAGCAATGTTGCCAACATCTCAATTTTTCAAGAGGAGAAAACTAAAATGATGCCTCTGGATAGGCCTTTTCTCCATTATTTCTTATCATCTTCCTTAATTTTATTTAAAAAAGTTTCCAAATTACCTTCTAATAAAATTTATTTGACATCTTAAATTTTTTTTCTCGATCAAAACACATAATTTTCTAACATATCCCAAAGCTTTCTAAAGCATATACTTGCAACATAAAATAAAAGGAAAAAAGAATACATGAAGCCACCCACACTTTTCTTCTTTTTTTATTCTTCCGTAAAGAAACCATTAACTCGACATGAAATTTATATGTTGTTACTCAACATACACACACACACGATACATGCAATGCCCTTTCTGCAAGTTACACATTCTACGCCAAATAGCATTAAATGTCATTCTACTTACGACAGTAAAGAGAAAAAAGGAAAACATCGTAAAAGCTTCATTGAGAGGATCTGAATGGAGGTTTTTATTTTTACTGTCCGTTTGGAATTTTTTTTTCATTCGAGAAGTCTTCAAGTACCGAGAGCAACGTGATCACTCATAAAAAGTAATAATGATACTTTTTTCTCTTCTGAAATTGTCGAGACTCTGCTCTTGGTAGAAGCAAAAAAAAAGCGAAAACAAAATACAAATCCTCTTTATGTCGTGTTTTTGGTAGAACATGAGGACTGTTAAGCTGAATTCATTAAATTGACCAATTTGCAACCTTTCAGTCTTTCCATAGGATTTTCCTTTATTTATGTTTACGAATGCAGAAAGTGAAAAAGTTTCGAGGATATGAAAAATGAATTTTTAACAAATAGAATAAACAAAAAAATGTTTCAATATTTTAGAATGCTGCAAGGAAAGATTTGTGGATAGATGAGCTTAAAAGATGAAGGAAAATAAGAATTATTGAAAAATCGATAAAGAAATCTCTTGGAAATTTTCGTAACTTATCGAGTATTCGTAATAGATCGACAATAATTGCCACCTCAAGCTATTCAACTTCGACTTTCAACGTTTCCAAAATTGCTTCTTTGACTAACTCTGTCGAGGATAAATTCTTGATTTCAAGAGATATTTCATTTGTCATTCGTTTCCCTTTATCATTCGATATACTTAATGTTGGTCTACAATTTCATCGAAATTCTCATGCACGTCACATAATGTGATAAAATAAAAGCCCGAGGTTGAGAGGTGAAGATTTTCTCATATTCTCATGTTACGACAACAAAAGTCACTCCATTACATTCCACTTGAACATAGCTTATGATGGAAAACAAATTTTCTGCTTTATTTGATTAGAGTTTTGTAGCTGAAATGATGATTAAATGTGTTGCTCTATTAAATCATGCGTTGGATGAACCATAAAAACAATAGAACAAAAAGCTCATTAACAATAGCGACGCAAATTTTGTGATTACTTTCAGTTTTTGTTTGCTGTAATATGAGTAGATATGTGTGAATCTGTGAAGATGAAGATAAAACAGGTCGAAGGTCGAAGAAACTTTGATTAAATTAAATTGGGTTCTGATTTCCTGGAATTCCCAGTGGATTTATTGCAGACAAAACAAAACAAGTTGGGTAAGCATTCTTTTTATAGAACTAATCCTGAAATAGAAAATTTATCCGTGTGTATTTCTGATATTTTTAATCTTTGTTTAATTAATCTTTGTTCAATTAATAATGAGTAGCTGAAAATCTAGATATAAAAATAGATATGGAGATATTAATAATTGCGTGTTGTTCATCTAATGTGATCCTTAGATATCAGATGGAATTTGACATCAATTGTTTCTACGATATGAACACACAAGCGATGAAAACTAATGTTCGAATGTAAATTCATTGACTTGTTTAACTTTGAATAGTTGACATGCTGATAATTTTTCTATTTTTTATAATGCACATGAATTAAAATATTTTATCTTTCCTTATAATTCCAGTTCACCAGATTGCTTCCTGCATCAAATAATTGTTTCAGTTATTGTTTTTGAAAGTTATGCAAGTTAAAATATTTTAAAACTTTCAGATAATTGGATATTTTGGAAATTTTTATTTGTTAGTACAATATAATATCAACGTTTATGATTCGATCGCTCTTAAGAACTTATTCTATTACCTACTCCATTTGTTTGTTCTTAAACGCAACGGTATGAAAGTGCACCAACCAACAATTTTTTTCTCATTTTTTTTATTTTTCGTCCTTTCAATTCTTCTAATTGGCTGGGATGCTAAACAAGTCATATCTTTGAGGGAATTAACCTGTGATCCTTCGAATAAAAGTTTATTGGCTATAAAATGCTTTCTTAATGTTTCATCTAAATACGAAGCTGGGATGAATCTTAAGGTTGATCTTATTAGGAAGGTCTACAAATTTTCAGTAAGTTTATAATTTATAATAAAGATTTTTCCTTATGTTTTCTCAAAATCAAAGATTGAATACGATTTGAGTGTGAAACATCAAAATAGATTTCGATCACTCAGCAATGCAAAAGATTTGGAAGTTTGCACGTTTTTGAATGGAACTCTTCGAAAACATAATACAATTCTCAAGTGGATGTTCAGTATCGTTGAGCCAATGACGCCAAAAGGATTCTTCCATCCATGTCCATATTACGTAATTCTTCTTGAAAATTTACGGTCGAATTAAACTTCTCACTAATCTTGAATCTTCTTTCATTACAATTAGGGAATTGTAGAGATGAACAATATTGTTCCAGCATTTTCAAGCAATTCATTAAAATTATTTCTTGTCGGAACCTACAAAATTAAAGTCAAGCTTTATAATGCTGATGATGACAACATTGCAACAATTCGAGCTACAGGCGAAGCAAACAATATCAAGGATTGATTTCATCTTTTAAAAGGAGCAAAATACAAATACATATGTATAAAAAGATATTTTTATATATATTCTAATAAAGGAAATATAACTTACACTGCAAATTCATTATATTTATTCCACTACGAAAGTTGAACTGTTTTACAAAATTTATTGAAATTCATTCAACAGTCTGCTATTACAATTAATACTGTGAAGTTTCCTTCACAATTGCGAAATTTATATTGAATTTTATCACAAAGCTCTACACCAAATACTTAAAAGCAGACAAAAAATATTCTTTTCCCTTTTACCTTCAATTTTGTTGTTTAATGTGTGGAACATCCAACCATACCTACCATTAATCGATAGATAATTGGAGCAATGTTAATTGACTTGTATTGCTAAAAATCCGTTAGGATGAATTCGCAAACGAATTAAATTGTAGAGATAAAATTGAAAAGATAAATGTGCTGATATTTGACACTTGAGTTTCATATTCTTAATTCCCCATGAAGGTGAATGACATCGTACAACTCTGAATAATGACCATCAAGTATGTTATTTTTTAATTTTTCATTATCTTTCAGACATGATCTACATAAATTTCTATCCAGTTCTCTCATGTGTGCACATTATTCGCTCACAATATATTTTTTAACAATTGTTCTTGCAATCGTTAGATTCCACAGTTCTATTTAGAATGGTCTAGCGAATGGTAATTTTTGTTCGTTGTGATTCGGTGATTCTCAATTATTGTTGGTAAAAAAAGATTTAAAAAATTTCTGTCGGTCAGTTTAAGTCGAATCGTTGTTGTAAGTGGATGAGAAAACGAAATTTAGGTAGTGTTCAAATATTGGATTACTTTGAACAGAAATTTAAGAGGAATAAACAAGGAAATTGTACAGAATTTCCTGAAGTCATCTTCATTCAAAAGGATTATTAAGAAAGGATTTTCGATCATTAAATTGAATGTAAATATTGCAGAAAGTTAACATTCAGTTTGACCTGTGAAATATTTTTATCATCAACTTTTTATTAGAAGTTCGGAAAATGTTTTATTATTAAATAGCACTTTCACTTTTTCGTAATTCTAATTTAAATTTAAATCTCGTTTAAAACTGAATTTATTTTCCAATTCATAAAATATGCCACAATATTAAGCAATATGAATTTAAAGTACGTTTACGAACATATTCTAAGTTGGTTTGGAACATTTTCGAATGAATAGATATGTAGATGGATAGAATGAATTTAGGTAAAATAGTAATGGGAGATGCTTATCATGATTCAGAGATCAATGGTCTCAAAGAAGATTGTTCCGCTTAGCATAAATTGTGGATTGTTGGCAATACCATTGCCTAATAGTCGTATTTAAATTAAATTTTACTTCATATTGTATAAAAGACTGCAGTTTTATATACGAAAAGTAGATGATGAATAATAAAACGGAAATGTTCAGAATGCGGAATCAATTAGGAAATTTCGCAAATCATCAGTTTATAACCAGATCATATTCTAAAATTGCTTCGAATATAAAACAGAGTCATGAAACATCGTTCATTCGCACAGCCGGCGCTATTTATTTTCATCAACAACCGTCATGTTATAGTGTTAGAATAATCGCATTAAATACATTGATCAGCAGAAAAAAACACGAATTCTTTCTTTTATGATCATTGTGACATTTTTATTTAACATTAACCGGAAACTGAAAAATTTTACGGACGCGTAACTTTAACTTTTATAAACGAGATGACGAGGGAATGCAAGTTGTGATTTATTTTAGTGTTCAAGTGGAAAGGTAGCACAATTATTTATATGAACATCGATAAAGATGTATACAAATTTTTAAATAAATGTTATTATTGAGCACATTTCAATGGAATTTGACACGTTTACGCAACCATTGGAATAATTGCAATGAACATTGAAACTTGGTTTACCTTTCATTCGAATAAGGTTAATGATTGTTCATGAGAGTTTCGATTTAGTTCGATTAAGTTCATGCATCATACAATTTAATGTTCAAGTGTCGTTTGTTTTCCATTTCAGAACCTATAACGATGAAACTCTTCATTCTTTTTATGCTTTGGCATATTTACATAAAATCATCGACTCAAGCATCTGGAATTGTCATTGATGATACTTATGAACCTGATGTGCCTCAAATAGAACTCTTTAAACTTCACCCCCAGCCAATGGACTTATTTTTAGATCCAAGATCAAAGCGATCAGCTCCTTACAAAATTATAGAGTCTCCTGGTTTACATTCACATTTTATTGTGGTTCAAGATGAAGAAATTCTGAGGTCAAATCCTAATCGAAGACGAAATCGTAGATCACTTAGCAGAAGTGAACTTCATAGCGATGAAATTGAAGATATTGAAATGCCTACCAGACGAACAACTGTTAATAATGATGATGTTTCACTTGAAGACATTCCACAAGCTGAGAAGCAAACATTAAATCCCGCTTATTATAGATCTGATGACAGTCGTTTGATGGACAAATGGGTAAAAGCACCCTACGGTGATTTTCAATCTCGTTCTCATAAAGAAGAAGATGATACACAAGCGGAAGCATCAAGCAACATTGGAACGAAAGCAAGAACACCACGAGTGAACTTCATTACGCAACAAGGTCATAATTCAGGAAATAAAGACGATCCAGATGGCCCGGAAGCAAGAGAAAGAGAAAGGGAGAAGGAACGAGAAAGAGAACGTGAACGAGAGAGAGATCGAGATTACAATCGTGACAATAACCGAGATCAACAAAATCTAAACAAATCACCATCTGATGACGGTTATCGTAAGCCTCCAATTGAACCGTATTATCCACAAAATTATTATAACAAGAAATACGATCCTTACACTCCCAACTACATTCCACCGTATGACCATTACGGTCGTCATTCATATTATTATGGAAGAGATCCATACAGAGACATGTCAGCAGCTCCCGCTTATTATCCATACAGAGATCGAGATCTTGCTTATGTTGATCGCCCACCTGCAGGAATGAGTCGAATGACACCGCCAATTGGAGGTTCTTCAAGCTTCTATTATCGTCATCAATATAATGATTATGATGATTATTTACCTCGCACTGTTCCGAATTATTATTATTCTGATAAACGCTTTGATATACCAACGCCTGTCTTGCCAATGGAACCGAGAAGTCCATATGAACGTGAACTCTATCAACCGTATTTGTACACTAACGAGGTGAATAATCGTCCCGGAAGAATCATTTATTATGCAAATCTTCCTGAAATTGTCAGAACTCCCAGCAATTATCGTTCAGCAACAGCACGTTACGGTGATCCAGGATATAATAATTATTACTATGATAATAATTATGATGATTACAAAACAGCAAGAACCCCGAAAGCGGCGACTATACGAAGCATTCCTCTATCACCTGCCACAACAACTATGCGAGTTTCTAGCGCTCCTGTACGGTCGGAAACAGGAAGAGAACGTCCGTTTTTCGGTTAATCTTCATATTTAATGCTGCCAATAAAGAAACTTTAATTCATAATGTCGTCCAAAGTCGACAGTTTAAATAATATTAACTCGGAAAAAGGAATTTCAAAAGCACTTGAACTTTATCATCCCATGATAAGCTTCTATACAAAAGAAAAGCTGTAAACGTTGATGTCTTACTTCATAAAGCGAAACAAAGGAATTTTAAAAATAAAAATGAAATTTGGGGAATTTTTTAATAAAATGTCACTCGCAACATCTTTGAGGATAATTGAATAAATGTTTGAACTTTACAGTTTAAGATGCAAAATTCTTATTTAATTAAAAATGTCACAAGTGAAACATGGAAGCATGCTATTGACATAATTGCCAAAGGAATTCTTTTTTAAGTAAGTATGACTAAGTATGAAAATTTCTCTTGTGGTATCACTCAAAAAATTTTCATGCAAAATCCAATTTCCCCCTTGTGCATGATCAAGGCGAAAAGCTTTTGCATGAAGTTTCTACTCAGCTCTTGAATGTCAAAACCACAAGCATTGGTAATATTTTTTATATTATTTTCCTGCTTAGGATATTTCCGCAATTTTCATTATTCATTAGCTTGTATATTCGAAATTTCGTTCAACGTTTTTCCTGGAAAGATTCTTGATAGAAAAATTGTTGGAAAATTTTTCTTATATTCGCAATATGATAAAGATGAAAAAATTCTCGTTTTTCAGTGCAACAGGAAGCAGAATTTTTTTCATCAAAGCAATTTTATTTTGCAGGATGTCGACGTTTTTATTGGAGTTGCTAGTTGTTGAAAATAAAATCTCACATCATCAATTTTTGCTCTCTCTTTGTGTATGAACTCAGATCAGCATAAAGAATTGTTGAGACAACAAATGCATAAACATGTTTTCAGTTATTGAGAAGAAGGAAAGACAATATAAAATTGAATTAAATACACAATATTGTGCTTCCACTCAATCAATGGAAAACTCTTGTTGCTACTCGAGTTGTCATCCTGTCAGTGTTGACTTTCGCAAATGGTTGCAAACAACAAAGTATTCTACATAATTGCTAGGAAAATATAATTATACTTGAAATTGTTCGCTTACGTTCTCTCAACCCAAAACTTTGTTCCATTTTTTTCTCACATTAGCTTGGAATTCATCCTATGTGACCTTTCGATCTCATTAAAAAAAATGTATTACACATCATGAACGTAACTAGATAAAATTCGAGACGATCATAAAAGATAAATCGTTTTTAATCATCATTAATTCTAAAGAATTGTACAATCAAAAATCATAAAAACGAAAGAATGACGACTTCTTCTGTCTCGCAACTTTTCAAAGCTTTTTATTACATCTTTTGAATCAAAATTTCATTGTTAACGAGCAATGAGATTTTCTAAAGACTTTTTGCCAAATTTTGTTGAATAATAAATTTAAGATTTGCAGGTGGTAAAGTTTATGGCGTTGACAGCACGTTGACTTATAAATAAATTGAGGAAAAATCAATAAAATTTATGAATATCTAACATGTATAATAAATAAGAAATAACGATAAGGAAATATATGAGCACTGAAAACTTCATTGTCGTCAGGAATCATAAATTCTTATCATAAACAAACGTTTCATTCTACAAGTAATGAACAAATTTTATATTCTGTGAGGTTGTGGGATGTAAAAGAAATTAAATAGTTCTCCAATGCATCTTGAATACTTATGAAACTTTAAGCACTTCATTTTAATTGCTTCAGTAGTTATTTTAATAGCAGTGATTTTTTTATGTTTTCATGATAAACGATGTGTTCATGTGTTAAAAGAATTCAACTCTTGTATGCATAAAAATATGATGTTAATAAATTAAATATTTTAATGGTGAAAAGGATCATCAGTTGTTTCTCGAGGCAGGTGGTTAGTGAAATGTATGCATATTTGCAAAGCAATACTCGCACGTGAAACATTTCCAATTTATGCTAAGAGCGTCTCAGTTGTACTTTCCTTGAATGCTCATGATTATATTTATATTATACTAATGAAGCATAAGTTCATATTTGCACATTTTCACTCGTTTGGAGAATTTCATTCATCTCACTATTTAAATTGAAAATTTTTCAGTTTGTCTAGCACAAATTAAAAAATATATGCAATGTGAAATATTTCATTAAAACTCATTTATAATATGTGATAACTGCTTAAGTACACTCAAATAAATATGTTCAAATATTCACTCAGGATTTTAGCCTTGAACATTACGGAGAAAGCCACGAGCTGCTTCATTATTTTATTTAATAATTATTCAAGTTTACTTTCGTATCAGATTTCTAATTATTTTACCTTCTAACTTTTGCATCGACTTCTTTAATTATTAAGTGCTTGGTTTTGAAAATATAAACAATAAATGGAATAATGGAATAATGGAAGCTTAGTTCTAATGAAGCATAAATCTTTAACTTTGTTTTCCAAACAACTGCAATTATCCATTTATCGAGAATTATTTGAAATCTTATACAATCCACCTTCACTTCTTCACAGGATTTCCGATCGCTACTTGTGTATCTTTTGTTTCATTAGAAAAAGCGTATTTGAAATGAAAACTGCGTGGGAGTAATTGAACATGACCTTTAACAAGACGAACATTTTCCTTCTTACTATTCATCTTGATTTGATTGTTTCGCTTGTGGATATTTCTTTTACAAATACAAAGCTCATTAATTTATGCATAACTCTTGTCCTTTCAAAATGTTTTCAAAAAAGGAAAGGAAGCAAAAACATTTCGCAACATTTTAATGATAGATGACAAATGATTTTTTATTGAAAAATATTCTGAGAATAAATAATAAGGAATTAATAAGCAAAATGTTAAATGAACGTTTGTCAAGTTCACATTAAACTTTGCTCTAGACTCCCACACAGAGCCATTCTTTATTCAACTTTTGTCGAATTAAATAATTGTTTAATGTCGATGACATAAACACTCCTTCGCAAGAAAAATTCCCTGAAAGCAATGACAAAATATTCAATGGTAGAAGCTCCACAAAATTCATGAAGATGAATGATTATCAAAAATGAAGAATCACAAAATTCCACCATCAAAATCTCACTGAATCAATATGACGATCTTAATAAAGACGGATGATAAGCAAATTAAGAGACGATTTAATGTTTAAAAAATTTCATTAAACTTTTCCCAATTTTCCATAGACCCTCGCTCGAATAGAAAAGTCGATTAAAGTTCAAATGAAAATAATTGAGATAATTTTTGAATTAATAAATTCACATATTTCCGACGTTTTTAAGTACTCGTTTCATGTCAAGTTTGTTAACCTCGATTTAATTCGGAGTATTTTATTTTAACTTGATAATTAAAGCCACTGGGAGAAGAATAACAAACTGTAATAAATTTATCTTTAAAGCGATATGTTACATAAATGTTTGTTAAATTTACAAATGAAGTTAAAGATGGTTGGATAGAAAATTCGTTCACTACATACATAAAATACTTTCCAACATTGCAATAAAATATTAAAAGGGTTCCGACAATATCTTCTGTTCGTCTCGAATATCCTCACACGTATTTCTTCAGACATTTATGATTTAAAAAATTTTGTATCTTCGTGATTCGATTTACTCAAATTATCTAATATTTTAAGTTGAACATTATCTCATTATAAATTATTCTTTCTTCCACCGTAAAAGTGTAAAAAGAATCAAATTAAAAGCCGATTATCCTTCATTTAATTAAAAATTGGTCTTCAATTTCTAAGGAATAATTAAAAATAAAATTATCAAAAACTGATGATTGCTGTCGATCTAAAAACTCAGCAACCACTAAAAACTAATCCTTTGCTCGTTGGTAAATGCAAAAGATCCTGAAAATAAATTTCATAATAATTAAAAGCACTTTTGAATCAAATTTGTAATAATAAACTTTAGAATTATAATAAGCATACAAAGAAAAATATTTTTATGCTGATGAATAACTTGAATTAATCTTTAAAAGGAGCTAAAACTATTTTCCTGATGAAGCAAAGAATATTCTATAAATATTTGCAAAATAAATTCACAGAAAGGTTGCTAATGCTAACATTTTCTAAAAGATTTCATTTGAGATAGCAAGAAATCCTTTAAATGAGATTAATCGGCTTTATTAAAAATGCTTTTCATTTAACCATAAGACCCTTCAATATTTTCCATCCTATTATCCATAAATAAAACAAAATCCTTCTCAGAGTGATCAGCGTTGAGTAATTCATTGATGTCAAATTGACCGTAAAACATGAATTCAAAATTATATGTTCAATGAATGCTTTCTGAACTGTGAATAACGTGAACAAGAACGAAAATAAATTATTGCTTTGAGAAATTGTTCATTACGAAACATAACTGGAACCTCTTACCTTCCGCTTCCTGAGTTATGAATGACTTAAGTTAGTATGAAATTTGTCATTATCGTTAATGTTGACAGCATCAAATCCTGTTGTCGACACTGAGTGCAAGCATAAACTTTTTTACACAAACAACGACATGATTTTCCTTCAACCCAAATTCTTGGAAGATGGGGAACACATTAAACTGTAATGTCAACGGGTTACATAAAACAACTACGTTACCTTCAGCTTTCGACTGATTTGTATGCAAAGGTTGCAATCTCAACAGAGTAGATGTGCTGAGACTTGAGACAGATCTCATGAAAGTATGTATGAGGAGAACTTGTAGTAACTTTTTCAACAACTAGTCAACAACTGACAGAATTTATCAGTATTTCAATTACTATTACATGCTATTAGAAATGCATTTTCATGGTGTTATGTCGAATTGGGTCATGAAATCTTTTATGTATATCACTCACAACGTAAAAGTAGTTGAATCAATTCTCAATAGAATTCTCACAATGGTTCTATTAGTTTCATATTGTTCAACTTACTACTTACAATTACATGCTCAGCAACAAGTTGATTAAATTAATTCGACTCGATAGAACTTCGCTTGTAATTAAATTAATTTTATCCCCTCACGATTCACGTGCGACTTATCGCCATCATTTTTTTCTGCTATTATTGTTGTTATCCAGTAAGCTTCTGTGTCGTTCAACTTTTAGAAATTAATTACCATAATTTATGTAATGTGTTGAAAATTCAATAAATATCTTTGCAACAAAATATTTTTATAGATATTTATGGAAAGAAAACAAGATTTTCATGTTGTTCCTAAGATACGAGAGATTGAAGCATTGTTTCAGTATGAAATTTACGTTTATCATCATTAAAAAAGTTTGATGGAATTTCATGTTTATGCAATAAGGTTCATCCTTCTTCCAACAACTCATTCTTCAACATGATGGCGGTCAGATTAAAAAACCTCAACTTGGGTTGCGATTCATGAAACAACTTTTTAGCTTAAAATAAAACAACAAACAACGAATCTTTCTTTTGCCTTTCACCTGATTGCATATCCTTCAGAGGCCAACGAACGGTAAAAGGGCAGGAGGGTGGAACATCAAAATAACAAATCTCCCGGAATCTTCAGTGAACGGAAAATTACTTATCAGTCAAATGGCTCAAGGGTGAATAAATTTTCTATGAAAAGCACTTCTCAGTAATGAAACTCGGTACTTGTAATTGAATTTCCTCCTTAAATTGTGAGCACAAAAAGTTTACTCAAAAGCACAAAAAAAGTCATTAACTTTTAATTATACTACATCATAAAGGTCAAATCTGAAAATGGAGAGGTAATCGTGCAAATAATGTCACTTACTTGATGAACATTCTCCCAAACAAACCCCCAGAAGATAGATACAAAATTGATGTCTTTCCATCCTTCAACGATTGCTTTAGGAGTTGATCATTAATTAAATTCTGTTTTTTCATCTGAGGTCTCTTGTCAACTTTAGCTTTTTATTTTCAAAGCTCCCTAGAGCAATTTATATATCTACAGTAAAACCCAACACCGCCAATATCCTTCACGCAGCGTCGACAAATAGGTCATGGAACCTTTTATATAATTTTTCTCTTCACTCACTTTACTTTTCTTTCGTTTACTGTGTACATTTCTATTGTTATCAATATTGATTATTCCGATAATTGAGCAAGAATAAATAAAATATTGAGTTTCTCACCCAAGGCAAAGAACTAGACATTGAGGGTTGTAAGTGAAATGTACGCCCTTTGCTTCTTTCTCCTCAACTTTTTTCTTTATTTTCTTTTATACCCACAAATGAAGCAGAAGTAAACACTGGATGGGAAAAACCTCATAAAATGTTGACAAAAAAATTTCATTAAAATACGAGAATACAGCTGAATGTTGCAGGAAATTAAATATCGTGATGTTTGCATTTCATTTCGTCTTAATGTGAAAAAGTTTTGTCGTAATTACAAATTTATATCAAGTAACATTGAAAATTGTAATTACCAGTGTGTCGTGGATAATTAAAGTTGCTTTAACTTTTTCTTTTAATGTTTCTAATGGAATTTGATCTGAACATGACATGTGCTTGCATTTAATTTAATTTAACATTTAAACCTTTGACTAAAAGGTTAAGAATAAATTCGAGCTGGTTATACATGACACGTACTTTAATTCATCACTTGAAACTACATATTGTTTTGTTATTAAATTACCAAACGAACAATGAAACAAAAGATAAACTCGGAAGCACTTGAAGCTCATTAAAATCTCGCCTTCATAAAGCTCACTCAAACCCTATTAAGGAAAACCGCGTGCATGAGAAAATTATACCAACACAAACTTTTCTCCTTGTTAATTATTTTTTCCTTTCTTTTCCCTTGTTAAGCTTCTTTCCTACTTATTTTGATAATAAAATATTTTTTTTGATTGAAGCAGAAAAGTTTCAGAGAAATTTATTTAATTGGGCGTTGAGCTTTCGTATCTGTTTTCCTGTGTATGATGAATCGCCTAGAAGTGTTCATTAAAACATCACTCGGAACGGAAAACAACATAAATTGCTTCCTTTTGCACGCGATGAGATTTTATGATAAGCAACAAGCTGTGGCACATCAGCTTCGTTTTGACTTTAACAATCAGGTAAAAAAGAAAAGATTTCGTCTCATCATATTTCTGTGTTTAATTTGTTTATTTATTGAATATTATTGAAAGATATTTCCCAATGTGAAAATTTATTAAATTTCCTTGTTTTTCATTTAGCTATTGAAATAAATAAAAACCAACTTTAAATGGAAATTCTCAATTGACGAAGCAATTCATCAAAAAAAATTAAGATTTATCCAAAAGAGCGAAAAAGGATTTCCATCCCAATCCAATCTACGCTGTCATGAATCACTTACAATGTGAAGAAAAACTCAAATAGAAGCATTGCTAGTCATTTTGCTGGAAAGAAAGGGTTCAGCTCATTCAAATTATTCAGCCGTGAAAGATTTTAACGAAAATAATTCGAGATTGTGCAGCTATTGAGTTAAAATTGATTGAAAAGTTAATAAGAATCAGGCGAAATAAATCGATTTAAATATTTTGATCACGATTTTTTGCAATTTCCTGTAAAGCTTCCTTTTGTTCGCATCAAATAAGAGAAGGTTTTCTTGTTGTCGTCGATTGATTTCAAAGGTTTTAATGAAAAGAAATAAATATTTATAAATATTCACGTTGGTGTGGAATGTTAGATAGAAAGTTACAGATTTATTATCACTTAAATCAGAGCAGCGGCAGCGTCATGATCAAGTTTCAAAGTTTCTTCTTTGATAATGTATTAAGCAATTTACGAGTTGTCTCTTATTCTGCTTATTCTATTTTTAATGAAAATTCATTCCTGATCTTGATAATCTGTTTCAAATTTTATCTCGTTGATTCTGCTTCGGAAACATGTCGAGGAAATCTTTTTAATACTTAATGAAAAGGAAAAACTTTAATGAGTTTCTCAACCTGATTCTCACAGCATTTTGTTAAAAGCAATTTCCCGGCTACAAAGGAAAGATAAGTTAAAGCTTCAATCTTTGAGACAAATCAAGAAACTTTTTTTTTATTGTTTCTCATGAGTTAGCAAGTTTTCAATGTCATTTATTCAGAAACTTTTCATTTCTTTTATTTTTTCAATCTTCTTCAAGCGCTCATGACAAAGAAGGGAAAATAGTTTTTATAAGTTTCATTGACAGAAAACGTTTTTCCTTTAAACCTTTTAGTCTTAGCCTTGTCTCTATTAAAGTTGTTGATAGAGTTTCCAGCGAGATATTTTTAAAAAGTTTCTTAAATCAAATTCAATTTTATGTTGCAATCATGGCTTAAGAAAGCTTTAAAAATCCAACAACACGAAAATCTTTCGAGTTGTTTAGAAAGAAAATCTCATGAAAACATATTTAAAATAATAATGTGGGCCAAAATGTCATGAAATTTCTCAGAAAAGAAAATATGTGGCTATGTAAAAATGTCTTGGCCGACCATGCATACATAACGAAAGAATTTGAAATTTTCTTTCTTGTACCTTAAGCCTACATTTTGTATTATAAATCATGACAACACCTACATGAAAGCTCGTTCATTCTTCTGATGAAATATAGCACAAAAGCACAGTGAGAACGTTTTTGCGACGTTTGAACATTTTTTTTGTTTCATTCTCCTGATAAATGACAAAGAATTAATTCCAACATTTTCGCAATTAATTTTGATGAGTTAACTGAATGTAAGAATTCTCAAAGCACTTTTTATCTCTCCAATTTTTCAAATACTTTTTGTTACTTTAAAAGCTTCAATGAACACAATGTTCAAAAAGAATCTACTTTAAGTAATAAGAAATAAAAACGATAGATAAGCGGATTCTTTGAGCGATTCTTTTTATCTCATCAGCTTTTCCTACATTGCAATGATTGAAAAAGTGAATTTCATTTTTCATATAAATCGAAACTCACATCAGCTTGAATTATTATTCATTGTCAATGTTAACTCAGTTTTTCCATAATACTTTGCAAAGTATCAAATAAATAAGGAAGTTTGTTATAATGAAATAATGAGTTGCGTGTCTGTGTAAGCGTGTGGTTAAGCGGATTACCTTAATTCTTTCCCTTCCCCATGAAAGCAATATATGCGACTAAGGCTCATTATAGCACTCTTAAAATATCAATGAAATTCTAACGCGACAAGCTGTGGATGTTTTTGAAGACTTTTTCATCGTTCTGAGGTAGTAGGATAAAAATGTTTATTTTTAATTGCCTTTCATCATGTCTAATGAGGATTAAATTTCTCATACGTTATGTATCTATGCATGTAAGTGTAATATGTATACGAAAGCCTGAAGCATAAATGTCGCAAGACATCATATGAGCATTAAAATCTTATCTCCTTTACTCATATGAAATGTTTATATATAAACACAGATATCTTGCATATAACAATAGCATACATTTCTTCAAATGACACTTTGCAAAAAAAAGCCATCAAACAAAAATGAAAAACGAAAATTTCTCAGAAATCGAAAGGAAAAATTTTGATTGCGAATTTGAATTTCAATACTCGTTCAAATCTGTGAGCTTTTAATCATTGAGGTATAAAATTTCATGCTTTCAATTCCATTCAATCCAGCATTTATCTCATAAAGTTCAGTAGATACGTGGGAAAGCCTTCGTTGAGTTGAATCTTTTCTTCCTTTCCATGTTGCCGATGAAAAGCTTCACGCTTGATGTGATCGCATGTGTATGTGAAAGCATGTGCGTAGGAGGGCAACATACCTGAGCTTTTGTTATTTTTCCACCATTTCTTTGTCACAAACAGACTCGAATTTGTTTTGTCTTCAATTTCAGTTTCGTTTTCTACATGAATGAAATAAAAATATTCTTAGAAATTTCTAGCATCGAAAACATTGTACACACATATTGCTTTGGTGATCAAAAGTCAACTCGTAAATGAATAATTTTCATGTGAATATCATCGAAAATATCTAAAATTCTATTCTTCTGAACTCTGAGAAAGGATTTTATGAAAATCTCTCAGAGAATTGATGAAAATCTGCGCATGGCATTGATAAGCAAGGAGACGACACTCTCTTGTACTAAAATTTCGATCAGATGATAACATCAAAAGCCATTCAAACACAATGTTAACGAAAAAAACGAGGTTGAGTGAAAATTTGAGAAAATTGAAATGACTTGGGGATAAAAAATAAAACTTCTCTTGATGATAATTTTTCATTAATGGTGAAGAAGATGATGAAAGTTAAGTTGTGAAAAGTTTTTCATTCGGACATTTGCCCCTTGGTAACATATTTTTGTCGAGACATAAAATCGATGAGACGTCAAGTGTCTTTCAGCTTCTTGAGCATGCCAAAATTGATATCACAGCTATGACTATCATTTTGTATAAGACCTAAAGAAGCAGAAAAAAAGAAGCCTCGAAGAATGTCAAAGAGAATTTTCATTCATTTCGCATTGTGTAAAATGTCTACAAACTCCCCGAAGGTTTTTTCATTCAGGTAGACTTGAGAGATTTCTCAAAACGACAGATGACAGATCTTCTTTTTAATTGTTAGGAAAGTTTTGTAGCAACAACGACAATATACTTACTTAAAAGATTCGCCCACATATACAAGATTTTCCACTCAATTTGGTAACAGCTTATTCCCAAGTTTCTCATTATTCTCCTACGCAACAAAACCAAATATTTCTGTATAAATACTCGAGAATGATTCTTATGGTGATAAATTTTATTAATAAAAGTTAATTGAGATGAAACTCTCTTTCTTTTTTCTTCACGCCTTTCTTTCCGCTAAATCATGTGCTTAATTAATTATGAAAGCAGCATGTGGAAAATGTTCACACAGTTTTCGTTTCTTACTTATCGCACTGATTTCACTTTACATAAAAAAAAGAGAGCAAAGGAAAAGCATCTGTTGTGCTTTTCACGAGCAGTAAAAAGACCCTTCTCAACCAGTGAAGCCTGATAGAGCCTTCAACGCTTCCTTTTGATCATTTCAGTGTGTACAAAGAAGGGTTTGATGCATATATGATAGAATGCAAGCAAGCGTGAAAAGAGTAATTTTTCCTCTCAAATTATTTTTAGGTTAAATCGCTCATAACAAATTTAGAAAATCATAAATTTATTTCAAAAAGTTTCGTTCATTTATTTTTGGATCAATACGTAAATATCTATATAAAGAAAGCATGTATGTGTAAATAAAAGCTTAGAATCAATTTTATGATTATTGGGAAGATAAATATTGTCAGAAAGGATGTTTTTCCCGTCAAACTTTTGGCATAAGCATATTTATCGGCTTCTGTCAATTCTTCCCACCTTCGTTTGATGTTTAAGAAAAAAAATGTGTAAGAAAACATAAATTTTATTTCATTTCTTATAAATACATTTCCTAAACCATCAATATCTTGAATGTAGGCGGTTAAGATAAACGTAAGTAAAACGCTTCCAATCTAACACACTTTTTTTTCTTACAACAATTTCCCAATGGTGTGTGACAAAAACATTTTCATCACAATCGCAAGTAAAGCGACGACAGTCATAAAAAGCTCTGACATTAAACTGCATGAATATTCTATATAGCAACTCATCCTACATTTTCGAGAAGATTGCATAATAAAAAATAACATTATTCGATGAAGGTCATGTTTATGATAATTCTTTTCTTCTTTGCTGCCTCTCATGGTCGTACATAATATCAACTCGTCCTCTAAGCGCCCTTAATACAACAATGTAACCAACTTAAAGTTTATTAAGTTTTGAACTTTTATTCTAATGCGAAAGAGATAATGAAAACAGAAGATACAAACTACCAATGTTTGCATAAACTGCATTCAACACCAAATTGTATTTATAAATGAAAACATTTCTGTGAATAAAAAATTTGTTTCAGTTTATTGCAAGCAAAAGTTGTGCTTGAGGAAATATTTGATAGAAAGTTTTCGAAATTTTCAATGATAGTTGTTTGGCAAATACATTTTAAACTCAACAGTTGACATTGCTTCGTTATTAGTTTCAGTTTCATTTTCTGTTTCTTCAAATTTTTAAATGACCTCGAAACTTTTCCTGAAAAAGAAAAGTCTTTTATAACTTCTTCTTTTTGCTAAAGTTTTCTTATAAATCATTTCAACTGAAAAAGCTTAAAATTTTTTGACATCCAAGATTTTCATTCAATAAAAGTCTCAACTTGTTTACTTCGTCCATTTAACTTTCTGGCGAAAGTGCATTAGAAACTTTATTCATCAATTTTTCATCAAAAATATTTTTACAGAATTTTCTCTTTATGGTGGAAAAATAGAATATTTTCATCTCCTCGTTTATTTAAAAGTTTTATCATTAAGTCATGTTCTATTAATTATAATTTAAAGTTTAAATGGTAACAGAGAGCGACTTCTATGAAGAAAATATTTCAATCTTCTGGTTATTGCCTTTCCTTTATTGTCTAAGATAATAATCATAGAAAATAAATGTCCAAATTCTTTCAGCAAGTCACTTATCAAAGCTTAATTAATTAGCCAACTACATAACTTAATTATTTAAACATTACCCTCAGATACTTCTTTGTTCAACCAAAGAACTTTCTATTCCAAAACCCTCTTGAAAGTTATCTTTTTGATTTATGACAAACATCCGTTATACATAATGCTTTAAAATGAAATTGAAAAATTTTAAAAATTATATTTTCAGCAAATGAAATTAAATATCATATTGTAATCAAAGAAAAGTACCAATACTGGTAATAATAAACACTTCTATCTATCTATCTAATGCTTTTAATTGGAAGTCTTCAGGAAAATATCTGACACCCACGCACATCACAACACATGCTTCCATCCATTAATAATATTTGTTACAAGAGTCTTACAGATTATTCGGTCACAAAATATTTTCTAGAAATATTGCTAAGGGAGCAATGACATGTACGACCTGGGTTAGGTATGTCTCGTACGAAAAAACAAAACAAATGGTGGGTGAAGAAGAAATCTTACAAAAAACTTTTTTTATTGTTGTGCTGAAATTGTCACTCATTAATTAAAAGTTAATTAAGTTTTATCAATTTTGTCTTTGTTTTCTTTAAAAGCTAACTTTAATTCAGGTGTTGTTATGCTTAGGGATAAAATGCTAACTCAATTAAAACTTTGAAAAATTACTCTATTATTGTTAATAGAACTAATCTGAATGAGTTATCTATCATATGGTAATTTTCACAAACATTTTTCTTCAATCCTTTTTTGAAATGTGAAGTTTTCAATCCAATTACATTCTTGACCAATCTTGTCAGCTTGTCATTCAAATGCTTTTTCCATAAGTTGTACTGACAATGAAATATTTTCCAACATTTTCCTCTTATTACCTTTCAAACTTTTTTGTGTCGTGTTTTTAATTGAAATTGCTGCATGGGAATTTAAATAATTAAAGTAATTTAATTTTGCTTTCCTTCAACATTGTTATTTATTTTAAATTTTTTTCTACTCTTAAAAAATTTAAATATTTCAGAACGATGTGAAGGGAAGCAAATTTTATTTGTTTTTTCTCTCATTCTTATCACTTCAGTGCAGTTTCCCATAAAGTTGATTAATTTAAATTTCTACTGGAGATTTTTTTATGAAACTCTTTAACGATTTTTTTTCAATTGTAAAGTTTCTTTATCCGCATCTGTTTTCAAAGGAAAAAGGTATAAAAGTTTTTCAAATCTCTATCCCGACAACTGCAAATTTCATTCATTGAGTTCATTTTTAATGAAACTTGAATGAGAATTATGATATTAAATGTATGAAAATTTGATGTCGATTGGCGGAGAGAGAATGAAAAGAAGGCTAGAATTATTATGAAGGGCAGTTCGTATTAAGTATGATAATAATACACTAGCAACGTTAAAAATGGAAGAATTTTAATAAAATGACAAAAGATTAAAAGGAAATTGTGGAAATAAATGAAAGAAAATTGCTTCAAAATTGCAAACGCTTTGTTCGGTACATACATGAAAGAATTGTCAGTGACTCAAGTTATAACTTTGAAATGAATCTTCAGCAGATAAACCGATAAAAATCAGGTTAAAAGCCAAAGAAACTGATACAACCAAAGAGTGCTTAAATTATGTATGTAGACAAAAAGCTAAGGAAAACTCTCAAGCTGAATCAGAGAATATCACAATTAAATATTTACAAATGGGATAAAATGGTTTTCATGTTTAACTTTCTTGTTGTAACTGCTAGCATTTGCTAGTAGAGAGCAAATGTGCCTTTTGGCTTTAATGATAATGTGCGCTACTTACATATCATGCTTTCAGCATTTATCATTATTACATTTTATTTGATATTAATGGATCTTGACAAAGCGGAAAGTGAAGGAGTCAAGAAAGGCTGAACGAAAAGACGTATGATAAGCTCGTATGTGTAGACAAGTCGTGGGTGTATGTTAAGTGCGTTCGCAATGTTTACTTTTCAGGCTTTTCATGAATTTTTTTAATGAAATTTTGAAACAAAATAAATGTTTTCGTCAGAATTATGTTTTCTTATTTATTTTTCTCCTTCAAAGCAAAACTTCGTGAAAATATTGAAACAGACTAAATTTTGCGCGTTCGATCGTAAATAATAATAAAAGTACACGTCACAATAAATTTGAATTAAATTTAATAGAAAATTTTCTAGGTGAAGGAAATCTTTAGAAGATTGTGGAAAATTTATACCGTGAATTGATATAAAATGAAGGAAAATTATTGAAGACAAACGTTTCATTTCTTTCATATTCTGATGTAATTACTTTCACTTAAACAATTTTGTTTGTTCATTTTCTGTTTACTTGCTAAGCACAACCTAAAAACCAACTTTATGGTGATTTATTACATACATTTGTTTCCTAAGAAGTCATTAATATTTCATTGAGTTGTTAATGCTACAAATTTAAGAAGTTTTCCAGAAACTTCAAGGAAATCGAATTATCAGTTGCCATAATAGCTTTTATAGCACCACCAAATTACTTTTCAAGGATTCATATGAATTTTTTAATTTTATCAACTTTTTTGACTTTATTATTTTGTTTATTACTGACCATGAAATTTTATTAGATATCAAGTACCTAAGTCAACTTATTTCTGCTACCATTTTGCTCTTTGTCTCTTTCATTCACAAATTTTTAAAATATTTTTTCCCGCCAACACTAATTTCTATTTTTCCACCCACCTACAAATGTGTCAGTATAGTTTTTAAGAAGCTTGCAGAATTCCTTCGTATATGATGAAACGAAGGTTTTTTGTCAGCATCTTTAAGATTTTTAAACGACTATCCAATCAACTTCCATCGGATGCGTTGCTATTGTTATTATCCAAGTCAGGCGGTGGTAAGAATCGTTTTGGATATGGTGCAGTATTTGAAGCATTTACTTTACCCTTGGATGATGAAAAACATCCGGTGCCAGTGCAACTCGAAAGCGTAGATGATGATGGTGATGCACCATTACCCACTCCAGTCGAACGACATGCTTTTAGTTTCAATGATCTCGAATTTCCGCTCGTTGATGGCCCTTGAGTAGTTGCATGTGTGGGCGTGACATCGTCAACAATCAACAATGACTTCAATTCATATATGTTACTGATCGTAATATCAGGATAAATTGTTCGTTGACTAACATCCACAGGGTCGGGATAGTTCAAAGGAAGCCACACGCTCGCCATTAAACCAGCTTCAGAAGCGCCCTATGTTGATTCATCGGAATGTTCAACAATGTTATTTTTAAAGAGAAATTGATTGTTGTTCATTTTTTTGTTTGTTTAAAATGAGAGAAGAAAAGAAAGAAATGAAAATGTTTTATTAATATCTTGTATTACAAAATCCAAAAAAAAATTCTTTCAGAGAGTTTCATTTAAAAATGAATTTTTCAATAGACGAAACAAATTAGCAACATTTAAATAAATAAAAAGGGAATGAGGAGGAAACTTTGGTATTCAAAAACAAAGAAAAAAAATATTAAATAAGATTACTCTTACCCACCATTGGTTTGTGTGTGTTTGTTTGCTTTTTATTTGCAGCGCGAACTTATGATGAGAACGAGGGTTCAAGTAACATTCATTTCACTCTTACTCTTTAAACATTCAATGTTTTTTTTAGAAATGGAAGTGTTAATATCAATTGTATTGGATCTCGAAAATATTTATTAAACCGAAGAACGAGAACTTTAAATAGCAGTGAAATATCTTTTGAGTGAAAATTTAGAGGAACAGAATTTATATCGCGATTTGTTATTCTATTCAATTATACAGCGAAAAATATTTAGGAATAAATAATCAACATTTCTATGTCTTGAATATCTAGATTTCATGAATATTTTCTAATTTGTAATTCTAGGAATTTTTTCTCTTTTCTAAACAAAATTCAATTCAACACTATGAAGATTACGAATGAGTGAAACTTTTCGAATGCTTTCAATTGTTTTTAAATAACTTTTCAATTCGAATGCACTATTTAAAAGTAATAAATTCAAAAGATGAAATATTTAACAACAGATGAAAGGAGGCAACAACTTTCACGAGGAAGTTTTAATTGGAAATAATTTGTGAATGAAAATTTACATGGGAGTTTAATGATTCCGTTTCTTATTGTTATTTGTTATGAAAAAATATTTAGTCATTTCATTTAACGTAAAGTGAACAAATATTTTCATCTTGAAAATGAAAATTGAACCAAAACATGCCCACAATAGGCACGAAGGAAAATTGTTTATAAGATTTTACCTTAATATCAGTTTCAATTTTGTCTCCAACCATAATGCAATCATTTGGGGTGACGCCCAAATAATTGCAAGCTGCTAAGAAAATTCGTGGATCTGGTTTTTCCCATGCGAGATCAGCCGATACCAGAATGCAATCAAAAAGCGAACTTTTACCCATGTTGAGTCCCAATTTATGAATCTTCTCCCATTGCGCATTACTCGGCCCATTGGTGATGATTGCCAATAAGTAATTTTTTCGCAATTGCTTCAGCATTTGAACGAGCTCATTAGGAAGTTCCAAGTAATGGTAACGAAGCTTCAACCATTGTTCGTAGACCTCGTACGTGAGATGCCGAAATTGTTCAGGGAGCGCCTTCTGCCATAAATCCGTTCGCCATTGTTCAAGAGACATTGATGGATTGTCAGGACATTTACGAAAAGCTTTCAAATAATTCGTCGTGGTGTAATCCGCTTCTTCTTCTCCCATCCCATGTTTCTCATGAAGCAATTCTGCTAACTATTTGTGTGTGTAAAAACACGCAAAAAGAGGTGGAGATCGAATTGAATTTTTTTTTCAGCGATTGGAAAAAAATGGTTTAAAACCATATGCAAAAGAGAAATAATAAAAACGGTTAAGAGTGAACTGCCAAATATTTATTATGCTGTAAAGCTGGTGTTTAATCCAAAATGAAAATATCTTTTGGACTTTTCAACCATACAAAAAGTTTATTTCCAAAATTGTTTCTTTTATAGTTTTCTTACTATTTTAGTTGACACAATTTATGATGTTACGTTTTATATTTTTCAAACTACAAGGTTAGTGATGAATTTTATCTTTAGCGAGAATTATCTGTTGACAGATTTTTTACAAAGTGATATCTGGTTACGTAATGTCGTTCTGAGTATTCATTCTAGTGTTAAGTCAATATTAGAATATTTCTTCCATAAGTAATATTGGCATGATAATCCTCAACAGATAATTATCAATGTAAACATAAAAATATAATGATTAGCGTTTCATTTATCTTAATAAATAAATAATCATACAAATGATTGGGCACCCGAGAATGAACATTTCCATTATGATAACAACTCATTGAATATTCAAGCTTTAATGTTTGTTTGTTATTCTCTTAGCTTTCCTGACATTTTTAAAAATGATTCCAGCATATTTCTCCCTTAGATATTTATTTATTTACTTTCTTTAAATATTAAACTCTGATTATTCTGAGTGATTTGGAAATATTATTTTTCAAGCAAACTTTATATCCGAGAATTTATTTATGTCAAAAACAATCTGCATTGATATGAATCATGCATAATTTAAGAACTCATTGAGAAAGTAATAATTTAAATATTCGAAACTTTTACATTTTTTCAACTGAAATAAATTCAATATTGAAACAGAACTCGATGATATTGTCAAGGGAAATTGATTTTGTGAAAGCATTCTGTGTTATTCTGCATGAACTTTACTTGTGTGTTTGTAAGTGCTTTGAGAATGGAATAAATTTTCACACAAAAAACTGATGTAAATTGTTGAAGCTAACAAAAAAAAATATTTGCTTGCATCACCTTCTCCCTCCTTTTTTTTTCATTTTGCATAAATTCATACATCAGCTGATGAAATTGAAGACTTTTATATTCAAAAAATTGCTCGGAAGATTAACTTTAATGACGCAGTGTAAATTTCCGTCTGGGATAATTCCATGCGTGGGCGATTCAACTACAAAAACAAATCAAGTAAATCAACAGTATAAGGATGCTTGGTTTACGCTTGAAAAAACATCGAGGAGTATTCTTTGAGCTATCATCAGCTATCATTGGAAATTATTCGAAAAATGTGTAGCTTTAATTTAATTGGATGTAAAATTTATTCTGGCAACGACGCTATCGATTATTTATTTGAATTCACAAGATTTGCTTATTTCTACAATTTAAATTTAATTCAGTTAATGCGATTGGCTTGGAAAGAAAATAATCTGGCATCTAATTTAAATGCGTAGTTTTTGAGTTTATTTTTTATCTTCATTTTCTACAAGATAGTTTCAGTCAAATTTGTTTCCCTCATTAACCTCATCAGTTTCTTCAACCCGTCAATAACTGCTACAATGCATTGTCTATAATAACTAAAAGTCGTCGTTATGTTTACTCGAACATCAATTGACTTAGTCACAAAGTGTCTTGAAGGCAACGTCGCTTAAACAAGAAGAGAAAGGAAAAAAAAGCTGAGACATCATGGTGATACATCGCATTCACTTTGCTCTCTCAAGTATAATGACGACGAAAATCTTCATTTTCTATTTTTACCTCAAACGATGCTTGAATTAGAAATGCAAAAGCAACACTGTGATACAACATAAGAAAAGTTCTTTTTTATGTTCATGTATTTATATACATGTGCTTCAATCTACATAAATTTGATTGCAGATCCCACGCTCCCACTTCACCAATGCAATTCATTCACCTTTTCCCACAACATACACCACAAAATTCAGTATGAAACTTTTACATCAAAACATCAGCTTTTTATTTCCATTAAAACGAGTTTCTATTAGCAAAAAAAATTACAAAAGAAGAAAAAACGATTCAAAAGCAATTAAAACAATGGAGACCAGTAAAAAGGGTAAGAAAAGTTATCTGTCGTTGTTTTAATAGCCATGGGAGTTATATGAAAAACTATCATAAAATTGAATTAAAAATGCACATTCGCCATTGAAGGAAAAATTAAATGTAGTAAAAATTTCTCCTTGAACGAAAATGATTTTCTTCTTTTCTTTTTCTTTTAATCTCCGAACAATTTCTTTCCCAAGTCCATCAGTCGATGATTCCGACAAACTTTCAAAGCATCCGCTTTCTTTAAAACGCCAGCGACATTCTCATTTGCATCGATGAGCTGTGATAAGAAGTCTTCATAAGCCGATTTAACATTTGGTTGAAGTGTTCCGATTCTAACTTTTTTTAACGTCTCAATGATTCCTTCAGCCCAACCGCTCTCGATTGCGAATTCACTTATCCAAGGAATTTGTGGTAAAATGCTACTCATTGTTTGCATACCCAAAAACCACAATTCGGCAATTTCATTCCAGCACTCTTTATACGACATTGAAACAACAAGCGCTTCCGGATCATTTGATTCATCCACAGTGTAGGCATCCCAAAGGAATCTGATTGTTATCTGAATGTAGCGGCAAATTGAGAAATCATTCTTTTTAACTTTCTTTGACTGCTGCTTCAACAACAACAATCCTAAGACTGATAAATGTCCGAGTGTAGCTAAATTTTCTGGTGTATCCTTGAACTCTGGTAAATTGTTGAAAATAAATTTCAGCATGTTATTAAACGTGACACTTTCTTCAACAAATTTTGCTTCCAAAACGGTAATGTTCATGAGAATGTTACATGCGCTAACAATAGCCGCACGTGAATCTTTCATCAAATCGAGTTGTTGCGGTGATAATTCAGGATCTGGTTCGTTCATGCGTTTCAAACGTTCAGCACGTGGAACAGGTGGACGTTTGTAATGTGCAATAGACCAGTGAAATACGATGAAGTCGTGGAGCACATCTTCCTCGGCTACTTTCATAAATATTTTTCGTCCTTCATCTTCGACTACAATGTGACACAATGCAGGCAAAAATATTCGTAAAACATCCATTGGAGCTTCAGCTACATATTCCAAATCCGTATTTTTATTGTCCATACGGAATTGTCGGTTTTCATAGAAACTCATATTTGAAAGTTTCAAAATGAAAGGGAGAATTTTATAAACTTGTGCACGCATTGCTGAAGTTTCTTGAGCTAGCCAAGCACCCAAAACACGAACAATTGCACAAGCAAAAATTTTGTTTTTTCCTTCTAAATTCTCACTCATTTTATCGTTAGATAATTTTGTTAAAACATTTATTACGGCTGTAAACGCTCCTTTCAATGCCGTATATGTTTGTTGCTTTTCCTTTGCTTCAAAGTCAAGTTGATCGGTTGCCATAAAATTGAGTGACAATTCAAGAATCAAGAAACATGAACTAATTAAGTCAGCATTTGCCAAAGCTTGATTAAAGCTCTTATTGTCCATTTGCATTCGAACTTCAATTGCTGCCAATTGCAACAAGAGAAGGAAAAACTTTTTCGGATCTTCAACATCCATGAGTGTCCATTCAATGCCAAGAAGTTCAATAATTTGTGCAGTCAATTTCAAAGCTGGATCACGTTGATTCTTCGTGATTCGGCTCTTCAATATATCCGAAATGCCTTTGTAAAGTGTTTCTGGCCATAATTCACCTTCAGAGCTGCGTCTTATTAAATCGTGACGACAGCTGAAAATCAGTGAAGTCAAAATATCAGCGAGTTCAAATTTTCTCTCAGTTGTGTCCGATTGAAAGTCAAGAGAGAGTCGTTGTAAGAGATCGTGAAATGATTTTGGATTTGCATCCCACGCAGCAGCACCAAAGCTATTTGCCAATGTGACGAGAATGTTGAGTGCTTCGTCAGTTTGGAAACTTTGTTGCAAGTAAATTTCCGACCATTTCGTGAGACCACCAGCTGAGAGAAGCGCTTTTCGACCAGCCTCGTAGATGGCAATGCTTTGAAGGCAACTGTAAGCTTCACTTACAACGATTAAGCTATCAGCATCATCGGCTGTTTGAACTATTTCGAGGAACACGGGAATAGTGGCGAGCATGTCAGAGTGTGTTGCTAAATCTTCATCTTGACAAAAACATGTGAGAATTGAAAGTGCAACACTTTTATACACGAGTGCTGGACAATCGTCGGGTACTTCGTTGCTTGTGAGAAGTTTCTTGAGAAAATCAAAGCCAATGGCCTCAAAAAGCATACGCTTACCGGCCTTAGTACAATCCTTAGATTTAACAAGCTTTGTTACCATGAAAAGTGCAGCGAATTTTTCAGTATCACTTTTGGCTGATCGTAGAATTGCACTACATTGTTTAATAGGCTCAGAGACTTTATCAGCCATCTTTCAAGTGCAATAATTAATTCAACTTTAATTTTTTGCTATGAACGTTTTGATTTTTCCAAATGCACACGAGATACTGAAATGAGAAAATTTTCCGATGTTGATTTTTCGTCTACGGGAGAACGCACGAAAAGCACAAAATTGTTATTTTTAGACTTTTTTTACTTCCAAAACCGAATTCACAGTCATTCGCCAAACGGTGTGTGTTTTTACGTCGGACGTTGTTTTCTGACTACTTGTCGCGGTGCTTGAATGATCAAAAAAGCAAGAAAAGAATGAATGTGAGAAGAGACGAAGAGTCTAATTCTGGAATTGATGATCTAAACAATTTCCTCACAACCGTTTTGTGTTTCTATTCCAGAATGTGTGCGATGGAAGTCTTCTGTGACACCATTAAATGAGAGCTCGGAGTATTAATTCATTAACATTATGAAATTTATTTTAGAAAAAAAGTTTTTTCTTTCAATTTGTTTATAAAAACGATTCCGAACGTCGTTCACGATTTATTTCCTCAAGGATTTGATTATTGTCAGATGTTTTCAAACGCGTAAACAAGCTATGAATGTGAATTCGTTTCAAAACGGAACTTTTACCTTGTATTATTAATTACTTTTAAAACTAAAATGAAAAGAATTCTTAGATTGTTTTTGTTTTATTTTCTTATATTTGAGGTACTAGATTGTAAGCACATCGTGTGTTCAATTCGCCTTAAAGAAATTTTTTGAGTCATCAATTTCCACCACGTTCACCAATCATTCGTTTTCGATATGAATTTCTTGATTATTTCTACTAAAGTTCTTAAATACTAACAGCAATCTTGTTTTAAGATACTAAATAAATTAAATATAAAATATTACAATATGCAGATTGTATCCAAAAGCTCTACCAGATAACTAATTTTTATGAATGATTTATTTTTTTTCCAATGAGTTTTTATTTTGCTTTGAAGTCATTCTACACTTTTACAGAAGCCAATTGACAAGATATTACCTTTTTACATGCTTTAACATCAGCTTTTCTTGTTGTGATCAAAGTATTATCAAGATCAAAAAGAATTGCTTTTATTTTTGTAGAAAACTTTTTGTGATTTCTTTCATAAAACTTGGAAGAGGCCATAGGATTTCTAACTTCACTTTATTATGCAACACTTTAAACTTTTATCAATTTCAATAGTTAAAAGACAAATTGTAAACGCTCAGTAATGATGAAATTTATTTATTTTTATTCCAATTCGTAGAACTCTCAGATTTCAAGTTCAACACAACTTTTTCACCTCTCATAATTCACCTCCAACATAAATATTTCTCACCACACTTAACATATATTTTTGTTGAAAATTTACACCAATCAACAGAAAAATAATTTAATTTTTGCACGATGTCTAATTGTGTCTAATTGATATCTTAAAATATTTAATATTTATGCAAAAATTATGGAAGGAATGAAAACATGAAAAATTTGTAAAACTAATGAAAATTAATTTTTTAAAGAATAAACATGTTCAATTTAAATCTTATTTTCAGTTGTTCGATACATTTAGATATATTGAAACTTTTAAATACAATTTTGAATTGGAAAATGTAACCTACATTTCCTTCAAAGCATATTTAATACTCAAAAACTTCCAACATTTCAACTGATTGAAAATTTTCAGTAAAAATTTGATAGATATTCATTAATTTGCATTTAATTGTTTTATTGGCTACCAAACTGAAAGGGATGAGATCAGCCCATAAAATTTTTAACTCTTTGTGTTCCAAAAAGCAGTCAAAGTTCCGGGTGATGTCATCAGACATGTGTGACTAATGAACATCACATACTATTTTTAATTACAATCAAATTAAATTTATTCGTTTTTGTTTGTTTTATATCAGCTAATGAATTGTGTCATTTCATATTGGGAGAAACGTCGCCTTTTGAAGGTTCTATGTGTTTAATACTGAATTTTTCGTACATTCCATTTATTCCATTATTTTTATCACTGCTTAACTTAATTATAAACTGAACTCTAATACCATTCATCTTAAAAATATTTAGAGTCTGCAACACTCGAGATAATTATTGGAATTATTTCATCTGCTGTTGCGAAATAATTAAAACATGTTCGTTCATCTCATGGTGCTTTCATTGTGTATACATAATCTTTTATACCATTTTCCCTTGAAACAGTAAACAAGAAGAGTGTAGAACGTAACAATAGGACAAGCTTTTTTAATGAAGAGAAATTAGGGTGAATGCGCTTTGAGTTCAGGTATTTCAGCAAGAGAAGCTTGAAAACTATATATTTTTGTATTATGTTTGACGCACTCATAATTCATCATTGTTAATTACAAAACTCCTGTAAAATAAATGCTATTTAGAAGCGTTATTATGAGTGGAAAAACGCTAGAAATTAATTCCAATGAAAGGTTGATAAAGTGCATTTAACGTCGATGTTTTTCAATGCTGCTGATGAAATTTTAATCATTTTAGCGAAAGAAAGGATCGTCAGACATTAATTAAAATTGCGTTAGAAAGCAAATATTATGGTTGGAGCTTCGTGTCGAGGCAAGTCTTGTTTTACCACCACAAGCTAGATGGAACAAACTCTTTAAACAACAAATTAAACTTTGAAATAGAATTCTATTGAAAACAACCTTTACATTGAATACCACTGTTGAAAACAACTTTATTTAAACTTTCCGAAATTAATACCATTTGTTGTCTTTCAAACTTTATTGGATTTTACTTATTAACATATTTCATAATGTACAGCAAAGTAACAAGTGGAATTAATAGTTTGAAATAATACACTGGGAAAATTATTCGATTACCATAGCAGCAATAGCATTGATTTTGTTGAAATCGTTATTCATGAAATGTTTTTGATGGATTATTAATTACCTAATTGTGTGAAACTTGACTTATTTCTCTTAATTAAATTTAAATTGCGAATCCCTTGAAATTTCTCACACTTCAGAAAATTTTCAAAATCTAATTTTCAAATTATTTTAATGAAATCAATCTGAATAATCGTAATAAAATTATTGTAAATAATCTTGAGATTTAATTTAGATTTCGAAACTTTGTTTAGGACGATAATCGCTACTACTCTAGGAACTTTCAATTGAACCCCAAGGGATTAAGGGAGACATTAGAATAAAAAGCTTTCGACAAAAACTTTTTAGTTTCGACCCCTATTAAAGACGTGATATATGAATGGTCTTGAAATTGAAATCAAAATTAATGTTCCAGTTCCCAAGGAATAGAAAGTTATACGTTTCTTTATTTATGAAGGTTAAAGAAATTGAAGCGAGTTAAAACTGAATACAATTTGTAACCCATGAAAACCGAGATTGATCAAAAGTCGGAAATGTTTGAATCTTGCTGACCAATCAAACAATGATCAGATATTTCATAGCTGCTCTCTAAATATAATCTACCGTCTTCTATAAAGAGAACTTAATTGAAAATATTTCCTTTATCCAACTTTGTCCTTTTTCCCTCGTATTTCATATCAACAAATTTTTTCCCCTTGATAAGCAGAAATCGATGGCGTAAAGGAAGGAAAGGAAAAAGGGGAGGAAAAGCTCATGAATATTTCATAATTTACACTGTCGTTTCTAGCTTTTAATGTTTTGTCTCCGTTTCACTTCTTTTTTCTTCCTCTTTACCCTTTTAACTTTATATACACTTCAAATATTTCATCCTCTTACATCTACTTACCCGAACAATAAGAAGAGAGAAAGGAAATAGAATAGGAAAATAAAACATGAAAAGAGGATATTCAATTAATTTCATTAGTATAAAAGTAATAAAAGTCTCGATATCTAATAAATATTATGGCCTGAAATGAAAATTCAACAGAAAGGGAAACAGTGAAAGCGTACCAAATGAATTTATGACCAAGTAAGATCATAAGTTATGTCACGCAACAGTCTCCTTTCAACATTAATATTTCTATCTAGCTAGATGTCAAAAAGATAATCATAAAAGCAATAAATTTATTGATTTTGCTTGAAAAGTGATTTCCTTCTTTTCATTTTACTTTCACAAGAAGTTGTTCATTTTTTTGTGTATAACAAAACGAAATTTTTTATATCAAAAGAAAATTATTTCATAAATTGATCATTGTCATTCTTTTGAATCAAACTCATAATCAAAGCCCGTCGATTTAATATTGTTTGAAAAGTTTAAGTTGATATTCTTTTATTATGTAGGTAATATACAAATTGTTGATATTTGATTAATTGGAAGCCTTCAAGTGAATGTTATAAAAGTTATAAATTATAACTTAGTATGAATGGATGTCATAATCAAAAATTCACGTTTGACTTTCCATAGATTTTCTTGAGAATTTCATTTGAAATTCAACACTGTATTAAAAAAAATGAAGACAAACTTTTCTGAAAATTTAGAAAAGCACAAAAAAATCGATAAAACTTTATTTAGTTAGATAATAGTTTTTCATACGTAAATTGAAAGGAATTGAATTTTGCCTTTCCTTGCCCTACAAGTTTTCTTTTGAGTATTCATTGATTCTCGGCCTCGAACAAATCCCATGACGAAGCATCATTCCACAAGGAAAGATAATGTTATTTATCTCGAAGGTTTTCTCGCTTCGAATCCCTCCTCACAATCGTCCCCCGGAGTCTCATATAACTTTCTATTGGCGCTTAGCCTTAATACAGTCAGTTTAACGCTATCATTTTACAAAAAGAATATTTGAAGAAGTCGAGTCGTGAAAGACGAATCTCTCATAAATTTGAATTGATAGCTAAGTTCACTTCCTTTTTTTCCTTTTTTTTCGGATACTTCCTATCAGTGTTACGATTTCCTTTTTGTTTGCTTTCTCTTCATCGAAAGTGAAAGGCGTTAGGGTCGATTTTGCTCTAAAATTTGATGTTAAAACGTTTTTTTAACATTTTAAAATGAAGATCAGTAGCTTAGTCGTTTCATATAAATTTTATTACAGTGGCAACATTTGCAAACTTGGAAAGGAGAGTCCTGAAATAAAAAATGATCAAAAAGCATGTCATAAACTTTATTTGATTTCACTACGTTAGTTAAAAGCAAATGGTGCTAACTTTGGCCTCTGAAGCATTTTATCATCTCTCACTCCAACCTGTCTCTTACAGGAAAGTCTTAGCATGACCTAATTTTATTTTCAGTCTTCTCAAAAAATTGCTGCCGGGATATTTCAAGAAGATACACTGCTTATGCATTTTAGATCACGATGTTGCTTTTAGTTATCTTTTTACTTTAGACATAAAATAAAATGTAACAATAGCAAAATAAATTTCATTATTTTGAAATTGAAACAGAAATGTTTAAGAAACACATTTGATTTATGGTTAATGGAAACATCAATCATCTTAATGAGATAAAATTTATTCAAATAAGTTCTATCTCTCTATATCACAAATTTTCAGTCATTTCTTTGACCTTGTTTCCATCTTTGATGTTTCATCCCACGCAGTTTCTATGTATCTGAACTTTACTTCCCACAAATTGAGATTGTGTAGATAAAAGGTCGTGCCACATGTTTAAAGCTTTATACTGAATGAATGTGTCAACACAATATGTTTCAAGTAGTTTTTCATTTCACATTTACTGCTGACATAAAAATTTTAAGGATAATTTTTGAAGTTGAAACTACGCAAATTTTTGATTGTGCACAGATTTGTGTAAACTTTTCTTATGATTATCCCAGTGGAATAAGAATTGATAAGATTTCATTATTTAAACATTCTCAACTGTATTGACGGATTCGAGTTGAATAAATTTACTTAAAATGCTTAGCTGCGAAAGTAATGCAAATTTATGTCTGCTTTTTCCCCGCTTTCACCCTTGCATTTTTCATTTCTACAACATTTTACTTCGACATCAAGACATTCAATCATTTTTCAACGTCACGAACGTAAAATCTCTCAAAATTGATTACAGTATTCTAATACTTTAACTAAAAAGCTATGTGTAAATAAATGGCTTTGACGTATAAGCTCAAGTATTTATTTTAAATGATGAATATTTTCCTTACTTACCTCATTTAGATTTTGTAAGTGTGCTTTGAGGCTTTATCCTCTTTTTTTATCTCTTCTTAAACTACTGAAAACATCTTAAAAAAATATTGATTTATTTCTTAGCTTGACAGTTTCTGGAAATATTTTGAACAAATTTTTAAGCATAAAAATACTTTTAAAAGCTTTTCAGTAGGCTTTAAAAAAAGGTTTTAGCATAACAAAAGCATCAACATTATAAGTGTTCTATTTTTTATCTCCTATTAGATTTAAGATATTTGTAACACAATACTTCGTAGAAGGTCAAAATCAAAGCATCGTATTTTATTTCATAAATCATCCAAAAGTTCGTTCTTGTTTTTCGTGTCTGAAAGTAAAAAAGCTTCGATACAGAAACGTCTTGAAACGTCAATAGATGACTTGATAAGTAACTTGGGAATGGATGTTGATGAATGTTTTACTCGTCGATTTTTTTTACTCATGTAAAAAGTGTTCATGGAATTATATATGTATGGATTTATGATTCTCCGGTAACTTTTTCCTAAGATCATGATTTTTTCATGAGTTCAACAGTATGTTAACTTTTCAAAACGATGTCAAGGACATCTGTCACATCAATATGTGGGTACTGGTAATTTTGTCTCTTCGTTGATCTGATTAACAAATTTCGATCCTATGAATTATGAAATCCTATTAGTTAAACAATCTCAGATATTTAAATATTTTTCAACAACACCTTCAATTGTGGAAGATTTTAAAAAGTGATTTAATGTTGAAGATTACAGAGATTAACAATCATGACAATATTGACAGTATTAATATATTTTAACGGAGGAGGGTCTTGAGACTACATCAATAATTAACATCAAAAAACGTCAACTCAAGATTTACTTGAAAATGTTGTTTCAGAGTAAAATTTGTGTAGGTTTTAAGAGGTCTCAATAGCCCACAACTTTATCCCATGTCTGAACCTTTCATAAGAATTTAAAGCATTTTTCTGGTATCAGTAACAAGCATTTTTTAGATGAGTTCTTAAGAATCCTTATTTTGAAAAGCATAACATTTCTGCTTTTTACTCAAGCTCAAAAATGCGACGAACTGAGTTCCTTAATTTGTAATCCATTTCATTCCATTCTCATTGTTATGAAAAAAAGGTTTCTTCCTTTCATTTTGAAAGAATTTGATCTGGCTGTAGTGTAGCTGTATTCATTCCCTTCCAATTCGATATATTTCCATATACGAAATTTACTTACGTTGTTAAGTTTACCCTTTTCAATAACTCTTCCTGCCATTTTCATAGTTCAAGAAAATATGCATGTAGGTCAAATATATGCCAAGGCCCATCAATAATGCTTTTATCATGACAATAACAAGTGATATTCAGAAATAAACATGTACTGAAACCCTTTTGATATTCTTTATCAATTGAATATAGAATCTTGATGTGTATATTGTCAACAGATGTCAAACATGTGAATATCTATGATATCTATTTAAGTAAATATGCATGTGTTTACATTACACTGAAAACCAATCATTTCGTATTTTTGCAATCATATAAAAATTGTTGACTATATAACGATATTAAAAAAAATTCTTTTGCCCCAGATGCATAAAATTAAAAAATAAATTGAAGTTGAAACCAAACAGCGAACTGCAGACCACAGATCAGTATGAAACTTTCAAGAGATTTACATAAAAGAATCAAAAGCTTTAATTTCAAAACAAAAAGAGAATGAAGAGAAAATTCTGGAAAAGTTTTTAAATAAATTGTGAAGCTTTGTTAAAACTTTTGTGTAGATGAGTTGAAAATATTTCTCTTATTTTAAATATGAAGTTTTCTCTTTCAACATGGAAATTGAATGTAGCATTAAAACAGAAATGTGAGATTTATTAAGGAAAAAATTAAAAATTGAGAATCTGAAAAGATTCATTACATTAACGGTAATGTGCTTGATGTTTTTCCCTTGATAATTTACATTTTATACAAAAGAATTCAATGGAACTCATGAAATTTCTAAATTCAGTTTTTGCTCATAAGTCTGAGGTGGGTTTACGAGAAATATTTCATGTTTACTCTCTTCTGACATTTTCGAACCTACCTCAGTTTATATTAAGCACAAGACATTAAACCTGAAACATAAATTAAATAATTAAATAAAAAACATAAAACTTTTGGGTTTTAGATTAACGACTTTTTATTTTCAAATGTTTTAATTTCTCAAAAGGAATCGATTCATAACTTCTTAATTTTTCATGTTTTGTGTGTTTTCAATTTTCATTTTCTTAAATCACAAAATTGTTAATAAAATTTTCCATGTTCAAAGAGAAGAGCTTTTATGTTTATTTATTTTTTTTATTATTTTTTCATTTAAAAAGATGCTTTCATACCACCACATGTCACGTGTTAAATACAAAAATATTTTCATGTAGAGAAATAAACTACGTTTCCTTATTTTCATAAAAATTTTAATTCTTTTGTTTTTCATATTTTTCCGTAGAACAACAATGCCAAAAATGAACTTCTTTCTTTATTCTTTATTATAATCAGGAACAACGGAATAGAAGTATAGAGAGAGATAGAGATAGAGAGAGATAGGAAATGTAGAAGAGATATTTGATAAGAAAATGTTATGGAAAATGATGTGTTTGAGTTTTCTTTTCTGATTTTTTCTTATAAATATTTTCTTTCTCAATTCTTCCATGATTTAATTTTTTTCATAGACATTCGTTTGAGACGCGTTATAGTTGATAAGAAATCATCTTTCGACTCTTCTTCGCTGAGTGTTTCACCTTCTGAATAATGTGATCGATGACTATACGGAAAGTCCATAAGATCGCGCTGTTCTGGGCTATATTTATGATGATGATGATGATGTTTGGTCTTTCGATCAGCATGTGTATCCGATTTCGTTTTAATTCGTGATGTTGTTGGATCGCTCAGCATTGATTGAATTGGAAATTTTGACGGACGTGATATTCCCAATCCTTTACCTTTATCGATTGATTTCACTTTCCTTAATATTGATGGTGTCGATTGTGTTCGTTCTTGAATGATGAATCGACCAAGCGTTTTCCAGTTCGCTTGTGTCTTATAAACGTTTTCATCTTGTTGAAGAATTCGCTGATGGATTGGCGTATTAGCATTGTTAGGTTGAATCTCTTCAAGTAGGAGAAAATTATTTGGATTGTCAAATCGACGCGCTTTAAGAAGAGCTTGAGCGAGAACATCTTGTGCTGTTGCTTTCAATGGTACTCGTAACATTGCGTATGGAATATCTGGTGAAACATTGTAAACACACACCACGTAATGTTCAACGTTTTCGACAAGCGCTAAATCCCCTGATTGTGGTGTTGTCGCTGCACCTGACGATTTTGATGCTTTAAGATTAACATTTGTTGACATGTAATCGGATTGTTTCTCGATTGTCGCACCCACTCTTCGTACGGATGTTAACCATGCACGACTACTTGGATCATCTCCAATTTTCTTTAGAATAAATCTTCCTTCGCCCTTCCATTTACCTTGTGCTTGTAAAGGCTTTTCTGTTGCATCTAACATTCTCTGCTTTGGAGGCTGCAAACGATCCTTCTTTTCCCATGACGGATAAACTTCTTCAACAAGTACAAAGTCATTGAGATTCTCTAAAGGAATTCCACCTTTAATCAAGGCTTGTTGTAAGACATCTTTTGTTGTGCTTTCTTGAATGACTTTAAGAATGGTGTAAGGTTCGTCAGGCGTCACGCCATATACCGTAAGGAAGAAAGTCTTTCTCTTTCCTTTGTCATTGTCGTTCAATTGATTGTTCAAAAGCTTTGATTCCATTACCAATAAGTTGGTTTTTGTTCGATCCATCAACGTCTCATCAGCGTAGCAACTGTCAATCGTTTCTTCTTCGATTCTTGAATAGATGAACAGTGATGCCATGTTAAGTAACAAGTTTGTTGACGATCTGAGACAAACATGTCGATATCCTGACCGTAGCGCCTTAATTGACATGACGCGTTGTGCAAGCATAAAACCACCATCAGAGTCATAAACAGCAAAGCGAATAAAGGCTAAATCGATGAAATTAACTCGAAAATAAAATGTTTCATTCCAAATCGGATTGAAAGCATTACGCATTATTGCTTTCGTTTTACGCTTACAACAATCACCAGGGATTCCAATTATTTCTATTTCAATATAGGGACTAGATAACAAATTATTTTGGTTCAAATACTGTCCACTGACAACATTTATAACGATTTGTGTTGTATGAAGTCCATCAAATTCTTTCTCAAGCGGATTGAAACGACGATACATGAGATGTGAACGATTCCACATGATGCTTGGCTTACATACATAGCCATGATTGTTTGACTGTTCAAACATCGCCCGATTAATGTGCATAGGTAAATCTTCTGTTTGATAATTTAATGCTACCATTTGCATGCCGAAACTCCAGAAAAACACTGGATTAAAGTTCGATGAATCGATACGAAGACCAGCCGGATATGTGCGGATGAGTTGAGTTTCTGTATGTGCTATTACAGCCAAAGGATGTTTACGACAAATTTTTTTCGCATTTGCTTCATTAATCGATGCACATTGATAACATGGATGATTAACATTTGCGATCGGATATTTTTTGTGAACTGTTATGTTGTTGCCACTGCCATGTTGCTGATATGATGTCGAAGCGTTTGTAGATGTAAGCTCTTGTTCGCTTGATGTATTCGATTCCGATTCATTGTTTCCATCGCCAGTTGTGAAGATTTTTATACTTGAACTTGTTATTGTATTCGACGTGCTTATTGTTGATGATACATTGCCTGTCGATTGCGTGATAATGGTTGAGGATGATGATGATAATGCGCCCGAAGGTGTACTCGTTCCATTCCTTTGATTGAGATTGAAATGTATCCAAGGGTTAAGTCCACGAAACTTGATTGCCTGAATATAAGTGACGAGGTCAGAAAGTTCCCTTGCGATCTGATTACTTCGCTTCTTTGAACGTTCTTCCATTTCAAGTTTTCGCACATTTGCCGTAAACGATGTTATACTGTGTCGAGTGTATTTGTCGTCCACTGAACCCCAGATGTTATACGTTTTATCATCAAAATTATCGATGTCATCATCATCCTCATAGTCGCTATCCTCGAAATCTTCGTTAAGTGACCCAGCAGAGCTATTTGATATGATGGAACTTGCACGCCCACTCAAATTACTCTGTCTCATGTAGGGACTTCTGCAAAATGATAAATGAATTCAACGTGATTGTTGATGTTTTGAAAGTTGCAGATTTTTCTTTTTATTTTAACTTAATTACCTTGGTGAGCTGATGCCTAGTGGCAAATCCCCTAATATCTTTTTGTTCTTGATAATAATTTTGTATTTCAGTTGTTCCGGCGCCGGCAGATATGGTTCATCAGTGTAGTCGATGTCAAACATATATTTTGTTATCAGCTTATCGCCAAATGTCGTCTGTACAAAGGTAATAATGAAAAAGAAGAGAATTGACATCAATATTAGTTTTTATGATGAAAGGGAAAATTTTGAAAATAATGGCACGATTTTCATCAAGTTTGTAGTTTAAAGTTAGAATTTTCATTAACTTTTTATGATTCCCCAAGCGAAATGTATTTAAATTATTTAAAAGACCGTATCAGGTAGATGTCATTAATTATTTTCAATCATTTATGTCGGTGTCAGTTCCAATGTCATCGCATGGAGATGTAAATAATTCATGCCAATTAGAATTAAATCTACCTGAAATATTTGTGCCATTCGAATTTGCTGTTGCATGGAACAGTGGTTTTCAATTGATAAAATCACAGGATATGGACTAGCAACAAATGCTGATTTATTGATGGCATCAACGACAGCTCGAAATGGAATTTTCGACGTGAAAGTATGACCGTGATAAATTATTGGGTAGCCGTCGTCGCCATCCCAACAATCCAATTCCACACATCGACAACCCGTAAGTAAAACCTGACTGTAGAGCTCCACTGAGCTTTCGCCTTTGAGTTGATGGCCCGTTAAATAAGTGTTGTGTGACGTCGCTATGAAATAATGCGACATTGGCAAATTCATATTCATTTGTTCAGCCATTTTCGATGGGCAGACGGTCTTTGTCATCGCGTAGTTGTCTTTATCCATCATATATCTCGCAAAACCTTCGAAACTCAAAAGATTTTCAACTCGAAGGTATTGATCGGGTTCATGACGCTGTGGAAAAAAGAGCGGAAAAGAAAATAAAAATGAACAATCATGATTGATTGACTTATGACTGTCAAAATCGGAAAAAGTTTTAGACGAAACCTCACCTCAATTATCATTTTGATTTCAGCTTCGTTTTTCGAATCCATTTGTCGAGTTTCCAAAAACTTCTTGAAGGTGTCAAGAGTAATAACTTGTGTGTTATTCGACATTGATGGATTGCCGCTTGAAATTTGCATCGCCGTCAAGGGACTGTAGTTGCCACAGTAACCGAAATTCCTAATAAGCGTGTTAAACAATTTCTTCTGTGAATATTTGGCTTCCGACAACTCAAAGTCCAACGAATTGTTTCGAGTGAGAAGTCCTGTGGACAAACAAAGGATGGGCAATCAAATAATCAATTTAACATGAAATTCGTGTTTCGTTCAAGCTTTTCTTTTTTTCTCTTCTTTCTTAATAAAAGTCAATTAACTCACCAATTTTTCTTTTCTCAGGTATTTGGAATAGCTCAGGTGCACTTCGGCTTTTATCACTATTTAATGTAATTTTACTTTTCCTAGTTACTGATAATTGGTCAAATATATCACGTAAATCCTTTCGTGCAATTAGACTGATATTGCAGAACATAAAGACAATGTTGAAGTGGAATCGAAATATGGAATGACATAGAAAGAAGTAAGAAAGAGAAAGAAATAATTGAACATTTGAAATTATGTTCAGAGCATGTCAAGTTGGTAAGGAAAAAGGCATTCACTGTCGTATATCGAATAATTACCTAAACGACCGATAGAGTGATACAAATGATAGAAAATCTAAATTAGTATCAAATGATATGTTATTAAATGCGCTATAATGTTTTGATGAAGCTGTATTTGTATCACAAAGAGATGAAGGAATCGACTGCTGTTGAATTTGAGTTGTCTGTTGCGTATTTTGCGATTGAAGCGTTTGCTGTTGAAGTTGTTGGCTAGGGTTTGAGGATGAAGATTGTTTTTGGGTCAGCAGCTCAGATAAATTGTTGTAACTTAAGAGATTCACCACCGACCTTTTCTTTTTCATACTTGTCGTTGGCGTTGACTGGGGTGTTTGTGGTTGGGTGCTTTGTTGTTGAGGGAAATCTTTTTTTACGCTATGAACAGAATCTGGTGTAGACGTCGTCGTCGAAATAAATGAGTAGTCGGTGCCACCAAATGCCTATGAGAAAGAAAGAAAAGGAATTAATTGAATACTTCTCATCCTTGTCATGTCTTGGTCGAGATGAAAGAATCAACATTGTTTATTTTATTTACTTAATCATCTTTAAGATTGACATAAACTCTTTAAATATATAAATAAAAGGGTTTATCTTGATATTTATCTTTGAAGAAGAAAATTATCTTCAAATTTATTTTAGGAAAAAAAAAAAGAAAATTAAAATTTCTTTGTTTAACTTCCTACATTAAAAACTTTCTCCCACTTAGAAAAGCTTTGAAAGTTTAAGAAAAAAGAATAAAAAAGTTTTTTGAACTCACTCTGAGGGCGTCAGATGCCAAAGGTTCACATCCACCATTCTCATAATAAAGTTGAATGTAGAGTTCCTTCAGCCATAGCATCGATCGATCGACTAAACTAATTTGCTTTCGGATGCCACGTAGCATGCATGTTAAACCAACATACCATAATCTATGTTAAGACAGAAATAATTGACATATGTATCATGACTGGATTACTTAATTCCTAAAATCTATAAACACACGCACACACACAAGCACTCATGTACACAGAAAAGTAACGTGAGAGTGTGCATTGAAAATGCTGAATTGATTGACTTGCCTAGCTAACATTGGAGGGCAGAGGATGCAAAGAATCCGATTCTCATTGAGTGAGGTACCGTAGAGAATAGAAACGCAACTTTCAACATGAGTTAAACCATAACGACGTCCAGCAGCAAGAATGTCTTGATTGTAGTCTTGATTGCGTGACCCCATTGAAATGTCTTTAACTGTGGCTAAATCAAGAATTCCTTCATCAAGTGTGTGGAAAATTCCATCGATATCATTCATATTATAGACTGGCTTAGTGACAGTTCGTGGTACGACATTCTCTTCAGGATTAATCGAGACATTGAAATCCATTTGAGATTTGATTCGTCGCCATGCTGGCCGTTGCCATGAAACAATTGAGCAGCATCTTTCCAATCGAAAATAGACATAGGACGAACCGGTCTGTGTGTCTGGTTCCCACAACACAGCAGTTGTTCCATGATGTAATATCTAATGTTATATATAAAATAAAAATAAATGAAGTCAAATGTCTGATTCGATTAAGATGAAAATTTTAACAATTTCGTTTTTACTTGCAATAAATGATGATCGATTTTGTTGTAACTAGTAGACGATAATGAAATTAAACTTATGCCATGATCATTAAATAGCGTTTGTACTGGGTTATAATTTCCAATCTCTAATTCGTAATCTTCGTCGACTTCATGTAATGTTTGATTCAATTCATTGTTCAATTGTCTCGGTGTGTTCGATGCTTGTCTATTATTTAAGAGAATGTTTGCATGTGGGGGGTGGAAAGCAATCATAATATTAAATATCGACATGGATTAATCAATTAACCGCCGTTATTGATTTGTGTATCTACATATCTACATACCTCAAATAATCTAATAAACTAGGCGATGTTTGTTGACACAATGCTTGATGATGTTCCAAAAATAAGTCGATTTCATTCTTTATCATTTCCATCTGTTCCAAGCATTCCGTGTCGGGTATGTTTTCCCGCTTTTTTAGCTGTGAAAAATGCGGAAAAGAAATAAAACGAGGAAAGATATTAGAATGTGAATGACAAGGTGTTTTATGCAATGAATTTCTTGAAAGTCATTTCACTTGTTGATAGTGAACTGTGAACTGTGAATACACATGTAGATGATTTGAATTGATTGATAGCTTCGAAATTGACAATCACCTTTGCACATATTTCCTCAATCGTTCCCGATGTAAACGAAAAATTTGTGGACGATGATAAGGCGGTTTTCAATTTGTCGAGATAACTTTTGAAGTACGGAATGACACGACATGTTGGAATTTCCAAAGAACGGGCAAGGTTTGTCTCGTAAACAGCTGAATCGAATGCGGAACATAGAAATTCATACACTGAAATTTTCTGTCGATCGGTAATTGACGGCCAAAATGATTTGTTCTGGAGAAATCTATTCGATTTTATATCGTCCAAAAGTTGTAACACGTGTAGACGAGAACGGAGAAAATGCAGAAGAAGAAGAAAAAGTGAAAATAAATTGAATTAGGCATTGGAGATCTCAGGTGTCGTTAAATAAATTCAATTATTCGATAGAAGAGCGAATAAAAGTGAATTGGCGCGTGTAATGATTGATGTGACAGATTTCATCACAAAACTGATGGAAAGTGGTGCTTGTGATGTTGCGATAGCAAGTAGTTTCCTCCGGCCTACAGATCCATTATAAAGTGACTGGAGGCTGAATGAAACCCCTACTCTCACAACTCACCTTAACTGTTATTGAATTCCTAGTATCACCTCAACCATAAATCAAAGGTTACACTTCTTGTCCGATGAACAACATTTTCACAATGAACATTAAGAACATCACGTTTCAACCTTTTGCAATAAATTTACCTAAGACCTGTAATAATTTCCTTTGCACCAATGAAGTTTCCGATATTCCAACATGTTATAGCGACACGAAGAAGGCATCCAAAAGCAGCACGTCGCTCGTCGGGCAGAAGTTGAGAAAGCACAATATAAGTTGTCCATGAACATACATCATCGAAACGCTTCCGAAGATTTCGTATTGGAGAATTTACGCGCTCATCGTTGACCTTCCCTTGTAAATCATAAATTGACTCAATAATGAAATCGGCAACTGAAGTCTGCTCCAACATCAAGAAGTTGAAGAAGTTTGATGAATCGTTGGTTCATAAAGCGAAGTAAACGAGGTAATAAAAACATGAAAGGAGAAAAAAAATACATTTAAACATTAAATTAGATGCACAAACGATTTGAAGACGCTTGACGTTAGCAAAAGAGAACTCCAGCCGCTTCTCGCATTCATAAAACATTCTTTCATCTTCCCTCATCTTATTTAGTTGAAGAAGCCTCAAATGCTTCTCCCTGCTGTTATCTTATCATATCATACACTGAAAAACGTAATATTTTATGTCTAAGGATTTTATTACATTAACCGAAATTGACTTTTACGATGAACATCCAAAGTAATTTCTATGGTAACCGACAAATATTGAATCTAAACTCTCACTCACTCGCATCTCACTCTGATCTCATTAAAGTTCTCTTAACCTTTATCCACCTTTTCCTCGTACAACATAAAATTGAAAAGGTCGATATAATGTTTGTAAGCATATGTACATATCTACAATGTTACCTGATAATATAACTGATACTCGGCATCAGTAAGTCGTAAAGCCACCTCCTCCGGAAAGTGCAGAATGTTCTGTAACTCTTCTAAATCGCTGGAGAAAGGGGCTGTCGATGTTAATGATGCTATGAGGCTTTGCGCTAAATTATTTTTATTTTTTTCGAAACAAATGTTCACAATGCATAATAAATATGTTTGAAGGTAGAAGAGTATTCAGTTGATTTTGTGTGGGCATCGACATGATATTTACAACGTTCATCACATGTTCGTTCAATGTTTGAATGTTAAAAAGTTTTTTTTTCGTGTTGGATGGAGAACGTAGAGGATGCGATTGAAGAAAAGAAAAATAAGATAAATAAACATTTAAAGATCGATCAATATCAGACACATGTGTGCATGGCATATTCGGTCGAGATTCGGTTAAGGTGGGGGAGAAATTATCATATTTTTGCAACGCAAAAAGTAAAGCATGAAAAAGCCAGTTAATAAATCAAGAAATTGTTTCGCTCCCGGGAGTTGTTCAAAGTTGATGTAACAAGATTTTCCTTCCACAATTGCATTTCACATGTAAAAGAGAAATTCACAAATTGATTTTCTGAAGCTTATTGCAAGCTTTGAGGAACTTTTGTGAAAATCTCTTTCAAACTTTTTGATTCTAAAAGGAAATTTTCTTGAGCTTTTCATTTAATTTTCAAGCATTTTCTAATCATAAGACAATCCCTAAGGCATGAACAATCTCGTCTCGATAAAAATAGAAAAAGGAAAGAATGAAATTGCCATGGAAGTTGTGTAAAGGAAAATAAAAGAATTGCTTCCACTTACCTTCATCAGAATCAAAGCAAATCTTCTCTGTCTCATTATTCGATATATCTTTGGTAATTTCATTGTTTCGATCAATATTTAAATCTTTTTCTTTATGACAATTGTTGTTATTTGTATGTGTTGTATGGTTAAAGTTACACTCTTTGTGATTATTGTTGTTATTTTCAATTCCAGAACTGTTTGCAATTGGAAGACAAGGAGGGAAGGCTTCACGCATTATTTACTGCTCGATACACCATTTTCGGGTTTTGGTTGAGTGGCTAGAAATCCTCGCTACTGCAGTTACGACCTCCGTTTGAAATTAATGTGTTAAATGATGATAACTTGATTGACAGAAGTGGCTTTTAATTTTTAAAATATTACGTATCAGTATCGAAAAGAATGCGAGAAAAATTTTCAATTTATTTCCCACAGAAATCGTACACAAGAAAATGTGAAGAGGCGAAAGAAATTTAATTGAATTTTCCACCTTCAATAAGAGAATTCTTTCAGTATTTCTGTCTTCTTTTTCTTCTTCTGATGTTAAGTGATTAAATTTTCTGATTTTTCTTTTTCTTCTAATTCAATTTTATTCTTCTAACCAATGATGGTGGTTATTCTTCTGATTTAGTCGGGATAGGTTTTTGTCTATTTGATTCCGTTATCTTCAACAAATTGGATTATCCGTCTATCCGAGAAGAGATAAATAAAAGTAAGGAAAGTCGTTTCTGCTTTCCACTGATTTTATATTATCAAGTAGTGGCCGCTTTTGACAAGTTTGTTTGAACAACTGAAAGCTCTTATTTCACGTGTTTTTTTTTCTTGCGTTCGACACCGAAAAACCAAAGAAACGACCAAAAGCGAAATAAAAATTTTGACGTTTTCCCAACTGCCTTCCTTCAGTTGTTTGTAATCTCCTTGTGTTTACTAGAGAACTTTACTTTTTTCCTTGTTTTTTTTTGTGTGTGTGCGTGTCTACCTATAAATGCCTAAAAAGAAAAGTTAAAAAAATGGCGAAAAAATAAAAGAGAAGGAAGAAGAAAGAAAATCTTATTAAAATTGTCTTCTATCTCGTGTTGCAAACTGTAGTTAAAAGAAGAAAATCTTTGTCTCAAACAAGATTTTCCCATTTTCAGGGGGAATCACAGAGATAAAGCCAAGGAGTAAGTAAGCAAATAAATTTTTCATCACGACAAAATCGACTTCAAATTTTCTCCTTCACCGCTGCTGTCGATGATATTGTTGTGCTGATGGTGGGTGCGAAAGTTTTCATTGTGTTTTACTTTTTTTTCATCATTTAAGTATGTACTTTTCAAGCAAACACGAAAGGTATTTGAAAATTTACTCAATCGAGCTTTTACTCAAAACGCGATTGTTTACCTTCCATGATTTCAGTTCGTGGCTTATATTTATTGTAAAGCTCTCAGAAAGAAAAAAACAAATAAATTTTATATAGAAAACGCGAATCCAAAAAGCTTTTGTTCTCCTTTAAGTGATTTGAAAGAGATTTAGGGAATTGTGTGTACGAAGACGACACCAATTTATGTTACACACATGCGATAAAAAAAAAGTTCAAGGATTTCAACATGCTCCGGTACAGAAAATGTTGTCTGCCTTGCTTCGATCACCTTTAGGCTATGTTACTCCGGTAAATAAACCACCATTGAAAAATATCGATTGTTTTCTCTTTCTCTATCACAAAGACGACGCCTTATAGATTTTTTCCGGCTTTCTTCCATTATTTATGCGTGTGGTTTCAGATTTCGCTCAATTTCATTTGATCGAAATTTCATTTTTTGATGCTTAAAATTTGTTTAGTGCCATTTCTGAGTCTTCATTCGTACCACACCCACGAGAGCATTTTTTCCCTCCAAACATTCTTCTAACTCTCATTCTCATATATCCTGATGTTTATTGCAAAACTTTGAACATTTTCGTTCAAACAACCTCGTCGGGCTCACTCCCGCTACTACAATTGGGTTTATTTTTGGTTCACAAAACAATTTTTTTTCGTCATTCTCTTTTTCTCGTTACCGTTTTCTGTTTTCAGTTGCTTTCATATGAAATGTATTATTCATGAATTCTTGCGAAAATGAGAACTTTGGCTTTTGAATGATACTCGTAACATACGTTGAGTATTGGAGTATCGAAATAAGAACGTTTTTCGGTTTCGATCTCCTTAGCCTGTTTGCTAAATCTAATTTCAAATTCACTTCCGTTTTTCAAATCATGGATCATTATGAATCTGTCTCTTTCCATGATAACGTCAATTGAAAAGGTGAAGATTTTTCTTTTGGTTATTTTGTATTTGCTTATTCACTGGCAATAGCAACGGAAGATTTGAAAATAAAAGGGAAATTTTCCACTGCAAAGCGTTAACGTTATCAATTTTTTAAAACCCCTAAAGCTACTACCAAATCCTATTCATAATTTAAAAACAAGACTCTTCAAGGCTTTCATTCCCCACAATTGAATTTTTTTTTTCGTCTCTTTCAAAAATGGAAAACTATGTAATAACATCCAACATTTTAGAGCTGTCGTTGAAAATGAAAATTTCATGAAAGTGGTGACGCATGACGATGGAAATTCAGCGGGTGTAAGACAATATCGTGTGACAAAATAAAACAACGACTCGAAGCAAGAACAATTATTTACTCATTAAACTTTCTTAACGATAATTATTTAATCAAATAATGAAGCATGAATTGTAGCTTTGTTGTTCTCGTAATCTAAACGAAAGCATAGAAATTTCTCGTGGTCTTTTTTTTTGTGTTCTCCTCTTTTTGTTGTGGTTCTACCCATGAAACTTTTATTAATTCTGATGAAATCCTTGTTAACGAGTTCTACGTTAAAGAATTCTGCCAATAAAGCAGCAGCCATCATTTCGTTCGTGTAATAATATTTTCAGTAAGAAAAACACTCCGAGAGTTCTTTACTTTATTACCATGGCACAGAAGGCTATGTTTACTGCTTATTTAGATGTCACGTACATGACAAACATTGCTTGAATCTTTCAAATAACTTGTCAGAAGACATCTCAACCAACATGTTTAAAGCTTACTGACGAATGATTTTCCTTTAAACTTCTTTTTTCCTTTATCAAATAAGTAGAATGAATCACATGATTTTCCCATTTTCCATGATAAATTGTGAGAATTTATTCCTTCCATAGTTTCACATTTTTTGCGTTTTTCTGATTTCCATTCTCATCAGTTTAAAATTTTTCTGATGATGTGACGAAAGATTAAGTTGAGATTAAGATTTCTTCCCCTCTTAGTTGTAATCCAAATACTGAAGAATGAATATATCGGGGAAATTAAATTCTTATCTGATTAAAGTGTAAAGATTAGAGAATATCGCAAATTTAATTTTCGTATTATTTCAGTGTAATCATTACCTTAATATCTTCATCGTTGCAACTTCTTTCTTTTTCACATTTTCACAGAATTTTAATTTAAGAAATCTTTACAAAAGAAAAAGAGAGCTTAAGACAGTAAAACATAAAAAAAATTGGAAGAAAAAGAAAATATTTTGTTCGTTTATTGTGAACAAATAAAGTTGGCAATTTAATATTTCAAATCTTATTTGATCATTTTTCGTGTGTTTATTTTTCCAGAGGCCGTGTTGTGCATAATTCATGAAATTTCAGAAGAAAATATTTCGTCGTTTTAGAACAACAACATAATGAGATCAGATTGATATCACTCGATGCGGAAGCGAACAATATAAACAGCAGATTTTAAGTCAGGCACTTCGAAGTCGTCTAAAATGTTAATGCTTTAAGTCAGTTTGCTCTTGCTGAAGTTAAAAAAAATAGTTTACGTGAGTGAATAAGTAAAGGAAGAGAAATGTATGCTTTGATAGTGCTTCTCATTTTGTAAACCGTTACAAGAAAATATTCTTTTTCCTTTTGTATATAAATGATTCACGGAAGGCAGGCGAAAATCACGCGAAAATTTTCGTTGTTCAATGGAAGCAAGAAAAAAGTTTGAAATTATAAACATTTACATTAGTAAAGAATTTGTACCCACGAGTGTGTTTATTTAAATTCACTTCGCTTTTAGTTATTAAATTCAGTTTGTACAATACGTAAATATCTCTCAACACCGAAATTTCACGTTACGACGAAAGGTTGTGAATGAAAATACAAAAATGTTTGTAAGTAATTCGAGGAATGATAACATCTACAGATGGCATTTGTTTACATCGTATTTAGCTAATGAATAGGTAATGATTGATGTTAGCAAAGGTAGATGACTTGATAACTTTTACATTCTATTTACAAAGCTCAAAGCCATTCTTCTCAAATTTTCAAATGAATGTGGGAGCGTTTGCAGAAGTCTAGAAGCAATTTCTAAATGGAAGAATGCCATTGAATTAGTCTTGTTTAAAACTTTTTCAAGTGTATTGAAGTGAATATTTTCCACCCACGATATCATTTGGAGTCTTTTTTTTTCAAACCAATAGATACAAAACTGAAGTTGATTTTTCCCTTCAGCTATTTTTATATTTTTCTCTTTTCATTTGATGTCATCGTCAACTCTGAATTGTTATTTTGCATTCTTGCAACAGATCAAAGACAAGACTAGAAACAAATAGATCCAACAATAATTACAATTTATATCTAGATAGACTCTTTATTTATTGAAACAATGTTTTCCATTTTTCCATTTGCAAAGTATGACTGTGGAATTCAATTTAGTTGTTGCTTCAGGGAATTTATTCGAATTTCGGTATTTGCCATCATGAATCTTCGTTAAGAAAGTAATTCAACTCCTGTTTTCCGATACTTTTCACCCACTTACTTAAAGTCATAAATAGATATTTTCTCATGAAAGAAAGCAGATATTTCCACAAACTAAAGTTTCGTCTTATGAGGAACAAGAAGAAGAAGTTTTTAAAGTTTTCATTACTCGAATCCGAGAGTGGTGAGCAGTTATATTATAAAACAAAGCAAACGTGTTAGAAAGCACCATTGAGTAAGCAACCTTGTAGGGTAGGAATGATGAAAAGCAACGTGAGTCAACAAATGTATAAAAAGATTTACCGAGAATTCCGAGTTATTCGTGGGAAAATTTTGTCGTGAGGAAAGAAGGAAAAGCAAGGAAACATAGCTTAAGCCTAATTTTCTACTTTTCCCTGCTATTTTCTCTCATTATCATTAACAAATGTACATGTCTTACACATTTTTTCTTTGTTATTATTATTCGCCTCCATTGTGTTAACATGATGGGGCGTAATTTTCTCACAGTTACGCTCGAATTGTTTTCTTCGTCGTACTTTTAAGACATTTTTGCCTTTGGACATCTGTAGTGTGGTGCGGAAGGTCGAGAATGAATCTTTCTCTTGCTACTTTAAGTACATAAACTTTCATCGTAACTCGAAAGTTGTGCTTTGAATCTTTTCTGTAAACATAATATTTTTATTGATGTTTTCGCAATCTTAAATTTTGTTTGCTTTATGGCGTTGCGTGGTTTCAGTTTCACGGAAAATCTTAATGTGAAGTTGTGTTTTGCTTTCATTTACATTTAATTATGTATGGATATTGTTTCATCTAATTTAATAATAACTTTGTCTTTTAAAAAATAATTTTTCAAAATTAATTTCGAATTTTTAAAGACAATTCACAAATATTAATTTTAGGAAATTAATTAAACGTATTCAAAATTATATTTTCAAATAGATATTTCACTTGTTTATGGTAATATAAATCCATGGAGATATTTTGTATATATTAATTACATCCCCAATTTTATGACATGTGCTTAAATTGCAAATATTTTACTACAAATAATCGTGTGGCAGTTTTTGTATTAAATCAACACCTCGCCCCGCCACGAATTGAATTCATGTTTAATGCAGATTAAAGTTGCAATTATTAATTTTTATAAACTCATTTTACGATTGATTCACGAAATCAAAATGTTCATAGCAAAACGTGGCGTTTAAACTTGTTTAATTTTTATGGACAATAACAATAAAAAAAAGTTGTTTCGGTAAATTCCCAGGAAAGTTACGCTTCGTCATAAAAGTTTGAACTTTAAAATTGTGTTCGATGTTTGTTATCTGATTAAATTATAAAGTTTGATAAGAAAAAGACAATTAATTTTGTTAATCCACCCCCGATGTTCCAAATAGTATTTTATTTTAGTTCCAATGATTCTTCAAATGAAAATATAATTAAAAGAAATTTAGAAAAATGAAATTTTTAAACAAAAGCATTATTAAGTCCCTCCAATTTAAACAATTGTTCCAGTGAAATCGGTTCCATCGATTGTCTGTAAATGTTGAATGAGTATTTTGAAGACTTGACAATAACTGATTAATACTAACTGTGCATGGATCCAAGCAACATCCCAAGGGTTCACCGTCGACGTCAATATCTTTTTGGACACGGTACTTACATCTTCCTTGACCAGCAAATCCAGCTGGAACATCACATTTGGTACAATCAGTGGCAGTAAGAAGACAATTTGGACATGTCAAAGTGTTTGGGTCAACTTCAAAATCTCCGCCCTTGAAGAGGATAAGTTTGAAAGGTTGACTTGGTGTGCTTTCTACACATTAATGAAGATCCCTTTATTAATTGTCTCATTGAAATGAATATCTCAAACCTTGGTTCTGAGCTGATGAACTTCCACCACAATAAACGCTTGAAAACGCACAAAGCAAAACAATTGATGCCAAAATCATATTCATCTCTAAATAAAACTTTCAAGCTAAGCTATTCACTATTAAATTCAAAGCTAATTCACGATCGAAACTGTGAATGATGACTGAAATTTCTGCACTTTTATATAAAAATTTTAAATGAAATTTTACAAAATAAAATCACGATTCAGATAAGCTGACAAAGCCTTGCTAGGAAATGCTCTCATTCTAAAGTTTCCTACACGATGAATCGAGTCTCTTCATATCAAGGCTATCAACTTAAATTGTCATTTTGAAATCTCAATTATTTCCTCTTCTTGTGACAACCCTAAGTAATGCATATATGACTACAAAACTCATCTAAATAAAAGCAACCCCGAAGAGAATGAAGATCGGATTATATAATTTATTAAAGCCGTTAATTTAATATTTACAAACAACTTGGGATCTTAAGTTATTTTAATACTAAAAAAGGAAAATTTGTGGACATGTCAAATAACATTTTAAGAAGCAACAATAATAATGCAAACACTCTTCCATTCAACCTCAAGAATGAAACCTCAAAAATCCTTTTTTCTTATTCCTTCATCTTTTATTCATTTACACACGTTTGTCTTCAATTCTAGGCTACATTTTCTCACTTACTTCTCGAGAAATCGTGAATTTCAGGGTAAATATGAAATTTATGCAAAACATATCTTCTTTTGGATAACACAAGGAATAAAAAGATACATGCTTGAAGATAGAAACTTAGCAGAATATTTCAGGGATGTAAATTCTTTGTTGTTTTAAAATAATATAAGTTGCGATGCCAATTTTCAAGACGATGATCTTTGACTGTGAGGAATTCAAAGCAGTTTCCTTCCTTGAATGAAATATGTTAATTTTAACATGCATGAAAAAGATGTTCTTGGTGCCGTGTCGAAGTTGAAACAGCGATTCACATTTTGAAAAAGAGCCTTTTATGCTTCATGGTGGAATAAGTTTGCTTGAAAGCCTCGAATGTTTTTCTCAGCTGCTCTCATCGTCATAAAACTTCATGTTTATCATACATGAATTTAAATTGAGTGTGCTCAGGATCTGCCTTGGAATGGAACTCAAGCACTGATAACAAATGAGCCACTTAAAAGTGATACACGAAACGACTTTTACCCCCCGTGTGAAATAAAATTCAATTTTTCACTTCACTCGGTGTCACGTGTTATCAAAAAAAAATTTTTTACTTTCATTTTGACGACTTCTTATTCGTGATTCGAGAGCTTTCAACCAACGCACATATTTGCGTTTATAAAAAATTCATTCAAGCAACGCGAGCAAGTTATTTTTCACAGAAATTTTAAGGACTCTTTCGATGTCTCGCTTGTGCTTTTAGACGGTCGAAATTACTTGTATTCGTGTAGACGATTAATTTAATGGCCCTCTGAAGGAACACGCAAATCATCCTAAAATGTTTTTTCCATTTTCTTGGCTACCATAATATTGTGAACATAAACTTACTCACTGACGCGCATTTGGTGAATTATTCAGCTGCCTTCGCGCTTCTTCTTCTTCAAAACATATAAATTATGGTACTTTGGAAGCCTTTACCGTCTTTATTTCATTTTACTTTATAAAGAAACTGAAAGTGAAGTCAATGCTCGGGAAACTACTTTTACTCTTAATCAATTGATTATTCTCTTCTTAGCAACTTATTTACTACCACACGACAAGTCATGAATGGAGAAAGGTGTTGGTCATGTTGTCAGTTTTCTTCAACTTTATGGCAGTTTTCGTCTCGACGTAATTTATGGCTTCATTGAAAAACCCATCAAATAACTTAGACTAAGATACATATCCAAGTACTTAAATATAAAGTAATATTGAAAGGGAAACTTCTGAAATTCATGAAGGTTTTATCTTCTCCAAAAGGATGGAAAAACTTTAAATAGGATAACATCGAGTTAATTGATTTTCCATTAAATCTGCTAATTGATTGTCAAAAGTTTTGTTAAGGCCTTGATTTCATAACAATATTGAGAAGGTATAACAAAAGAACTTTAATTAATATTTAAATATTCCATGACGTGTAATTATACTTCAAGTATTTAAATATAATGTAGAGAATTAAAAGAAAATTATTTGATTGTCTATTTAAAAGTTTCAAACGACAATCTTTTAATGACAATGACAAAGAAAATCTTGACTTTGCTTAATGATTTTGTTAGACAACTGCGACAACAATGTCAATAAACTTTTCTCATTGTATTCTGTTGAAATAAAACTTCAATTCTCTAGATAGATTGCCGTTATCGAAAGCAATCAAATTGATGAAAAATGATGGAAGAAATTTATTCAACATGCGACAAAGCAGAAAATTCAATTGCAGCAATCTTCCAAATGATTATTAGATATTTATTTACTCGTTAGATATTTGAAATCAACTCAAATTGATTCGTTTAAATGTACTTTGAACTTAAATTCTTCTAAATAAATTTTAACTAAATCCCAGGTTATCACGAACGTTATCAAGAAATGTTGACAGATGACTGAAGTTTGTGTTGGTCTTGCGACTTGATAAAAAAACTCGGACAATACAAAAAGCACATTTTTCTCAAACATACTTACAAATGTATTGAAAATAAGAGATTATATATAATCAGTAATCGTTTGAAACAAAAATTATTATCTTATTCACATACTCTTAGTCTTTCAATATAAGACTTGAAATAATATGATAAGACTTCAGTCATCGTCTTCCAGTGGTCCCAAAAAGATTGCGCTTTGAATTTGTCTGCTCTCTAAACTTTTAATTTAACGAATATGTCGAACGTTTTTGACATCGATACAAGCCCAGAAACTCCTGAACTTTTAGAACTGGCAAGAGTTCAATTGAGGGAAACACCAGAAATTAAAGAAAAGGCATTCAAGGAACTGAGAGAATTGTTGAAGAAAAACTCTGATCTCAATTACCGTGACGACGATGCTTTCCTTCAAATGATTCTCAGACCATGTCATTGGTATCCAGAAGGTGCAATCAAATTGGTAAGTAACAAATTATGGAAATTATTAAATGAATGGAGAAAATCAGAAAAAAACGAGACTTTGTAGTGATGAGTGATTGACACTGACACAGAATATATAAAAAGAATCAAATCATTGAACTTGAACTTTGATTTTTATTCAACAAGATAAGGAAATTTAAACTCATTGCATAAGTTTGTCTTTACACATCAACAAATATCTTTTAAAATAATTTTAAAATCTCTTACTTATCTACAATAAATCAAGTTCAAGTTTAATAAAAATAAAAACAATCAAACTAATGCTAATTTTGTTCGAACGTCAAACAGAAGTTCAAGTGTTTGTTGTCAATACATCAGTGATAAAAGGTTTAACACATCAATGTCTGATAAGATATTTCATTGCACTTTGAAATACAATGAACTTAAACTGTTTTTATCAACTTCTATAGCTACGTCAAATTGCTGAGTTTAGAAAGGAGAATGCGAAGTTTGTGAAAGGTTTGCTTCCTGAACAAGAAAAGAAAGCGTTTTGTGAAGGAAATGTCATCAACATTTTAACTGGAAAAGATCAATTAGGACGTCGCGTGTTGATTGTCAACCAAGGAAAACTTTGGAATCCCGATGAAGTCACAGCTGATCAACTTTTCAAACTTTTTTATATGAGTAAGATTCTAACTTTTATCTTTGTGAATACAATGTTTAAGACTCTTATCAATATTTCAAGTTCACATTGTTGCAATGCAAGAGTTTGCTACCCAAATCAATGGTGTGGTCGTTATAATGGATTTTGAGGGATTATCATTAAAGCAGGTGAAGGCTTTAAGTCCCGGAAGTACAAAACGTTTGTTAACATTCATCCAAGACGCGATGCCTTTGCGTTTGAAGGAAGTTCATTTTGTAAAGCAACCTTTTATCTTCAACATGGTTTGGACTTTAATCAAGCCATTTGTTAAGGAGAAGCTTAAGCAAAGGGTAAGGAGATGATTTACAAAACTTTATATCCGACATCAACAATCTTTCTTCCATTTTAAGATGTTCTTCCATGGAGACGACATGAAAAAGTTACACAAACATATTCCAGCTGATTATTTGCCGACAAACTACGGGGGAACTCTTCCCGCAATTGACTATTCTGGAAAGGATTGGTACGGAGTCACAGAGCGATACGTTCAAGAGTTTGAACAATGGAACACGTACGGCTTCAAATAAGTCAAATTTCCTCAGCTTTTTGTTAATGTTAAATGAAAATAATTTTTTAAAATAAAGAATATATTTCAATTTCCACCATTATTCGATGAAGTATTCAACCTTGAGAATCATAGCTTGAATCTTAAATTAACTTTCTTGTTGGGAAATTTTCGAAATTTTATGATATTTTTATGAGGCTTGTCATGCTGACACAGATCCAGAGAAAGCGACATGATTCGGAAATGTGAGATGACGACAAAGTTTGTTCTTTTCCTTTTAAATAGACATTTAAACTTTTATTCTGCTCGTAGACAGGAAATGAGAAGACGTTTTTCAGCATTTTTGTCACGTGCTGAAAAGTTATACTTGTTCATATTTAGCAGAAGAAGAAGGAAAGTTTCGATGTTGGTAATCAGACAGATTTGAATGAAAGTACAACAAAAAGCAAATGAACTTGGAATGTTTAAAGAAATAAGAAAGTGAATCGCAATATCGCGTGACATCAAAGGTAAAAAACCCGCTGAAAGAAAACTTTTCCGAAAACAAAAAACAGCATTCATTAAAATGAATAATGATTTTTTCGACTGCTCGCAGCTCAGCTTTCGTCTTTTGGTGTTTCGTTCAAGATTCCCATCAAATGAATTTTAAAAAGAGAATAGCAAAAAAAAGTCTTGCGTGCTTTCATCTTTGTCATGATACTTAGCCTTGTTGCGCTAAATTGTAGTGGGAGGAGAAAAGACAAATGATGAAAATAAATTGCTCGATAATTAAGTTTTCTTGTAAACGCGAGCGACATAAAAACGTTAATGCGAAAACTTTTTCATCTGATTTTAATTTTCATTTCGATGTTGAGATTCTAACAAGGATTGATGTAGCGAAACTGCGATCTTAAAGAAAAATAAAATCATTTCTGATTAAACTTGTAATGGAGTGAATTAAGTCTAAATGAGCTAAAGCGGGAACGATGAGTATCCTTAAGGCTTGTCCAAATGATTTCGAATAGCTATTTAATTAAAGTGAGCTTAACAATTCCATTTACTACTCATGTTAACATCGAAATAGATATTGTCGCAATGTGATTGTTAAGTTTATGCTACTTCAACATAGACAAGCAAGGATAAAGAAGAAATGAATTCAAAAGGTTCTCCAGCAACAGCAATTTCATTTTAATCTCAAAAATGAATCTATTGTTAAACATTTTCCCATAATAAATAAAAGGACCATTCGAATTAAATATATCTTGCTAAAAATCACAATTTTTATTTTACAGAAAGCAATAAATTTATTTTACTTTACCAAAGGCTTATATGCAATTTGTAGAAGCAGATTGTTTGTTTAGTTTTATGTATTCGCATTCTATTTACAATATTGTGTCGTGCTGTAAATGCATTTATGAACCACGCAATGCAAATAATCAAATAAATCCAAGGTTCTAGAAATTTATTCGTTTCTGTTTACTGTGCATTTAAATTGTTCACTGTTAAATCTATAAATATCTTCTCACTCTTGTATTGAAGAGTCTGATAAAAATTCAATGATATCTTTAGCATTGAAAAATATGAAATTTTCACGAGAGACACAAACGGAATATGAATAAAATATAAAAATGATTTATCTTTATCAAAACATCATTCAATAAAAAAGTTTAAATCGCGGAATATTTTTAAGGGAAATGAACGCAGCAAAAGAGAATGTTGAAGATGTTTTGTTCTGTTTACACCGAAAATTCCCCTATTTTTAACCACATAAGTACGCTCGACATAAAAACGCAACATAAATATTAAACGAAGGAAACTTTTCTTCCCTTCATCATGACAAAGACGAAAATTCACATTAAAAGTAGAAAATAAAAGCGTAATCATTAAAACAACCTTGAAAGTTGAAACTAAAACTCTCGATAAATTGGCTCACGTACATTTAAACGCCCATTGGAATAGGGAATGTAATTTCCGTAAAACGCGTCCTACGGGACCGACATGATAATTTCAGGTCATCATTTCACGTGTTTTGAAATGGAAATTTTTCGCAATTCTCTTTATTTTATAGCTCGATGGCTGCGGTGGGAAAGAGTGTTTCTAAACGTGTCTGAATCGATAACAGAAGAGGCACAAGAACACTCCCAAAGCATGTCAGCGATATCATAAACCAGATAAGGAAGTTTTATTGCGATTATTCTGATGATGTGAAAATGGAGTGCATATTTCTTCCTTCGCTATTGAAATTTATGCTCTGACTGTTCATTAATCAGCTTGGAAAGGGATTTTCGTAACACAATGGAGTCTCATGAATTAATTCTCCACCTCAAAGCTTAAACATAAATTCGTGAATAAAACATTTGTTTGGAAGCTAACAACGTCATTATTATTATAATTAATATTTTTCCATGAACATCGTGTAAGCGTCATAATAGGCATTTAGCTTGCTTGGTATTCAAGTATCTTTAGAGTGAAAATGGAAGAGACGAGACGAAGAAGGAAGGGAAGATACAAAAAAGTTCAGTCGAGTCGAATAAATAAACTTCGTGGCCTTGCGTTTTGCCCGTCGTTACTAGCAGGCTTTATCAAAATTTATGCGCCATTAATTGAGTTTATACTTAAGAGAATGAATATTTTCCATAATTAAAACGTAATCTTTGCAACATCCTTTTTCCTTAGCGATTTGGTCTAATCATAAAATGAAACCGATAAAATAGAAGCGGACAAGCTGTGTAGAAGAATTTTCTTGCGTTGAAGCATGTGGGAAGATTTTTGAAATAATTTTGAGAGTTTATTCATGGCTTCACTTCGAGATTTTCTTGCTGAAAATTTTTGGGGTTTTGAATGTTTTCTAAATGCAAAGAAAAAGAAATTTCGATTATTCAACTCGTGGGCTTTCTTAGAATTCTTCATGAAATTATTTTCTAATTTTTGGCAGTATTTGCGATGTTGTTGAGGAAAATTTTCCAGAAATAAATTTAATAAATTCTTGAAAAGAATGAAAAATTAGAAGACATTTGAAGACACTGACGCATCCTAATTGAAGAAATCGCTGAGCGAAATAATAAAATAATGTCTTTAAATAAATCTGGAAAAGCGTTTTCACAGAATATTATTACTGATTAAAATCCAAATTTTTACTAATGATTGCCATTCATTCATTCATAAACTTCCTTTTCGTAAATCAATCGACTCGACGAATTATATTTCATGTTCTGTATACTGTTAAATTTGTTTCAACTATATTCTAAAAAGAAAAAACAGATAACAAGATTATTCCAATCATATCTCACAATCGTGTACGTGACTTTCGCTCAAACGTGCGTTTTTTTCACTTCTAAGCTTTACTCAAAATTGCATTTCACTTAGTAAACATCAACAACATGAGCTTATTGTGAGCGGTATCTATGGTTTTCATGTATGGCATATTTTGAATGAGAAGCAAACATATTATTCGAAATACATATCAGCCATTAAGTGAATGAATACTCTGAATGAGCCTCGCTTCTCCCTAAAAGTGTTGCGAAAATGAACTTTCCATAGTTTCTATTTTTATCTTTCACAGCACAAACATTGTTAATGGAAATACGCAGAATATTACAATTCCAAATTTTCTCTATCATGAAAGGTGTTCATGAACAACATAAGCTTACTTGTTTATTTGCAAACTTATATTAATTTAGAACACCAACAAGGAAACCTAATCTTAGTTCTTTGTTAATAATATTCAAGATTTTCCTACAAGTAGACATCTTCAATATACGAGAACTTTAAAATATTTTATGTTTATCATAAGATTACAATCTGTATGATTATAATTAAACTTCGCAGACGACAACAATTTAAAGAAGGGTGACTTGTAATTCATGTCATGAGAGAAAAGTGAAAAAGACAAGAATTTAATCAATGCAAGAATGAGATTTTCCTTGTTTATAATGATTATACAAGACGACGTATTAACTTATTTGTTTCTAACTATTGGTATGGGAAAAAGAAATTTGAGCATAAAAGGAACGCAGTTCGTATTTATTACATAACTTTCTTTAAGAAAATTACGGACGGTAGAGAAAGGTTGTTTGTTGATAACTAGCACGTGTAAGATGTACAAAATTGGAAAAGTTTTCTCTTTTTGCATGCATCTTCACTTGGATTTAACGTAAGAATCACATTATGAATCTGTTATCGACATCGTGCCTTTCTTGAGACTTAATATAAATAGGAGAATAAATACGAATATTTACGTGGGTTGAACTTTGGGATGAACAACCACAACAGCCAATTAACTTCATTTTTCTTTCTTCTCTTCTATTCCACAAGTTTGATTCGAACCGTGATAAAAGTTCATTGAAAAGAGCTCGCTTTTTCAAATACCATAAATCAATAATTTTATTCTTTGACTTTGCCTTGAGCGAGGGTTTTCCGATTGAGTAATACATACGTAACAATATAGGTCATGTCATGAAAAAAAAGTCATGTTATTAAAGGACTGCTTTGGTTGTCATTCGTCATCGATTATACTCTTTATTTTAATAATCGCACAGCTTAACTCAGCTCGAATGGAAAGAAAAGCTCTTAAAGACTTTACTGGAGCAGAGTGTTCGCTTGTGATTAATTGAAATGTTTTATTTCTTCTTCATAATGTTATTTTCTTCGCTTTCTCTTTACGTCTGGCAATTTCCCAGCAGATGTTTTTCAATATAATTGAATTCGAATGTCAATCGACAAAGTCAAGGAAGTAGAAAAGCTTTCAATTTTATGAGTCTTCTAAGGACGACCTACTCGTATCATCAAGTTCAAGAGTTCCATTTTATGTTTCAATACTAATTAAGTATGCATTTAAACAAGAAAAGGTCTCTCTATACGTTTATCGCTTGTTCTTCTTTAATGGCGCCTTCTCACATTAAGTAATAACAAAATGACTCTCTTCTCAATCGTAGCATTTCATTACACAACAAAAGGCTTGTTTAAAAATGAGTCACTCCAACTCTTTGTTTATTTAAACGACTTAGAAAACCTTCCATTGTTTCTGACTTCTTGAGGAAAGTTTCTGTTGTGATTAGCATAATTTTAAGCAGTTTTTATCATCGTATCGGGTTAGGTAGCAAGGCCAAAAGCGTTCTATTTACATCTCAAAGTATACATTTTGTTTCGATTTAAACTCCCTTTGATTTTGACTTTCAAATTTTTGTCTCAAAACCTACAAAGGGAGAGATTTTCAATTTGTTTTAAGAACAGAAGAATGGTGTTAAAAATAATAGATAAAAGATAAGACTGAGACACATTTATTCAAATAGAAAATCCAATAATACAATTTTTCATCAAATGCTTTGCATGTTGACGAATCAGTCTTGTCTTCATCTTTTGTGGAATAAATTTCGCAAACTCAGTGATAAGCGAAACGGTACAAATTTCTCGATGAAAATTACAGCGCCATTCACAAAATCCCCATTTACTTCATGGGAGCTTCATTTTCTTTCATTTGGTTTATGTATATTAAGCTAGCATTGAGCTAAGAAGGAATAAATTACATATCAAGAAACAAATGAGCAGATTGAAGTGATTTTGATAAGTCGTAAGCAAGCATTTGGGTTCTAGAAATGGAAATTGTTGTTAAAAGAGATTCATGTATTTGATTCAAACTTCAAACTCAAACAGCAACAAACTTCGCCTTCTCTTTCGTCATCGTAGTAGTTTTCAACTTTTCAAAGTATTTCCGCCACTCCCTTTTCGCCCCATCAGATGCTATTGAAACTTTTTTTTATAGATTCTAGTTGCCTCAATTTGCCATTTGAAAGGATAAATTTAACAAAATTTTCTCGTTCAACACTCGTTGTTCGAGTTTCTTTGAAACGAAAGCAAAACTTTATAAGAAATTTACGTAAGGGAAATTTGATCGAGTGAAAAATTTCCACTTGCTTAAGGAGACAGACTGCAAAAGAATATTTAGGTATTCTTGCCACTTCAGCGATTTTTCGTGTAACATAAGGGAGCTTTCGTTTCTTTCCCATCGATGGAGGTCGACGGAAATGGAAAAAAAGTAATAAATTTCGTGCTGGTCAGCGATCATCTGAACAACGATCTGTTATCCAACAGAACACATCGCTTTGCATAATTCAATGACACCCACGCATGCTGTTCCATGAAATTTTAATTTCCGACCCGTTTGAATTATTTAGCTTCTGGTTAACTTTACGTACTTTATTATTTCAAAGGTTTTTTAATACAACCCTTAATTAATTTATTGTGGAGAATTTTCTCGAATAATTTCCATTTTTAATGATTTTTTGTGACTTTTCTATTGTTGAAAATTCTTTTACGCTTTTAAACTTATCGTGGAACTTTATTGAGACTGTAAAATTAGCTGAATATAAAAGAGAGAAAACACCCGTTAAAAGCTTCGTGGGAAATTGCCCACTGTCACTTTACAGCTTAAATAGCTTTTAATTGACCTTATTCAATTAAACGTAAAGCTTTTTTCTTTGCTTCTTTGAATTATTTCATACGGAAAACAATTTTTTGTCTGTTTTGCGTTGGAGCTTGAAAAAATAACAAAAAAAAATCTCCATAAACACGAAAATGTATTTAACATAAGACAAATTTTCATCCACCTACGTACACTCTTTTTATATTTTTATGGCATATCGAGGGAAATCACGATGATGAGTGTAGGTAATCAGAGGAAAACGTTCTTAAGTTCATTTAAATCGCTTTATGTCCCGAGAAAAAAATAATGGCGAAGCTTAAAGCCTACGAACATTAACTATGGAAATGAGATAAAAATTGATGAAGATATCAAGTTATCACACGATAATTAGGAGTCTGAGGAATATTCATCACTAATGAGAGATTAAGTTACGATTTCACTTCAGTTTTTTTTCGGTTTATCAACAGGCCGTGGCTTTAACTTATTCGCTCAACGTGTTCGCAAATAAAAGCAAAAATATTATGTTTTATTAGATATTTATGCCTCACCAGCTTTGTTGACACATAAACATAGATATAAAAGTTATAAGAATAGGAGTGGTCGAATTCATTTGTTGCGGAATATTTTCTTTTCCTAGCGATATTTGAAGATTTAATATTAGATTTTCACGCCTCTGTCGTAAATTTCTCATTTGTTTTATGATCTGTGTTATGTTTGCATTCAAAAAATCACGAAAGAAATTTTATGACACTTTTCTCGTTACTCGTGGTGTACTGTCTGTCATCTTGAGAGTCGATTCCTTGTAATCGCATAAAGTTAAGGAATACATTTTTCATCTTTTAACACAGTGAGTCTCAGTTATTATATATTTACGCAGTTCGGCTTCATTCTGCTGATAGATAAACATTTTATCATTTCACTAATGGATTTTAATAGCACTTTGTAGAGGTAGGTACGACGAGAGTTCATTTTTCCGGAGTTTTTTGCTAACGGAAAATGTTTTTCTTCACTTATTCACACAAAGCTTACGAGGTATAATCGTATTTTCAATAATCTACTGAGAAAAAAAGGAATTTGTTTGTTTAAAAAATTCCTTCTCGAAAAATTTGGATTATAAACACTACCAATTTTTTCTCTTTGGTAGATAGGAAGTTAAATTATTCGGTTCAACAGAGTTCAAAGGTCTTCTAAAGAGCTTTCTTCTTCTCTTACTCTTGAACATTTTTTTTAATATTAATCCAGGAATGTTGATGTGAATTCTTCCAAGAAGAAAAACATAAATTGAAGAAAGTAAATATTATTTATTATTTATGGACACGTTTCATCTTTTGTGATAAGGCGAGAATTTTTCATTGGAAGAAAATAAGAAAATTTCACTTTTTTTGAAAAATCATTGAAAAAATTTTCTTTCATGCTTATTTAATTGAATTTTGTATTTCATTCAATTCATTTCTTTAAAGCTGTTTGAAATTTATTTGAAGAACATTCACAAGATTTGAATGAATAAAATTAAAATATTCTCAAATTTTCTTTCTTATGTGAAAGCAAACTAACTAAGCGCTTTGTACTTATTGGTTTCCCTTTTCGACTTTCCGTTATTCATTTTAAATGAATTTTCTCCCTTCTATGAAGGAAGCTCCTCTAATTTATTTTATTTTTTCTGCCTTACAAAACTCATTATCATTTATTTTATTTTTTTCTCACAGTAAAAAAATGTTAAAATTCCCTCTCAGTCTACCAAAATTTATGGCGAAGTTTGAAATCAGAAGGAACAACAGAAAATAAATATTCTCATTGTGTTTTTGAAAGAAATTAAAGGAATTGATTTGGTAGGGTTTCGGAATGAAACTTCCATCCCAAAACAAGCACAATTCTTCAACTAGCAGCGGTTAAATGGGAATTGAAGTTGGGGAAATTTATTGCAGCTTTTTTCACTCCTTTGCTTTATTCACAATGTAACAGAAATCACTTTGGGGAATTGTGTCCTATAAAATATTTAAAAGATAAGGAGAAAAAAAAGACTAACCACAGCACGACTTGTTTCGAATGGTTTACACACGCGAACGTTCAAAGTAAAACTGATGAAAATTTTTCGGTAGGATTTCTCATTTGTTTTCCCATCGAGTTTTCTTTTTGGTTCGTGAAAATGCTGAGAGAAGAGAGAAGTGAGAAAGAAAAACTTTAGAGAGGAAAAGTTTTTAGAACAAGAGAGTCTGATCATCTTTTATACTGTTTGATGAGAGCGTTGATGAAATTTTTGAAATCTTAAACCTTAGTTTAGATATCAGATTGCTACTTAAATGACTTTTTTTTTCTTATTGCCATTATCTGAAGAAAAACTTTTTTAATTTGAAAACTCGCTGACTCAGATAATAAATTATTAAAAAAATCACTTGAATGCATAACGTCGTTGAAAATTTAAGGAAAATTTAATTGCTAATAAAACTCATTGGAGTGGAAAGAAATTGAAAAATAAAGAATTATTTGTTTGTTGATTCCTTAAATCATAATATCAATTTTTTCAAAGGAATTTGGAGCTTTTTGTTTTCCTGAGGTTTCAAACATTGAACACGAAGGCGAAAATAAATTTCATCACGTTATTTTACTCACTTTGTTATTTGAGATGACTTTCATCATCCTTTTTCCTTTCTTTTCAAACAAAAAGGCGAGAAATTTCCACATCCCACAGAACAATTTTCAATACTCAGATGAAACTCTCAATCCATTTTTTTTGTTTCTTAAAACTTTTTTGAACCCTCTTCGGTAATAAAACAACATCTTTTGTTGTAAAAACTTCCTTGAAAGATTCAAAGTGTAGGAGGAGCTTTTAACGATAACACTGCATTTTAGTGCCGAAACGAAGAAAAAAGTCAATGAAAAAGGTGCCGTTCCCTGAAGAGATCTAACAAGCTTAAAGTTATAATGAAAACCAAATGATGCGCGAAGCGTAAATATCTCAACTCAAGTTCAAGATTACGTCGAAAAAATAAATTTTCATCATTGATTAGTCTTTGAAAATCGTTTGATTTCCTTCTTTCTTTACAGACAGTTTTCACCGGCTTCTTGAATACAAAAATTGGGAAATTTCAATAATTTTCACTTTTCAACGTAAGCGTAAAAATGAAAATAAATTATAAATAGAACGACATCAGACGATAGATATAAGCCAAAGGAAAAATGATGCAATGATAAGAAGAAGAATCAATTTGTAATACTATTCAGTTTCTCACAGCTTCCGACCATGATCATCAGTTTCATTTCAGATGTTCAACCAAGTGAAAGTGGGAAGAACGAAAAATATAAAAGACAGATAAATAAAAGAAATTATTGATCTATAAATTACGTGGAACGAAAAAAATTGAATAAATCATGGGCTACTTCCAAACCGAACGCGACTTAAGCTCGATGAGCTTTGCCTTCGATCTCATTGATTTTGCAGCACTCGATTCTGTTCCCATTCCAATTCCTCCACCACTCCCAGTAAAATTTGCAAACTTTAATGACATTCCAATGGAGGTAGGAGCTTCCCTACAATCTCTCATTCATTATGATAAAGAAAAAAAATTTGCATAAAAAATTGTGACGAAATTTTCATGAAAAATATTACGTGAACTTGATTACAAAGCATTCGATTGATTGCCATAATTTATTTTATTTTTAGATTATAATTCATATATTCAAGTACTTAAATCCCTCAGACTTGAAGATTGTGGCATTGGTATGTCGAAGATTTCTAAGCGCCTGCATGTACAAAAAGTTATCGAAAAACTTTATGCTCAACTTTGTGGATTCATACTACAAGGAGTTCAGTGTACAAATCTCTCAATTTGTTGACACTTTTAGAATCTTTCCGGCAATTTCTGTGAATACTGGGAATTTTGATGTGGCTTCGCAAAGTTTTTGGCTTGACTATGGTGAGAATTTTCTAAATGGCATTTCCAAAATTTAACAGGAAATGTTTTCCTTTCTTTTTTCTAAGGATTGAACATTGAAGAAATTTATTTTCGCAATGGAATTTTGAGAAAGCATGAGTTTGAAGATATTATCAGATGGACGCCAAACATTCGTGTTTTGAAAATTGAAGCGAATAATATTTTCCGCACATGGGATGTGAAAGGAACTTACTCAGAACGTCTCCATAATTTTGAGAATTGTTATCATATTTCATTAGCTAAAAATAGCTTTTTGAATCGAAAGATTTTTGATTTTGTTGTGTCAAAGGCGCCAAATCTACGGGAGATTGATTTGTCATTTTGCATGAATAAATTGCAGGCATCTGAGAGAAATGCTATGTTGGATCATTTCATTTTCTATCTTAAAGGTTACGGTGAAACAGTGAAACTAATAAATTTAAGACAAACTGAAATCGATGATTTCTTTCTTCAGGCATTATCGGAAGTGAAACGTCTGAAATTAACATCCTTGTCGATTACCTTCAATGGCGCTACGAACAACAGAAAATTCGGTATTATCCCTCTGATAAACTCACAAAATCTCTTGGAAGAATTGGATATCCAAGATTCATCAGCAGTTGAGGAAAATGTTTTGATGGAACTTTCGAAAGTTTGCAAGAAACTTCGACGACTAAATTTAAGAAAATGCGCTCATATAACTGATTATTGTTTGCGAGAAATTGTAAAACTTAATCATCTTGAAGCATTGGATATAACTTCGTGTGATTTAGTTACCGATGAAGGAATTCACGATGCCCTACTTTGTGGTACACCCAAAAAACAGCTTCGAGAGCTTCATTTCGGAATGTTGTCACATATAAGTGAAAGAATATTTGCAAGACTTGGAACAAAGCTACACAATCAGTTGACGATATTGGATTTGGGTGGTTCAACAAACCTTGCTGACGATGCCCTTCAAACAATCTTTTGTCATTTCCCTATGATTCGTTTTTTGAGTTTGGACAGTTGTTGTAAAATTACAGATTATGGAATAACCGGAAAGTTTCAAACTCAAAATTACTTTTCCATCAAACTTCTACAAGGGCTAAGGGTTTTGAGATTACAGAATTGTTACAAGATAACAGATTTTGCTTTGGTTGACAGTTTTGAGTTTAAAGAACTAAAAGAAGTTTATTTCGCAAGGACACATTTCCAACGAGAAGGAATTGAGGCGATGGTGAAAAATTGTCCAGCTATTGAAATTCTTGATTTAAGCGAAGTTGCCAATATTGATGACGATGTCGTTGAAATAATAACAAAAAACCTTCAGAGATTGCAAATATTGAAATTAAACGGTAAGTTCAATGAACATTAAGTTTTTTTCGATAATGATAATAATAATCAATTAATTAATCTTTCTTTGTGCCAATTTCTATTTCAGGAAATGACAAAATTACTGCAACGTCATTTGATCACATTTACAAACATTGCAAGGATATCAAAAATCTTTATCTGAGAAATTGTCCTAATCTCAATACTGAAAGATTAACAGATCAACTTCATCTTATGAGGTCATTAAGAAAAGTATATTTAGAATAGAAACTTATTTAGTTTAATAAATATTTAATTTATTGTTTTTCTTTCTTTGTGTAAAAATATTTTCAAGAAGTTTATTCTCAAACATTTACATTGCTTAACTCAATGTAACTCAGCTGGAAGCAATTGTTAGTACGATAAACTTCTGGTATTAATTCCGATTGAGTTTTGAGATATTCACAAAGCGTATGAAACATTTTAAATGATAACTCAAATGTTGTTGTGTTGATGTCTTTCTGCCAATATTTAAGCGTTCTTTCGTCGTCAGCATTGCTTTGGTTTAGCATCAGGTACATAACTTTTATCGATTTCTTTTCAGCAAGTTGAGAGCTTTCCATATTTAACTGAAGTAGTTGAAGATGTTTCTCCATTACTTGAATGAGTACGTGCATCTTTTGATCAGCATTTGGAATTGTAGTTTCGAAGATTATTTTTACAATAGGAGTAACAACTACTAGACCATCGGTTGAGAGATGATTTCTGATAACATTTTTAATGAGAACGATTGGGTTGTCTACGGCAAAGAAAAGTTTATTTGTGAAATGAATGCTTTCCCACCAAAACTTTATATGCGAATTTGAATTGCTTTCGCCCAGCAATTGAAGACATCGTTTGCAATGAATTAAGTTTCTTTTTTGCCTAAAACGACTTTTTTCAAAAAGCGAAGAATTCATAAGAAGGCAAAATGGTCCATAGAATAAATCATTTGTCTTTGGTTGAAATTGTTGCGTTTCTTCGTTAAAACAGTTCGATGATGAGTCACGTTCCGTGTGTGAGTTGTTAAAAATTTTCTCATCATTATGTCGATGACAAAACCAATCTGAGACGTCTAAATTGTTTGATGGCAGTTCGAGAATCCGTTTTAAAGTGATAGTCTTAGAGGTGGTTAAAAGAGATCCACAATTAGAGCAAGTTACAGAAACTTCTTCCTCTTCTCCATTACTCGAATCGAAATTTAATTTAATTCTCTGTCCTTTATCATAAGATCCATTTACTTTGAGAACTTCAGTATCAAATTGCTTGTTGTTTGCTGTGATAAATCTAAAGCTGATGAAAGTATCCTTGACGAGCAGTGAATGGAACGACTTAATATTGATGTCGAAAAATTCTTTTGTTTCAACTTTATAAACATCATCGTCGACCTGAATAATGATTTCTGTTGCTTTCAAAGACACCTTTGTCTGATGTTGATCAAGAGCATTATTAAAATGAATGAAACAGTTTCCTGCTTGTATTCTTGATCTGTACTCGATAACGAGATTTTTAATTTTCAACTGTTCCATAAATCAGCCAAATTTCAATATTCAACACGCTCCTGAATGACTATTCTAGTGTCGCTATATTCAATGATTACAATTCTTTCATGTAATCATTTTGAAGTTTTTTAAATACACTTAAATTTCCAGAATTTATGATTTTCAAAACGTGCCAGGAATAAACGTAAACAAAGACTAAAGTTGGTTGCGAGTTATAGCTTGTCGACAACAAAAAGCGCTTTATTTTCGACATCTGTCGACAAGTGTTTACAATAATTTCACAATTCTTCACCAAACAACATTAAATATTTTGAATATTTAATTATGTACAAAGTAAATCAATATAAATTCATAAGTGAACTTCACAGAAAGATTTCCAAATTATCAGTAAACAGTTGTCATACGTTAAATGTCACTGAAAATAAAAAGTTTCTTAATTGTTTACCATCTAAAATAGATTCGGTCAATTACAATGACATTAGAGTTATTAATTCTGAATGTTCAGCTTTTTTAAAAATGCTGAGTCGATCGCTAAATCTGCCACAATATGCAATCGTAAGATCACTAAACAGTTTTATTCTTAAGTGTCAAAATAAGGATAACATTAAACGAAATGAAACTGAAAATAAAAAGAATGAACCACATCCATCCTTCAAACCGGATGGCAAATATGATCCACCTGATGAAGAAAAAGATCCAGATAAAGAGAAATTTATGGCAGTGATAAGTAAAACTCTCTTCACAATGTTCCTCATCTTTACATTTCTCAGTTTGATGGTTCCACCAAAGAATCGACCTGAAAATGCAACAAGATATGTGTCATGGAATGAATTCGTACATCACATGTTGGCTGTAGGAGAAGTCCGTGAAATAATTGTTCATCCAGATCTAGAAATGGTCACAATCATCCTTTATGATGGAGCGGTTGTCAAAGGTCGACGATTGTCAACAAATGTTTATCACATGGCAATTGACACAACAAGATTTGAAGATAAACTTCGTGATGTTGAGAAACGTCTTGGAGTCAAAGATAGCGTGTCGATTTCTTTTGATCGAGGTGGTGACTTAGCCGGAAAAATCTTCTTCTCACTTGTATCTTTGGTAGTGATTCTTGCGTTACTTAGTAAGCTGCGTGGTGTCAAAGGACCGTTCAGCATGGAAACCTTCACTCAACTTGGACGAGCGAAGTTCACTCTCGTTGATCCCGTTGAAGGTGGTAGAGGCGTCTTCTTTAAAGATGTTGCTGGGTTGCAAGAAGCTAAACAAGAAGTTGTAGAATTCGTTGATTATTTGAAATCACCGGAAAGATATCAAAAGTTGGGCGCTAAAGTTCCTCGGGGTGCTTTATTATTGGGACCGCCGGTAAGTTTTAATCCTTTGGTTTATTTTCATAATATTAATAAAAAAATGTTATTTTAGGGATGTGGCAAAACACTTCTTGCGAAAGCAGTTGCAACAGAAGCAAAAGTTCCATTTTTATCAATGAACGGATCGGAATTTATTGAAATGATTGGAGGTCTTGGGGCTGCACGCGTTCGTGATCTGTTCAAAGAAGCAAAGAAACGAAGTCCTTGTATCATTTATATTGATGAAATTGACGCAATCGGACGACAACGTGAAGGCTCAAGTGCAATGTCTGGAATGAGTTCAGGTGAGAGTGAACAAACATTGAATCAATTGCTTGTGGAAATGGATGGAATGGCAAGTAAAGAAGGTGTCTTAATGTTGGCATCAACAAATCGTGCTGATGTACTTGATAAAGCTCTTCTTCGCCCCGGAAGATTTGATCGACATATTTTAATCGATTTACCAAATTTACAAGAACGTCAGGAAATTTTCGAAAAGCATTTGTCGGGTGTGAAGTTGGAAGAACCGCCATCCAAATATTCAAAGAGAATGGCTATTCTTACACCAGGTTTCTCTGGAGCTGACATTGCAAATGTTTGTAATGAAGCAGCACTTCATGCCGCAAGACTTAGCCAAAAGATTGTTAAAGTTAAAAACTTGGAATATGCTGTCGAACGTTTGGTCGGTGGTACTGAAAAACGATCAAGTTCCTTATCACAAAGTGAAAGACGAACTGTGGCATATCACGAAGCTGGTCATGCAATTGTTGGTTGGATGCTTCCAAACTCAGATGTTTTATTGAAAGTGACAATTGTTCCACGTACATCGTTAGCTTTAGGCTTCGCACAATACACACCAAAAGATCAAAAACTTTACAGTAAGGAAAATCTTTTAGACAAAATGTGCATGGCTTTGGGTGGTCGTGCAGCTGAAGCAATGATTTTCAATCGGATTACGACTGGAGCACAAAATGATCTTGAGAAAGTCACTCAAATTGCTTACGCGCAAATTCGTCAGTTTGGAATGAATGAACGTGTTGGTTTAATTTCCTTTCCAGAAGAACGTGAAGATTCGATGGGTGAAAAGCCTTATTCGAAACATTTACAAAACATGATTGATGAAGAAGCACGTCGAATGATCAACGATGTCTACAACAAGACAGAACAAGTACTGAAAGATAATCGCGACAAGCTTGAAAAAGTATTTCATTTAGATAATTATTAAATTCCCACATAACTAATCATGAAACTATTTCACAGCTCGCTGAAACTCTACTGCTGAAAGAAACCTTGAATTATGACGAAGTTGTTGAATTGATAGGACCGCCACTCCACGAAGCAGCGAAGAAGAAAATTGAGCCAGTTGAGTTTGAACATTCGCTTAATTCGCTTTCGCAAAAGGAGGAAAAATGAGAAAAATAAATTCTGATTTTGTTATTTCCCTTTGAAATGAAATTAAATAAAATAAAATTTAAATTTGTAGATGATGAAAATAAAAATTGTATTAATATTGATTGATAATTCGTTGAAATTATATTGGCTATAAATTAATTATTAAATAAATGTTCATGTTTTTGCTTGTATAATGCTGCAATAGACTGTTGCATTCTTGAGTAAATATCTCAACCGTTATTTTCATCCAAATGTACATAAAATGCAAAAAATTCTAGTTTAATGCAACGTATAATTTTCATTCAGTTATTGATATTCATGTGATGAAGTAAGCTGCATTTTAACTCTTTGCCAAGTTATATAATTAGCAGCAAGCTGGTCAACGACAAAAGTACGAAAAGGTTTGGGCAAATATTTAAAGAACATGTGAAAATTCTTTGTAAAGTCTGTGACGATTTCAACAAGTGTTATAATAAATATATGATTGAACGACTAAGAACAACGCTGATTTCAAGCAGAACTGTGATTATTTCTGTAAAAATTAAGAGTGTTGGCTCTTATCTGTGCTTAATTTAAAAGAAAAATATTTTTTTTATTAAAGAAATAAGACAACAATGGTTCCAGATAGTGTAATTAATGTGGAAAGAGGTTAACATTCTTAAAATTTATTGATTAAAATACTTTATTTTTAACACATTTCAATTCATTCAGCAAAGAACTTTACGAATATATTAAAGAATGGAGATATTCAACCAGTAGACGTTGGTGACATAATTGAGTTGAGATTGCCAAGTTTATATGATCGTGAAAAGATAAAGAAGTAATTGAATGAAGTGGTCTTGCATTTAAATGAACTGTTACTCTTATTAATTTTTTTCTTTGCTTTATTAGTGCACAGCGATTTTTCCGATGTAATTTTTATGCAATGATGTTTGCAATGTACTTGGGAGTGCTCTCTGTTCTCTCCATTCCATCAATTTTAAACGTTTTAATTCATACGAATAAAAGTTCATCGAATGTGAATGCTTACAAGAGATATATGCGGACAATTTATCACACTTTATCTTGGTTTCGTCATGATTTAACACCTGGAACAAAAGCATGGAAGTCATTAGAAGCAGTTCGTAAATTTCACTTTTCAGCAGATCGATCTGCCAAGCATTCAAACGTTGGAAGCATTTCACAAAAAGACATGGCAATAACACAATTTGGATTTATGGGATTTGTAGTCTTGTCACAAAAGCAGTTGGGGATTCAAGGCAGTGCAAAAGACCTCGAAGATTTCTGTTATTTTTGGAAGGTTCTTGGAACTCTTGTTGGAATACGTGACGAGTAAAAATTAATTTTTTCTTCAAACGTTTTCGGAATAATTATCGTTTAACTAATATTCATTTATAGGTACAATTTATGCTGTGAAACTTTTGAAGAAACAAGAGAACGACTTGAAATTGTGCAGCACGAGTTCTTCACACCTAATCTGACGAATCCTCCAAATGAATTTGAAATAATGACAAAATATATTGTGAACGGTCTTCGATGCTTCGACCCTTTTGATTCATACAACGAAATTATTTTCATGTTGAAACGACTTTCCGGTGTCCCAAACTACTTTTACTTAAATAGTGAAATTCCTGAAAATTATGAGAGGGAAAATTTGGAAATTTATAAATATTCTTATTGGGATCGATTTGTTATTTGGCTTGGGATTATGACGAGACAATTTCTGCTGAGATTCTTCATTATCCGCTGGTTTTTCAATGGTATCGTTCACATTAGTGAATTTCTTATCCGATATTTTCCTATCATTGCGTTCTTTAAATTTGGGTACAAAAACTCTTATGTAGACCTAAAAACTTAAATGAAGCCATTGGCAGATGTTGGTGAATGTACGTAAATGAGATCAATCACAAATTTAAAATAAAATAAATAAATTAAATAAGTTTCAATTATTGAATATAATTTTAACTGAAATTTCATATGCAAGCTTCCATGATTGACATTAAATTGTTAACTAAATTATTTTTTGTGAATCATTTTTTATTTCAACGTCACAACAAATTGTTTACAAAATTGTGCACAAGCTAATTGATATTAGGATAGGTCAGCTTGAAATTATTGTGATTAAGCACAAAATAAACATAAAAGGAGAGAACAAAGTTATGCTTATGTTTTGATTGTGAACATTAACATAGCGAATTGAAGTTGAAGGACAATGGGCCAAAAATTTATATATTGCATAGTTCTTGAATGCTGATAATAAAAACACTGAAGAACTGCGGTCTGCGATTAGCTGTGAAAAGATTTATTTCCGGTCTTGGCATAATGAGAGATACCATTAGGATTATAAAAAATCTCTTTACTTAGCCTTTTTTCTAAAGAAACAGAATAAATTATTAACAGATAAAAATTCTCGAGCCATGGAAGTTCTAGTGAAAACTTTACTATATTTGCTATTCAAATGAAAAGCATGAAAAGGAAGTTATAAAGTCATATATAAATATCAAAATTGTAGCTGTTATAAATATTAATAACACATAATCCTTACCTTATCGTTGATTTTCACAAGAAATCTTTCTGACAGTCTCCAAGAAGAATATTTACGATTCACAATCTTATGGTCCTTATCTTTATTAATTATTTAAAGAAGAGTTAGTTGAATTATCTGTTGATAATATTTTCGTTTTGGTATAAAAAGATCTGCGAATGAAGCTGACAATTAGTTTTGAGGTAAAGAGACATTAAAATGGTAAGAAATTGTTGAAGACGAAAAATTAGAAGCTTCCTAAATATTTTTTTTGTACAGAAATTCATAATCGCTGTTGTTGCTTTGTCAACTTTCCAATGCATTTTAGGAAATGTTATACCATTTCCTGAAACAATTCTTGAAGGAACTGAATATGGTGACAAAGTTCAGGGTGACTTAATTTTGACTGCTGAACAATTTGATGCCATGTACAATAATTCAACTAAGGCTGGAAAAACTGGTCTACTTTCATCGAGTTATCGTTGGCCTAAGAATTCTGCTGGATATGTTCAAGTTCCTTATACATTTCGAGCATCATCTGGGTTCAGTTAGTAGAAATCAAGTTTCTAGTTTTTGATTAATCTTATGACAATATTCACAGCTCAATCAGAAAAAAATGTCATCATCAGTGGAATGCAAGAAATTCAAAAATATACATGCGTAAGATTCATTCAAAGGACAAGCCAGGCTGATTACGTTGAAATAATTAACGATAGTGGCTGCTGGTCATATCTTGGCAGACGAGGTGGTAAGCAGAGCTTGTCGCTAATGCGAAATGTGAATGGATATGGGTGTGTATGGAAAGCAACTGCAATGCATGAATTAATTCATGCTCTAGGATATACTCATATGCAAAATCGTTTTGATCGGGATAGTTATGTGAAAGTTTATTTAGAAAATGTAACTCCAGATGCAAGACACAATTTTGATAAAGTTAATCCATCTTACTACGGAAACTTCAACACCGCTTATGATCTCAATTCCATCATGCATTACGGAAGAAAATCATTTTCATCTAATGGAAGAGATGTCATAGTTCCTTATGATGGAAGTAAAATAAATGTCATCGGGCAAGCTCAAAAACTTTCATCAGGAGATATCGCAAGGATCAAAAACATGTATCAATGTTAAAAATAATTCATTATGAAGAGTTTTTAAGCATTTAAAGGATTCAAATTCACATCGGATAGATGCATTATTTGTATTCAGTTAAAACTGTTTCACTTAATAAAGCAAATTTATAACATTTCGATTCAAAAATACTTTAGTGTGTCAATTTATTCAAATTTTTGTATCTTCGTTTAATCGCAAAAAAAGATCTGATCAAGCAAAAAGTAAAAAATAAAAGGAGAGAATGAAGTTATGCTTATGTTTCGATTGTGAACATTAACATAGCGAATTGAAGTTGATTTTAAATAGATTGACGAAAAAGACCATGGAATGGTCTAGGAATACAAATGATGCAATGTTCTTGGTTGCTGATGAAAGCAACACTGATGAACTGCGACAACTGTGAAAAGAAATATGTGAAGAGAAATCTCTTTACTTAGCCTCTTTTTTAGGGAAACATAATAAATTATCACAGATAATTTCAGTCTTATTATGTTTGGTATTCAAAATAAAATGCAAGAAGAATTAATTGATCATACACCTGCGATTGTTTCCATTTCTTAACTTTGGCAGCTGATAAAAAGGAAACGAGAAGAGCTGGAAAAAAATGTTGACAAAAGAATTCGACGAATCGGGGCCTAGCCGATGAACAATTAATTCATCAACTGTACATATCAAAATAGTAGCTATTATAAATTTTAACAACACAAAACCTACTTTTTCGTTTATTTTCAAAAGAAATGTTTGTGCTAATTTCAAGAATATCTACACAATCTTCTGGTCCTTATCTTTATTAATTATTTAAAGAAGAGTTAGTTGAATTATCTGTTGATAATATTTTCGTTTTGGTATAAAAAGATTTGCGAATGAAGCTGGCAATTAGTTCTGAAGTAAAGAGAAATTGAAATGGTGAGAAAAGATCGAAGACGTAAAATTAGAAGCTTCCTTAATATTTTTTACAGAAATTCATAATCGCTGTAGTTGCTTTGTCAACATTCCAATGCATTTTAGGAAATGTTATACCATTTCCTGAAACAATTCCTGAAGGGACTGAATATGGTGACAAAGTTCAGGATGACTTAATTTTGACTGCTGAACAATTTGATGCCATGTACAACAATTCAACTAAGGCTGGAAAAACTGGTATACTTTCAACGCGTTATCGTTGGCCTAAGAATTCGGCTGGATATGTTCAAGTTCCTTATACATTTCGAGCATCATCTGGGTTCAGTTAGTAGAAATCAAGTTTCTAGTTTTTGATTAATCTTATGACAATATTCACAGCTCAATCAGAAAAAAATGTCATCATCAGTGGAATGCAAGAAATTCAAACTTATACATGCGTAAGATTCATTCAAAGGACAAATCAAGCTGATTACGTTGAAATAATTAACGATAGTGGCTGCTGGTCATATCTTGGCAGACGAGGTGGTAAGCAAAGCTTGTCGCTGAAACGATATGGATGTGTAACGAAAGGAATTTCAATGCATGAATTCATTCACGCTCTTGGATACGATCACATGCATAATCGTGTTGATCGGGATAGTTATGTGAAACTTTATTTACAAAATGTAACTCCAAGTTATCGCTATGCTTTTGATAAAGTTAATCCGTCATATTACGGAAACTTCAACACCGCTTATGATCTCAATTCCATCATGCATTACGGAAGAAAATCATTTTCATCTAATGGAAGAGATGTCATAGTTCCTTATGATGGAAGTAAAATAAATGTCATCGGGCAAAGACAAAGACTTTCATCAGGAGATATCGCAAGGATCAAAAACATGTATCAATGTTCAAAATAGTTCATTATGAAGAGTCTTTTAAGCATTTATTAGATTTTCTATTCCAATCGGATAATATTCCGTTTCAGTTGTTATTTAATTCAAAAAATTAAAAATTATAGTAGCGAATGCGTTTTCGTCAAGAATAAGTGCAATTTAATAGGAAAATACCTACCTAGGTAGGTATTTAGGTTTTTCATATTTAACTAATCTCAATTTTCAACTTGAAATTTCATTCCCCTTGAAAAATCAATAAAATTCGTAAAACTCGAGAAATGTTTGAAAACGAGTTTTATAGCTACGTAACGTTTATTATTTACGTTACGTGTGCGCTACGTCTAAATGAGCTTTATTTCTCTTCTCATCAAACATTTTTCATACAAATGAATTTTGTTCTTCGGACGAATAAGGCGGATGTCCGCAGTAGAGTGGATTTATTTAAAGGTGAAGAATTGTTTCCTCTAATCTAGAAAAATTGTAGTCTTCCATTAGTATCAAATCAACAAAATATGGTTACAGAAAGAGGTAAATAAAGATTTGTTGACAAGTCTTATTAACAATAATTTACTAAATAGAAATTTCCTGTCTTAAAATCAATAAAGGAAAGCTTTATGCAATAGCATTGCGAAATGCTGGAGATATTCCCGTTGATATCGGTGATAAAATTGAAATGGAACTTCCAGATTTTGCAGATCACGAGAGAATCCGAAGGTAAATAAATTTCAATGTCATGTGTTCATCTCAAAACATGATAAAATGAAAAGAAATTTTGTTTCTTCTTTTCGAAAGTTTCAACAAGTCGAGCGTTGATTTCAATATTTTCAAGATTGACGTCGATGTGTTAGTAATTTAAAAATTTATTTTTTCATTTGTAGTGGAAATTAGCATAAAATCTAATAATGAGAGAAGAAAATTGCAAAGTTCATTGCCTCGTTCTATATTTTGCGATTGTTTTGATAAGAAATTGATTACTGATAATGAAAAAAATATAAGAAAGCACGTTTATCATTCACAAAACTTGTACGACCTTGACATACAAGAATTAAGTTGTAAATGTTATCTTTTGAATATATTTTTCAATTAATGAGATGTTTCAACTCTTTCAGGGCCCAAAGTATGTTCAAAGAAAATTTCTTTGCAATATTTTATGGGATGTACTGTGGATTGATGGCCATTCTAGCGATTCCTTCCATTCTAAATGTTCTTGTTCACACCAATAAAAGTTCAAGCGATATGACTGCATACAAGCGGTACATGGCGACAATTTACCATACACTTACGTGGTTTCGAAATGATTTGAAACCCGGCACAACTGCCTGGAAGTCTTTAGACTCCGTTCGACGACTTCACTTCTCAGCGAGCCGTTCAGCAAAGGGTTCAAAAGTTGGAATCATCTCTCAGAAGGACATGGCGATTACTCAATATGGTTTTATTGGTTTCACAATAGTGTCACAAAAAGAAACTGGCGTTTATTGCACTAAAGAAGAAATGGCTGATTATGTTCATTTCTGGAGAGTGTTGGGACATATCATTGGAATTCGTGATGAGTAAGACTTCTTAAATTATTGTCAATGGTAATCAAACATTAATAAAATAATTTTCCTTAAAGATTTAATCTCTGTAGCGATAATTTGGAAGAATCTCTTGAGCGCTTAGAAGCTGTAAGAACTGAATTTTTATTACCAGCATTACAATTTCCACCAAAGGATTTCGAACCAATGACGAGATGCATCGCAAATGGTTTATGGTGCTTTAATCCACGAGATGCCTACAAAGTTATTATGTTCATGATTAAGCGTATGGTTGGAGTACCGAATTATTATTATCACAATGAAGAAATGCCGAGAGAATGTGATAAGAACAGCCTGGAAGTTTACAAGTTAAGTTACTACGAGAGATTTGAAGCTTGGGCAGTGACTTTCATTCATGAATATCTTTTACAATTTGCAATTGTCCGCTGGTTCTTCAATATCGATACTTTGTTCCATGAGTTTCTTATCACTTACTTTCCATTCCTTGCGTTTTATAAATTTGGCATTAAAAATGCTTATGTGCGAATATTAGGAAAGGAGCATAAATAATATAATAAATCATGAAGTCAATAAAGCTAATCACTGTCCTAAAGAAGAGAAAATTTTGTTGTCATTCAATTATTATTTTTCCCTTTCTCTCCCAAAAAAAAAATTCCAACACTATAATAAAAAATTCTGGACTTTTACGAAAAAAAAACGAAAAAATTTATTCAAGTTCAGTTCAACCATTGATTGCGTTGGTGTTGGTAATAAATTTTGGTGTTTTTCGGGGAAAAATATGTAAAAGAATTTTTTTAAAATCAGGAAAAATAAAAAGTGAAATAGAAAAATTAAATCCTGCAACATGATAAACACGAGTAATTTGTTGTGCAATATGTGTTATCAGTCAACAAATCAGGTGAGTTAATACAATACAAGTGATTTAAGAAGAATTAAAGTGCAATGTCAGGTTCGTTTTATTTCTTAATTTCGCGCCATTTGCACTGAGTTTTCACAGATGAAAAACCTAATTTACTTTAAGCACAATAGAAACAAAACCTCTTTGTTGCTTTTATCATATGAATGTAGCTGTTGTGTTTCGTTTATTTTTTTTCAAGTAAGAAGGTTTCATTCTTCGCTTTTCTTTCATATAAAAATGTCTCATTTTGTCTGCCTGTCTACATCTTCTCCGCGCATCTGCGTATAGAAACATTAATTGAAATTATTCTCAACTTAGTGAACAAAAAAAATGTTTCTTTTATTTCTCTTATTTCGCTTCTTCGTTTTATAGCTTTTTCGTTTTCTTGCGAAACATTTGATAAAAACCGAGTTCTGTAAAAGGACAAAACTTGAAAATCTTTTCAAACGAATGAGTGAGATCATGATTTAATTTGTTTGCTTATTATTAATAAGCAACTTAGAATATGTGACTCATTGATCAGAAATTATTCGCCGGGTATCCCATTCTAGTAAGGATTTACATTAATGTAGAGAGTTTCCTTTAAAAAATTGTTCTTTGACATTGTCGGACTGTCTCCACTTCAACATAAAAAATGACCAACGAAACCCAACATAATTTACCGAATTTTATTTCATCTCCCATTTACTTCGGAATCATACTCATGTTCCGTCTCAATAATGTAGTAAACAATCATAAATAGAAGCCGGCGGTAAACAGAGTTGAACGAAGATGGAAACCACAGCAGAATGAAGATCGTTAATTTTTTTTCTTATGTTTCACTTGGTCCCTTAAGAAGAAAAAAAAGAATAACAAAAACACAACCCAGGCAAAAAAGAAGAAAAAAAATATAACAACATAACATATATCTCTCATTTTCCCATTTTCTCTCTTTCTCGTTTTATTTCGATTTTTTTTTCTTCATTATTGTGATGTTTTTCGTTGCGAGAAGAAGTAGCGTTTGCACGGTTTGAAAAAGTAAATGAAGAAAATTTTAAAGCTGAAAAACTTTAAAGTGAAGAAAGTTAAAGAAATCGAGAAGAAAAAAAAATTAATGAAAAGTAACGTGACAAGATATTGTTGAAAAGTTGTTTCAGGTGCCAGGATATCACGCACCAACTTGTGCAAAGTGTTCTGAAAATATCACAAGAAACTCGACACCAGCAACAACACAACAATTCTATCAACCTTCATCTGCAGTGCAGCAACAACAGCTTCCGATAGGGAATCAAGCAGAGCCGGCGATGGTTCCACCACCGCAACATACTGTTGTGAGTTGAAACATTAAACTCATCACACTTTTGATTTCCTTCAAATATTCATTTTCTCCACTTTTTTAAAGACACCAACAATAAGAAATGATCAGCAACAGCAGCTAGGGGCTCAAATAGCACATCACAAAAAGTTCACAGCAACAACGGCGACCAATGTAAGTATCAACAATAAACAATAATAAACGAAGAAAAAAAAACAAGAAAAAAAATAATGAAAAAGAAAAAAAACGACGGAGGTTCTCTGATGAACGGGGCTGGATTAGGAACGGTCACTGCTAAGCTTAGAGAATAAGTTGAGGGAACATATATACGAGTCATGCGTGTATTTATTTCCTTATAGATAGATTGCGAGGGCGCCAAGTTAATTCCCTTTCTTCTGTCACTGCAACGACCGTAAAAGATAAAAAAATCTCTTTCGTATTCTTTCCTTGCTATTTTTTTTTTTATTATTACGCTCGCGCCACCTTCTCGTTTTTGATTCCTACCCGACTCTGTATTCAAGAGCAAAAAAAAGTACGTATAAAAATATATAAAACGCTGAAAAAAAAACTAAATGAAAAAAGAAATGAAAGAAAAAAAATCCAGTTTAATAATAACACTGGCGTTGTTGTAATTTTTTTTGTATTCTGATAATTTTTTTTCTCTTCATTCTATCGACTAGGGTAGAAAATGTTTAAACTGGGACATTGAATGTGTAGGTTCTATGTATTGATTCACATATATGTACAATGAAAAGTTGGTATCAAAGATGGAAGAATATTTTATCACCGAAATTTCCAACTCAAGACTCTCGAATTGCATGAGAAAATTCTTTTAACAGATCCGCAATGAGATGAAATAAATTCAGGGTCAGCAAATGAAAAGCTTTTTTAATTATGTTTTTCTTAATATTTTAAAGCTACTGACATCATTCTAACGTTTACTATACAAAAGCAAATCTTCCACCCACAACTTTTCTCCCTCAGTTTTTTTTTGAGATCGGCAAAAAAAAGTTTTCCCATGAAATTGGAATAAATAAAGGAAAAAAAAGGCAGATTGTTATGAAAAACTTTTTAGTCAATGAATGAACCACGAGTTGGAAAAACATGTGATTCATCGGAGAGAAAAAATAATGTTTGTTTATGCTTATTTCATTCATTGATTCTTGTTCGGGGTTGAAATACTTTATTGGCGGGAAATATTAATTTCTCTGTTTATCTTATTCACGCTTTTGATTTCTCTTCTTCAGATCTCTTCAACATTTGAACTTGAACAAGCATTAATCAATATGGATGGTGAAATATTGTTGGGAGAAGAAGGGCAATGTCCAATTTGTCAAAAGATTTTCAATCGTAAAACTTCGCTGCTTAATCACATCAGAAATCATTCAGCTGACAAAAAATATGTTTGTGGGTATTGTCAGAAAGGCTTTTCACAACAAGCAAATTTAAGGAATCATGAGAGAATCCATACAAATGATCGTCCTTATGTCTGGGAAGTTTCATGATATTTGATGAATGAATCGAAATAAAATTGAAATTTAATTCTAGTATCGATTGTGGAAAAGCTTTCACTCAAATCACAAACTTAAATAACCATCGAAGACTTCACACCGGCGAGCGTCCTTTTGTCTGCATTGAAGTTAACTGCGGGCGCAGTTTTGCACAAGTCACAAATCTCAATAATCACATGAAGACACATCATAAGATCCAACAATATGTTTGCAGTCAATGCCCGAAGAAATTCCACACAGTCACTCAACTTAATCATCATTTGGGAACTCATGGAATCACAATTAAGACTCAGATAGCTCCGAGAGGAGAGTTCTCTTGTAATTTGTGTCCGACATTCTTTAACGATGAATCACAATTGAAACGACATATTCAAAGACATGCCGAAGGCAGATATTTTCCTTGTACCGTGACAAACTGCAGTGAAGGTTTCTCATCTAAAAATCAACTCAACAAACATCTCCAGAATCAGCATCCAAATGAACCGAATCGTCGAAAAGAGTCACGTCAAGTTCCACTTTCTCTCCTTCAACTGCCAGGCAATTCACATCTTAATCCTACAAAAACAAAAATTAAAATTGAGGAAGACATGAGAATGTCAGCTTCAAATCAAGTTGCACAAATTCCAATACAAAGTGAGTTCACTGCAATAAAAAGTTTTTCTTCAATTTTATATTTTTGTTAGTTGCAGGTCATAATGGGACAATAGCAATCAATCTTTCATCGCCATATCATCCCCACCACACATCATTTAACAGCGAGCACTTGTTGAATAATGGAAACACAAGTGATGCAACAAAGAAAGTTTTATCGGTAAGGATCTAAGCTTGTGTGATAATTCGTCGAAGAATCATGAAAACTTTTACGATTTATTTTTATTTGTTGCAAAAATACTTTTTGCTTATTGTTTTAATTTAATTTAATTGTTTTTATGTTTATGTTGCATTTTGTTTTATGTTAATTTTGGTCCGTTCTTTCTTCCAAAAATATTGTTATTATACCTTTTAGATAACCGAAATAATCAACAATAGGCAGAAGTGTTAGGCCTGTCCAATTTGGTAAGATTTTTTATTTCTCTTCTAATTTTTATTTCTCTCTTTGAATTTATTTTTTGAAAGACTATTTAAGCATTTATAAATTTCTGAGAATTAACAATATCATTGAATGATAATTTAAATAACAGAAACTATTCTTTGTTTGTTATTTCAGAACCATTTGAGCAACTTTAATCACTTTCTGAATTCATTTAGTCATTCAACGGCCATACCCGGTAATTCTTCAAAGTTCGTTTGTAATTATTGTTACAATGTCTTCAAAACCACGCACACATTGGAAAAACATTTGCAAAAGTTTCATAGCTAAATCAATTTATGAAGCCAAATCAACAGAAACCATTTTTTCTTAATGCAATAAAATGATATAAATTATTATTCTTGTTGATATCAAAATTTTAATGATCTCAAAACTCGGAAAAAATGAAAGGAGATGAATTGTAAATATTTAATATAGAAAATCTAAAAGAGAATAAAATTAAGAAGTTAAACTTTTATAAAATATTTGAAATCTTTTTCTATTACCTAATTAATAAATGAATATTTAGTTATGTTAACATTTATGGAATTTTCAGTAACGTTCAATTTATGCTTTTAGGAAAAATGAGAATTTCAAATGTCAAAAGCTTTCGAAAGCGTCAATGACACTAGCGCCATCTATGTTTCATTTCTTATGAAGGTTGCGCATTATCTGCGGAATTTATTCGAAATTAATTTTCTTGTTATTTTTTGTCGAGTTTGAGGCAAGCAACAGATTTATTTATTTTAAAATCAATTGAATTAAAGGCTTCTTTTTATAAACCTTTTATCAATTTTGAAATTATTTTTAGAATTCATAGCAAAATTGAATAACATCATTACGAACATTTAATTAATTTCATTCATATGTATCAAAAATGTGAGCTTTTGTGAAATTTTGTTATAAAAATTTTACTAATGAAATCGTCATCATTGATAAATTATGATGCATACATTCCAGCATTCATCATCGTTTCTGATACTTGAAGTTGTGGAGTTTAATGTTCATAAGAATCCAAGCCTTTGATAACGATAGGCGTTTGAGGTTTTCCTTAATTTCATTTTCTAAATTTGCTTATTTAAATTTTGTTTAAAAGCTTTCTTTCATGTTGATGGTTCATGGCAATAAGCTAAAGTTTTTGTGTTACCATCAACAACATCAACATAAGCCGTTAGTTTAAATTATTATCCTGCTTTTTTATGGTGCTCCGAACATTATTGTGATGTATACATTGGGAAGTGGTTAAATGTAACACTTTAGTATGCAAATAGTTGTGGGGAAAGAGAAGATAAAATTTATTTCTTGCCTTTTTAAATAATGTTGCAATGAGGGTAATAGTAAAAGGGAGAAGTTTATGTTGATCGTACTTACAGACATTTAATGATAAAGTTCACGACCCAAAATTCAATGAATCATTCATCCGTCGCATCCACGACTTATTTTTCTCTTCTCATAATCATAAAAATCTGCAATATTCCGCTTGAATGTCCAACGCTTTTCCTCATCATTTCCGCATTAAACTTATTTTTATAGCTGTTTCAGCAATTTTCGCTTTATTTTGTCGACTTTTGTTCACAACTACCGTTCAAAAACGTAGCTGTTGACAAAATATGATTAATAATGTACATAATGCTATCAAGGAATAATAAAGCGAGCAAGTAAGCGAACAAAATGATTTAATGAATAATGATATTTAAAATTGGCGAGAGATTTTTTTTAATTTGACGGACGAACGATAGCGGTTTAGATGCCAACAAAATTAATGATTAAAATTAATTAATTAACAAGACAGTCAAGGGAAAAACTTTCCATTGACTTGTTCAGCTCGAGTTTATGCGGTTTCGCAATCTGTCATCAGTGGAGAAATCGCTGGCAATTTAATTGAAAACTGAAAAGATTTTCCTTTTTACTGATCCTTCTCTGTTGTTCCATCAATTCGACTCACTACAATTCGTGCTTCTTGTTGACATGAAAATGCTTTTAAGGGATTTCATGACGACAACTTTTCTTTTTTTTAAATTAGACATAAGGAAAGTGGAAAAGCTTTGATGACCCAGATTTGCATTTTCAATCTATGATGTCTGATGTGACAACAATGTAGACATGCATTTTGTTGAAGTATCATTTGTTTCTTACAATTTATAAGCCTTTCTCTTCAACTTAAGGGGCTGTTTGAATTTCAAAAATAATAAGAAGATGTAAAAACTTTCATCTTTGATGTTTCACTTCGTAAAGCTTTTAACAAGCTCAATGATAGATTTGAAAGTTTTTTAAAATTTCCTTCTCAAAGAGGACATTAATTACTTCAATGTTATATTTAGAAAACCACTCAATTAAGTTGATAATTACGTTAAAAGGCTGTGGGACATTAAGAAGGATACTTTATTAAATTTAATTCTTCTTTTATTAACATCTAAAGTGTCCTTGAATATAAAAAGTTCACTAAACTGTTGGAGATGTCTGGCAAATATATTTTGAGTGAAAGGAAAATAACATCAAGCATAGCACCATGTTGAGACTTTCTTTGATTCATGATTTAATTCTTCTCGAAGAGATTCATCATTAGAAAGTTTTATGTCGCTAAAGTTTTTCAGAGTTCAATGTCGAGGGTAATAAGAAATTTCAATTTAAATCGGCTTCTATTCAAACTTCTTAATCTTCTGTTTAAAAAGCTGAATTAAACTTCAATAGAAACCGGAAATCCTTTTAAAGGTTTGATGTAATCATGATTAAAGAGTAATTTAGGTATTTATTATTAGAAAGTTTTCAACCAAGAGGATTCATGACTCCTAAAGTTTTGTAGATAATTATTACACAAAAACTTACCAAATAATAAATAGCAAAGATTTTACTTCGTTTCTTAATTTAGGTGTGGAAATATTTGAAGAAACCGCAATCTAATTATAATTAATTACCTAATAGATAACTGAAAATTAATGCAATTTGATGTGAATTAGATTGATCATAATTAAACTTTTGTGCATTATGAAGAGAGAACCTTTATGCAATCTAAGAGGTCACAATAGATAAATATTTTATCATAACAATTACCACATTTATGAAAACAAAGTTCAACTTGTTGAAAACAAACTTTTGATGTGGATTTTATGCTTCACACTAAACATTGACTCTCTGATGTTATCTGATTCAACAAAGACAATATTATGGAAATAATTTGTGCAAAACTTGTTGAATATTATTATCTGATTGGTCTTAAAAATATGTTTAAAGGAAATGGAACGATATCAGTCAAAACTAGAAAATAATTTAACTTTGAACGTGACTTAAAGTCACTTTAAATATTTAACTACAGATCTCAACATGTGTTTTATCTAAGAGAAACTAATTAAACAAAAATTACTTTTTGAGTGCTTTTAGAGAGTTCAAACGAAACAAAAACGAAAAGCTTGTTGATATTTCCGACATAATAAACTTTAATGTCATAATTTTCTCTCAACATTGTGCGTTTGTAAGTATCTAAATAAGTGGAAGAAAAGCATTCAAAATTGTTCTTCATGTCCGCCTTCAGCTTTTATGAATGAAATCTTGCGTGCAACTTATACAAATAAATCACTTTAAGCATCGTGATTTAAAGAAACAAGAATCTCATTACTTTTACGAGCCATGAACGAGCTTCATTCTCTCCCACATCGACACGAGTTATTCCCACAGTGATGAAGCGAATCGGTATATGAAAATGTCAGATATTTACAAATGGAAGCAAATAAAGATGTGAGATAGAAGTCGAAGCATCAGTCAAATGAGGATATGTCTGTATGTATGAATTCATTGTTATGAAATTCCGACAACAGCCAAAAGCAGTTTTCAGTTCATTGTGCAATGTACGGGGGATGGTTTTACATTACATTATAGTATCGTCAGAAGTTTCAACAACGCAACGCGTCTTCGTATTTCTTTTTCTCGTTTTGATAATGTAGTCTCACTCACGCGGCCATAAACAGCAGTTACAGAATGGCACTCAGAATGTTACAAAAGAGGCATAAAGTTGAACATTATAAACAGGAGAACATGTGCCTCGTCTTAGACATTCTCAAAATTTAGGTTTTATGATGCCAAATAAGGATGAGCAGAAAGAACAAGAAGAAACATCACACATAAAGCAAATAACTTTTGATTACTTCGCGATCGTTTTCTCAGTTGCTTCTCAACATGATTGCTTATGTACATCGTGCAAATTTTCCCCTCATTCTTCTTTACATTTGAAGATTGTCTCGAGACATTTCGAGTTTTGGTAAAATAAAGATTATTACATTGTGTTTTTCATTTCACTACGGCATTAAGATATTGTTTGTTCCACTGAATGAAAACATACCCAATAGGCTTATGTAAGCGGAATGAATCATCCACGTTGCCTCTTTTGTTTGCCACAACAGATCTCATTTTTGGAGCTTTAATTCCGTAGAAGCTTTTATGAATGTTGAAGGCAACATGAAAGATGGATATGATAAGTTATACCTAATACGGAAATTAATAATTTATGTTTCATGTATGCTTCGTATCCGATTTTTTATAAGATCAAAAAATCTCTGCGAGGTTTATCAAAGCTTTTGGAAGTTCGGTAAAGATTGAAGCTCAATAAGCTTGATTATTATTGAGCAGATTATCTTGAGGAAACGACGGTTGAGAGGTTTAAGGAAACAAAGAAATTCACGAGACACGGAAATTAATGTTAGCGACGCTTCACAGATCAACCTTTCGACAACAACCGAAGAAGATGCGATGAAATTTTTCAATCATTGATCGAGATTGCCTTGAAGATTTCATTCCACTTTGAAGACTAGTTGCAAACTCTGTTTCACAAGGTTCAAAATCATTACGGAAGATAAACTTCCTTTTCATCATTTTTCCTTATAATTAATTATATGTTGTTGATCTATTTGTTTTCATAACTCTATTGCGTCATCGACTCCGTAAAAAAGCGCGTTGAGATGTTTACTAATCGTAATACGAAGCGAACAGAAAGGATTAACTGCTCTTTTGCTGGCATAGCAAAAAGACTGAGAAAAGGAAAATCAAGAGGAAAATTTCAAGCACGCAAAAAACAATTTTCAGTTAATACGAAAGGGATCAATAGAAGGAATGTCACGTACCTCAAATATGCTTAGCTAAAAAGATTTCAGAATGATGCTTTGAATATCAAAGAGGGTAATCACTTGGAAGACACAGTCGAGATATCCAATCATAACGTGACAAAACTTTCGAATGTTCACCACAAAAGAAAAGCTCCTCGATTCTTCCATAGAAATATAATAATTCACATCGTTGCTAATCGTTTGTTGACGTTTGCCTTCAAGTGAGCTACCGTCAAACTCAACAAATTCCGTAAAAGGCTGAAGGAAAAGTTTCTAATTGAGAACTGTGAAAAATTATTTTGTTGACAATTTTCAAGCAGGAAAACTTTCTTATTATATTATGTTGGAAATCATGTAATTTGGTTTTGTTGTAAAGTTAATAAGAAATAATCTCGAATAGTTTTGACACTTTATATAGCTTTTATTTACAAATATAAAATGCCGGTCTTTAATTATTCATTATCCACTAAAGTTTTTTCTTCCCTCCGTGATTTTAATTACCAACATGCTCAAGCGATTTCATGTAAATATGTATGTAAATATCTGATGGAATGTTAATGTGCGTTTTTACTTTATCATCATTTCATTTCACATAAAATTAGATACAAAAAAAAAGTTATAATTACAATCATATTACACAACGACGTGGAAGGAAAAATATTATTTTTAAATTAACTAAAGATTAATCATTCATGTATGCGTAGACAGCGGTTGATGGATGTTTAGACGTTATTTTTCCAAACCAACGTTTCTTTTATTTCTGCTCCTTCTTTTTGCAGGAATAAAAGAAGAATTGTCGTCAAGAATAGAGAAGTGTTCATTTTTTTTTGAATGCTTTTCAACGATAAAAATCTTTTTATTGTTCCCTTTCTCACACCGACGACACTATGAATGTCATTGTACGTTGAAAACGACGAATATTGCATAATATGCTAGGTAGATAGTCGTTGTTGTTATTATAAGATTAAAGTGTCATGCTTTGAAGGGATATTTGAAATATGGCTAATTTCCGCTACAATGATTCAATTCGTTGTTAGTAAATCTGTTGGTGAGTTCGATATTTCGACTTAACGTTTCGTTTATTTCCTTCCTTCAACCTCTCCACTCTCTCGTTTTACTTTCGATCTAGCGCAACTTCAAAACTTATTATCGAACAAGAGTCCGGAAGTTTGATTTGCATTTTTCAATTTTCTACCGTTTATTTAGTTCAATGCAAGCTCGAACGAAAGCTTGGACATTAAGACGGTCATTTTAGTTCTTGTATGCTTTTCAACTAGGGATGTCGATTGGGTGATTTTTGTTCATTTTTATTGTCTTTCTTGTAAATTTAACTTTGAGGTATTCAATAAATTTAATAAAATTGAGAACGTTTGAAACTCTCAAATATCTGTTTGCATTTGTCAATCGACATCCACAACCCAAACGCTGACGTTCAAAATGCAATTCGTTTTTCGTTTTCTTTATAAAGTTTTTAAGTGTACGTTACAGCAAAATACTGCACTTGAGAGTTATTATGCACAATTAGCTCTTATCGCATCCGACATGGGATTTTCTTGCTGCTTACAAAACATTGCAAGAGACTCCAAGTGAAAGCAAGATGAGCGAACACAGATTTACATTCATATTTTTTGGTTCCTTTTTCCCATTAAATTCTATTTCTTTATTCTCTTCGGAGAATAACCTTCCAAACTTGACGGCGGACAACGAAAATAAAGAGAAAGCGAATGAAAAAGTTACAAATTACAGGAAGTCGCTACATTAATAGCAAATATGGTAGCGGTTTGTAATGAAATAATAAAACTGCTGCTGCTTTCCTTCTTCTTTTATCGCGAGCGACGTAAAAGGAGAAAGAGAAGTAGAAAAAGAGAAGCGAATTTATTTAATTTGATTCAATCTTGAGCTTCATTTTGAATGTAAACAATTGAAGAGGAAATTCTTGGGCTTTTATTCCTTAGCTACCTTTTCTTGAGCTATGAAAGGAAAAATTATGTATCGTGCAATGTTTTACGAGGCAGAAAAAAGTCAAATGGGAGAAGGAAGGTTAAATTAATTGTTTCTTTGATATAACATGAAATATTTTACTGCCACAGCGACTTAACTCGGTTGCTTTCCCATTCGTCTTTTCTTTTCCCGGGAAACGATGAAAATTCACTTTGAGACGCGTTATCCACGCACTGTTAATCAGGAAAATTTCCTACGAGATTTCAAACTTTTCTTTTTGTTCATATGACAAAATAAAATGTCTAAGAATGTCAATTAAGTTGTGTTATGACTCATAACTTATGAGTTATGAACTTAAAGAATATTTCTACAGAAATTTACGTGCTTTCATAAAAGAAAAAGAAGAAGCTCATGACACAAGAGATTTGATGAAATCAAAATAATATTTTCTGGGAAGAAATTGATAAAGATAAATTATTTGATAAATTTTCAAAGCTTTAGAGACTTTAATGTTCATGTGTTTAAGTAAATTTCAAAATCATATTTCAAATCAAAACCACATCAATGCTATTAATTTTGAAACTAAATATTTCTATTAAATAGATTTGAATCGATATTTTTGTGCACATTTTGTTTGAACAATTTCTATGAATTCTGAAATTGGAAATCAGAAAATCAGAAAAGTGTTTTCCAGGAAACTAGGGAATATTTATGTGTTGAAAAAGTCAAATTATTCGAGTGTAAATTAACATTAACCACCTCCTTCTTCCCCTTTGAAATAACCACACTCGTTACCAGCAACAGTGACAAAAACATCTAACGAAGATTGGCGAATATTTTAAAAATATTCTCATAATATTGGAGATTTTTATACGAGCTTGAATTTAAAGTGATAACTTGACTATTCAAAAAAGGCAGCCATTATCAATAACAGAATATTTAATAATATGTATTGAATATAGAAAACTTTATCAACCATTGAATCATGATAACGAAAATATCCTTCAGTAATCCTTTTCTCATTGTAACTGAAATTAAGTTTTTAAAGCTTTTCGAAATGTTCATGTAATATTTATTAAGCTTTATGTACATCATTTCAACTAAGTCGTAGTAATTTCTGTGTCTATTATATAGCATTCTTGTAACTGAAGCTTGTTCCATTAAAAAAGTCTGTCGCAATGATTTCAGTCATGTAATAAATTCCCGTCAGCTGGAAAATTTTAACTTTTCCTTCCTTCAATATTTCATTGCAGAAATTTAATTGAAATGTATATGCAGCATACCTCACTCGGATCGAATGTTGAATTTGATATGCATAAAAAAGTTTCACATATTTCACGATCATAGAAAATGCCGCTGTATTTGATTCCACCAAGGCAAAATAATTAATGACTTTTCCTACAATAAATAAACTCATTTTAAAGTTTTAACTGAGCCTTTCAAAGAATTACAACCAAATTTCCTACATAATTATTTTTTTAAATCCTTTTTTATAACCGAGGTCGAGTCACATTTGAAATAAAATATTTGGTGATTGTTGGCTTTTGTAAATACTTAACTTAAACTTTAAATATGCCTTCACGAGTTGCATGTTTTGCATTTGAAGTCATTAACCACCTTCAACAAACTCTTTCAAATTATTCCAACTGTTACAAAATAAATTTCTTGAATTTTCTTTATTCATTTTTATTAAATTCTACATTTATTGTCACAATTGGATTGGTCGACTTTAATCAATCTTGACAAAGGAATTCCACAATTTTCAATTATTTCCAATAATGGATCGAGTTCATTGCAATCAGGATAAGGTGTTCTTGAGAAAATCGTTATGGTGGCTATGATAAAGCATAAAAATTGAATTATAGCTTTTAATATATTATTGAATAATGTCACCTCCTGCATTTTCTTCTCTAAAAAAACCGCACTCCGTACAAACAACAAATGCAAAGGAATCTGAAAAGAGTTGAAAATGAGAATTTTGGATTTGGATGTTAGTTAAAATCCATTTACCTT